CCAGCCGTGATCCCGGCATTTTTGGAGAGCGGATGGTGGGGGTGAGGACTTTGGGGCCAAGGTTGTTGTTTTTGTTTTGGGGGTGGGGGAAGGGTTCACCTAGACTTCTTGTTTTTGGGTAAGATTTTCCTATCAAGTCAACTTGCTTTTGAGTGTCCACTGGGCTCCATCTCTCTTTCCCTTGGTGCAGTTCCAGTTTGAACATCACCTATTGGTTTCCGCTTTTGGATGCCTAAGGGAGGGGGATAGCTTCCCCCGGCACCCTCTCGACGCGATCCGCCGCTGCCATCGATGCAACGACTGCGGCGCCTGTTTATCCAAAGACGGCTACAAAAGGTCCAGTGTTCGCGTCTATAAATGTATGAATTTCGGCCGTGACAACTCAGTATGTGCGTGTCCAACACATGTCCGCTCCATGTAAGCCCTCAAGCGCCACAAAGCAGGACAAACCTATTGCATCAAAGCCTGCAAATCCCTCCCACATGTTGAGAATGCGGAGGATGAGCCAGACTGCATTCCAGGCCGGACTAAGTGTCCATTCAGACCCATTAGTCACGCATTTACCCCAACTTTAGCACTTGCTTAGATCGTCACTACACCTGCCCCCGCCAAGACCCCAAAACTCAGCCACGCTCTTAGACCTTTCAATTTTTGTTTTCGAGGGAGGGGAACAGTTTAGAAACAAGGGGTCAACAAACTACGAGTTTTATATTGTTAGGTCGTGGAGGGTCTGGTTGTTTGCCTTTTTGTGTGTTTCTTCTCGCGGGGCGGGGGGTGCTTAAGGCTGCTCGTTCAGGGAACCCTTGTAAGGCTGCTCTTTCAGGGAACCCTTGAAAACTCGCGTATCAGGTGTCTTTGTTGCCTCGTCTTGGTGGATCATGGGTCTGTCATTCTTCGAGGGTAATTACTTGTTTTGTGGTTTTGAAGAGAAGCCAAGAGGAAAACCCAAACCATTTTGGTGGGTCCCCTAAAAAAAGATACACCTTCATGGTTGAACCAGTCGATTTGGTCAAGTTCTAATTAGAATTTAGTTGCGCAATGTGCGTGGGTTCTTGAAGGAATCTGTTTGCCAAACATATGTGCACACAAGCAGGTTGTTGAATTGTCCCCTGTCTGTTTGTTTGCTTGCTTGTTTGTTTGTTTATTTGTTTGTTTGTTTGCTTGTTTGTTTCTTTGTATTCCCCTCCCTTCCAGTAACCGTAGCACTTGCAGAAGGGCGCCCGGAAGGTCATTTTTTCTGCCCCCGTGGTCGACATGTTGGGCAGGTTCTGAAGCCCTGAGAAGGTCCCTGGCGGAAGGATCCAGGGAGCTCTCGACCCCCGAACTTCCAGTTGCCTGACATGGCTTGTGTTATTTTCGCCTGCTGGGTGTAGAAGGAATCTGCCACCGCCGAAAATACGTTTCTTTTTTTTCCAGGGGACCTATGTGCAAATGGGGAAACAAAAGCCTGGTCAAATACGAGACCGCTTCGGATTTGGGGGCGAACAGTTCAACAGCTTTACCGGCATCCACGATCCGTTTGCTGGAGTAGCTCACCCCTTGAGCTGGATAGAGTTGGAACAGTTAGATTTTTTTGGAACATGGGATTTTTGAAGCCGCCCTTGGCTGGAAGAAACAGCAGGTTTTATTAGCTGGTGTCCAGCTTGGGGCTTTGAGGGTACCCCTTTAGGGCGGTGCCTGTCACACCCGGATGTGCAGTAGGGGAAGCTTAGGAACCAGCAGCAACCAGCAAGATGTTGTGGTGGGTAGGACCTCCAATTTCCTGTAGCAATTCCTGGCTCGCCGGTTTCTACTGGGATGTGGTGAGGACGGCGCCAAGTGGCTGGGGCGCAACTGATAGAATACAAGTGGTGTGTGTGTGTGTGTGTGAAATTTTTGGGGCAGCTCTTTTGGAGTGGTTTCTGCGGCAAAACCAAAGGAACCCGACAAACTGTTTGGGGGTCCCCCAAAGAAGAAAAGACCTCTTGCTGTTTCGGTCAACACTCATAGGTTGGTAGATTGGTTTGTGGCTTGGTTCATACATGGCTATGGGTCAAAATCAGACCACCAGGACTTGGACCGCAGATTTTCGTCCTTGGTCCCACTATTCAGGGCAACCCATTTTGGGCTTTTTGGGTACCCCTTTTTAACCCACACCCGCATTTTGGGCTCTTCGAAACGCCTTTTCTCGGCTGCTGGGCTTCTGGCTGCTTTTGCGCCGGCCAGGCGTGGCTTCCTGAAGGGAAGCGCCCCGCGCGCTTTGTTGGGTTGGCCCGATTTGAAGTTGGATCGCGAACACGTGGAGATCCTACGTGCTGACCCCAAGCGAAAACCTGAACGCAAAGTGGTAGGAATCCCGTTTTGCATTTGGTTGTGTCTTGTCTAAGGGACCTCCAAAACGGCGGTTTTCTTTTTGGTTTCCCTCTAAATGCAAACCAAAAGGGGGGTCCCCCAAAAAGAAAGAGGCAGGAAGCTCGTCTTGGTTATCCATTCCAGTCTGAAATTCCAGAAATCAGTTTGGGCTTTCCATTTTAGTTCGAGTCTCCAACAGACAGGCGTTTTAGCCGCCCCAGAAGTTTGTCTGGAATCATCATTAGATTTCGAATCTCCGCATGCTGGCGGCCGTTTTCAGCAAAAAGATCCCGCAGCAGGCCAACACTTGCCCGGACTTGCCGGGACACATGTTAATCACCATTTGCTTTGGGTCTCCCCATTTCTTGGCGACTAGCTTTCAAGGTTCCCCCCAAAGCAGTCCAAAAAAATCTGAACAGACGGCTAAAACTGAACTTGACAGGTACATGCCCCTTCCTGAGCTGTATGTTGGCCGGAACCCCAAGCACATCTCAGGAACTATTGCTAATTCTCGCGGCGACCGTGCGTCATACCTCTAATAACTTGTAGCTCTATATGACCAATCTCTTATGCAAGTTGTTGGGCTCGGAGGGCTTTACGTAATGTGAGACATTTGGGTGTGTCGTTTTTTACAGCATCGTGGTTTTCCTTGTCGTTTCCCTTCAAAACCACCAAAAAAGGTGCCTCAAGAGAAGACACACCCATTTGGTTGGGGCAACTGAGGATCATTGCAGCATTCCGAATGGATCTAGCACGGGGCTAAGCAAGTGCCCATATGTTGGCCAGGGTGGTCCTTTCTAGAGCCAAGTGTAGATTCCTCCTTACGGCAAGCTGATCCCCCAAAATCAAAGCACGAAAGCGTCCCAGGTTTTGCCCAGTGAGGTTTTCGGACAGCCGGAGGCCGTCGACGCGGCACTCGCCGTGCGGCCATCCGCGAAAACGTCGCCCGGCCTGCGCGTAAGCGCGCGGATCTTCCTTTTTTTTTCCGGGGCTCGGCTCTGACACAAGCCTCAAGGAGCTTAGGGTCCAGTTGCCTAACCCTTGGGTTGCCAAAGATTTAAAGATCTCCGTGGCATGCCCAAGTTGTAGAGGAAACAGGAGCTGGCAACGAACGCCGGAGCTTCTCAGAGGTAAGCCTTCGTTAAGAAGAGATCGATCACATGTTTGGGAGGTGAAAGAGTTTGGTGTTAATGTTCCGGATTAATCAACCCCGGATTATTGATATGGGGGTGCCCCTGGTTTTAGTGGGGATTTATCACTTTAGGGGAACACCCGCAAATTAACAAACCGGGGTTTATTCATCCGGGGTCAATATTACTAGTTACAGTAACAGGGGAGCTGTAAATCGCATGAAGTGGTCTTTACAAAACAATTGCAGCTTTTCAACATCAATGAAGAACCTCCACGGGGTTCCCTTGCCGTTCTCGGCTTTTGAAAGACCGGCCGCGTCGCGCACGAGTGAAACGCCAGTTCCAACGAGTTGGCGTCACCGCCGCAAGTTGCCGCCGTCGAGCGGGTGGCGGGAATTTGCCGAAACCTGACCCGGGCGGGGGTTGCCCTCCGGAGAAGCCCCTCTTGCTTTTGGCAGGTGTGCTATTCTTTTGCCCAGAGTCTGAAGGGGTTAAGTTAAATGTAATGCCCCAAATTCGGCTTCTAAGAAGTGGGTAGGTGTGCGCAGGACAATGGGTCGCCAATGCTTCCTCTATTGAAAAATAATTTTGGGAAGGGACCCAACCTCCAAGCCACAGCAGTCAAAATGGTAGGGCTGAGCGTGGTTCTGGGAACCCTTGGGCCACCCAATGTTTTGTTCTGTTTCTAAGGGCTAAAGCGAGATGCGATGGGGGCCTACTCCCTACTCAAATATATATATATATATATATATATGTCTTTTTTGTGGGGGCACTCTTGAAACAAAGAAGATGCGATCCAGATCTCCCCCCCCCGTCCCCCCTTGTTATTTTCATCAAGGGGGTTTGTATCTTTACCGGGGTTCCCATTGCCTCAAATCAATCCACCCCTCCCATTTTTGCTAGTTAACAATTAGTTACCTGCATCCCCAATTGCGGCTCTGCCAATCCCTGGAAAATGTCCGATGTGCCAACTGGTGTCCTAAGTGATTGTTACTCACCAATCAAGGAGCTTATGAGTTGAGGGTACCCCTTTTTTGTGGGTTTGAAGGGAAACCAAGGAGAACCACAAGATTGTTGGGGTCCACCAAAAAAAACGACACACCTATATGAATGCGGGGGGCCACTGGCGACACCGCGCTCGGTTCGGCTCGGCAGCAGCAAAAAGTTCGCAGCGGCCAACGCCGAGGCGAGACATGAAAAGCTGCGCGTCGTGAGGCGAACGGACCACGAGCCGATGCCAAGTGGGGCAAAGGTCACCGGGAGAAACGTGTTGCGCCTCAAGACTTTGGTGACCTTTGGTGCATTTTGCCAAGGGACGTTAGGACTGAATAACTTTTTGCCAACGAATGAAACGGTTTTCCGTATTAAACCACTAAAAGTGTTCAACTTTTAGCAGGGGAGCAGAAAGCAACCGAGAAGAATAGGTCCTTTTGGAGGGGGGCGGAGCGGCAGAAATGTTTGAGCCGCCAATTTTTGCGGATTTGCGAGGATGTCACTGGTCCCAGATGGAATAGTGACAGACCCGGGAGACCCGATGAGATGACGGTTTCTTTGCTGAAGTTTAGAGGTTGGCCGCTGAGCTTCCAACGCGCGGCACCGGCGAACCCGCCGCAAGAACCGTTTCGGCTGCACCCGAGCGAGTGGTCGCTCCTGGCGCTCTTCAGCGCCGCTGACCTCGCGATGGCGGGGGGGGGGGGGGCGGGGTTGGGACGTCTGGGGGGAGCTGAGGGTTTTCTGGGAGCGCTGGCATAGGTGTCCTTTTTGGTTGGTTTGCTTAAACAATAGAGGGCTCTGGTTTAGATGGGGTTTGTTCCATTTACCAGGGAAACCCATCGATTTTTCCAACAGGCCACCTATGGCTGCAAGGTGTGAAGACAAAAGTCCAGAAGTGGTTTCCGAATCAGCCCCTTATGCAAAGAGGTGCTTGGAAAGAAATTCCCAGCTGGTGGCTCAATTTTCCTTGGCTGCCTTCGTGGCATGGTCTTCCCTTGCCTCAGATTTTTCTGGACCATTTCTCCGGCGAACGCCCATGTTGCACAGGGGAAGAGTTCAGAGCGTCTTGAGCGAGAGAGCGCACCGTCTATGGCTTCGACCCCTCAAAATGGCTTGAGCTCCTGGAGGGAAAGTCTCCATTTTCGGAGCCCCTGCCGAATGACATTGTTCAAAGCTAAAGGCAACTGAGCCACGTGCAATCGAAACCGATTCGGGCAGATGAAGCTTAGTAAGGGACCATCCCCTTGCCATAAAAGCCGCTGCGGAGATCCGCCTTCTTAGTTCTTGAAGCATGGTTCCAGGTCGACCATTTTAATTCCGGGTTTTGATGATGACTCCACTGATTCCTCAGCTGTCGGGCCTCGAACGCCATACCTTGCGGCGCTCGAGTCGATTGAAAGAATAACAGCTACCCAGACGTGGTTTCCGGCGTTCGACGCGTTTTTCCGTGTCCACCCCTTTCCCCATGGTTTGACGGTTTGCAAACCGCAGGGCGCCATGTGCTGAACAGGTGTCCCAGCACTACTGGCTTGGTACAGTAGTACCTTTCTGTTTGCCTTTCCGGCTGTTCAGTCTGGCAATCCGCAAGAAAATCCTTGGGTTCAGGCGCCATCTGTGGATTCCCAATGGGTTATGGATTCAGATCGACCTAATAGCTGCAAAAAACCCGAAAGGAACACAAAAGGTCTCCGCCCGCTGTGGTTTCCCACTAGGGCTGACTGATTCGGATCTTCGCCCCTCCGTTTCGAAGCGCTGTCTTCGCCTCAGGTGTTTGACGTGCCGGATGGCTTTGACCCTGCGCACCTGCAGGGCCTGGCGGCGCCTGGAACCCCGGCCACCACGACCCCCTCACAGAGGGTTTTTAGTGATTTGGATATGTACCCTGGAGTAGTAGACACGTCTTCTTTTTTTTTGAGGGGGGGGGTGGAGGCCCCTCCAATAGTACTGAATCCCCACCAAAAGAGGCCCCCTATTAATCAACCAGAGGTATGTTAGTCTTTAAGGCGCTTGGTTCCCGTTTCAGATGGCAGCGAACTGGAGTGAAAGGACGCCGAATCTTCTTCCCCGAGTTTGAGAACGGTCAAAACACCAGATCCTTTACTTGGGGTTGGTAGGGATTGGGCTGTAAGGGAACTCAGACAGCAACTTGTCCCTAGTGAACATTGATGGCCAGGAGGAATGATGTCCCTGGTGATTTCCTGCCGGAGGATGGAGAAGTTTGGTAACCCGTGACCCACAATTTGTCGCGCACAAATGGCATCCCCACAACCATGGGTGGTGGGGGGGGGTCTGTGGAAGGCGCAAAACAGACACCATTAGAAGCCTTCGGAAGCCATATCGTTGAGTTGTCCCAGCCCCCGGCCCAGCCAACCGAAAGAGGCGATCAGAGTTGCACTGAGTTTGGCGAAGTGCGGCTCATCGCACTGAGTTGGACGGCAAACTACCTGAAGCTCGGATTGCTTACTGAGGGTAGAGAGGGAGTCCTTTGGGTGAAGATTTTGTTTGCAAGCTCTTGGGGCCAAGGCGAGCTGTCACACAGATACACCGGAGGGGCCGAATGCACGAGTTTGCGTGCCGAGATCTCTTTGCCATGGTGCTTGTAATTGGGTGGGGCTTGGATGCATCATGCCGTGTGGAAAATGCTTGCCATGATCATGCTGGCCTCCAAATGCTAGGTCCCCCAGTAGTGCCCTTTCTCACCCCTTTTTTGGGGCAGGGTTCCCCTACTAAAATAGACTACAGAAAGAAAGTTGGTACCCTTATTCTAACCTCTCTACTGGAGGACCTAGAAATGGGATACGGAACCCCCAGTTGTTCTATTTGTTTGTTGTACGTTTAGAGTGACGCCTGGCACCAAAAGCAAAGTCCAAGCTGCAAAGCATGGATTCAAACCAGGACCCGCGTTTTCCATGTTCCTTTGGTTTCCTGATTTGGGTGCTTCTCAACAAGCGGGACCTCCGCTTGGGGCTTTGAAGGGAAGCCGAAAATAAGCGCACGCCGTTTGAGGGGTCTCCTGGGAAATGGGACGCCCATGTTCGATCCCGCAGGGATGCCCCGATGCATCTGCCACGGGCCGGTGGCTACCGGCAGGCCGGGAATGGACGGCTTCAGGGAGATCTTGCCCAAACTTTACACTGCAATCTCTGATGGAACCCAAAAAAGTGTCCCCTAAAAAGGAGATTCCGATCCAAAAAACGGTGGGCCTCAATCAAGCGGTTTGCACCATCAAAGATGATAGTAGGTGGTTTCTGCTACTTCTCTATTTCGTCCGGTGACCATCTACGAAGTTCAGTATGGAAATACAACCGCGAGGATGGCTATGCAGAGCTTGGAAAGCTGCGCAAGCAAGCTTGAGATGCCCGAAAGCAAGCCTGAACACACTTTTCCAGCAGCCGCTTGCCCCCCCCCCATGGAAGCAACATGAGTATGTTAGAATCAAACCACCTTTGCAAAACCTTCACGCTCGTGGGTTTGTTGACGCGCGCTGATTGCATTCGCGCCAAAACCATGGCCGGTAACTATGAGTGCCGGAACCTTGTAATTCGCAGAGGGAGAACGTTTTGACTAAGGACTATCCCCTTTTGGTTGGTGGATTTGGCACCATTTGCATGTTGCCCACTGGTTTCCAGAGGGTTCTAAGCTGAGGCATCCCTTGTTGCCAATTTCCTCTCGGCTGTGTCGGACCCTACAAAAGGCAATGTGTGGCCACAAATTGTTGACCTGTTTTACGTGTGCCACTGATAGGTACCTGTCTCGCGGTTTCTAACAGGCGGGTTCTGATCGCTTGCGCCGAAGGACAATCATGCAGAATCCCGATCCAAACCCATGTGATCGAATCCATTTGGGTTTGCGTCAAAATAAGGATTGGTAACCTCCCCCTCCATTTGTTGAAATGAATATTTGCATTTTTCCTTGTTGGTCTTAAAAGGAATTCATCACTACTGAAAATATTTTTTCCTGGGGCCTTAACCAAACGGAAGTCCCAAAATGGATTGCGGTTTTCCTTTACCCAACGTGAAAAGGCTGCTCTGGAAAAAGAACACATTCAGTGGGTCACCCAGATGTTGTTTCGCTCGCCAGGCTGCGCATACCGTGCACGCCGCGGATGGCCCAGCCGCGCATGGACAGCAACCCTTCGACGTGGCCAGGCGCTTTTGTTGGGCTCAACCTGAGGGTGACATGAGCCAATGGCCGCGGCCCTTGCAATCCTTTGCATGGCTCTGGGGATCGACCCATTCTACCTGGGTTTTGGTCTTGGTGGCTCCCAGCCATCCGGTTCCTTAGCTTTCTAGCTTCTTAGTGTTTGGTGGTTGGATTTCCCATTTCGCCCACCAAAAGTTGTCCGCTTTTAGCAGGGCATCTGAGAACGGCTCCCTGGGGAGGGAGGGCGATCCACCTGGTGACCCCCTAAACCAGTTGAATGATTCTTTCTGGGAACGACAAGGACGATCGGACATAGGGGAGTTTTGACCCTGGCTCACACGTTTCTTATTGGCTTTGCATGGATCTGAATGTCAATTAGGGACCCTTTGGGTGACATCATTTAGGTGGAGATTTATGTCCACTAACCACTTTTCAGGGGGGTCTGCATTAAAATTCATCTCTCCTTGCCAGTTCAGTGAATTCAGGGCCCCTCAACCCCTGTTGTTTGGGTTCGGGACCTCAAAATTCACGAACCAACACGTCCGGCCATGCGGATTTTGCGATCGAGGCTCACTGAAACGCGGATTCTTTGGCTTTGGGAAAGCTGGCGTTTGGTCCGCCTGCCACCATCAATCGCCGCCCATGGATCGGTCTCTCGGAAGCCTGTTTTGAGATCCCCTTCAGGAAATGCCGTCGCCCGTTTGGCCTGGCCAAAAAGCGATCAGACGGTTGCGAGCCCTTGCAAGAGCCGCAGTCGGTTCTGACAGGTTTGTTTGGGGGCGTTTTGAGGCGTTTTGTCACTTCCAACCAATCGAGACCAAATGGGAATGGCTCCCACCATGGAAGCGCACAGCTGCCCCATTTCTATCAGGACATGGAACATCTGCCATTTTTGGGCCTGCGCGTTGATTGCGACGTACTAGTTTTCCCCTGTCACGCTGAAATATGGTTTTGAAGCGCCCCACAGCCCCATGGAGCCTTTGGGACAGCCTGAGCGCGAACGATTGGAGGAGAGAGAGCCAGTTCCTGCTGAGGCTTGGTACTACACTTTGGCGCAGGGCTCCTTAAAAGATACATTTTGCCCATTTGCAACATGGCTTTTTCCACCAGAATAAAGGGAAACCACCATTTACAAGGCAATGTTCAGATTTATAATGTAAGGATCCATAGGTGTCCTTTTTGGTTGGTTTGCTTAACCAATAGAGGGCGATCCCTGGCTTAGATGGGGTTTATACCCCATTTACCGGGGAAGCCCATCGATTTTTCCAACAGGCCACCTATGGCTGCAAGGTGTGAAGACAAAAGTCCAGAAGTGGTTTCCGAATCAGCCCCTTATGCAAAGAGGTGCTTGGAAAGAAACTCCCAGCTGGTGGCTCAATTTTAAGGATCCCTGTTTGGGTGACTCCGGCAACCAGAGCTGGAGCTTCCGACCTCGCTGGCTCGGTTGCTTCGCGAGGCCGCGCCGCGGGCAAGAAGGGCCTGGGCGCCCAGAAGGGGATCTTTCGGATGGACGGCTCAAGTTGGCCAAACTTCCCAACTTTCCAGGGTGTTCCGGGTATATAAGGCCCATGCTTCAGCCACCATTTGACAAAAGACATATTTGATTTACATTTTTTCTACCACCATGTTCAATGCCACTTTTCAAATATGAGAAGTAAGGCCCATGTGTCCAATTGTCCAACACTGAAACCACAAGTTTCCAACTGTTCAAATTACATGTGTGTCAACTACCACTATTGACATTCCAGGTCTCTAGACATGTTTCCAATTTTTCAATATTTCAACTACCATTTCAACATTATTTTTCAAGTGTATGCATCAGCTCTGGAGAGGTGTGGGACATGGTGGTGCTGGTAGTGGTATGTGAAAGTGCTTGTGGTGGTTCCCTGTTTTTTGGTTGGTGTCCAAGCTCTTGTGGTGTGTTTGGAATGAAGCTCTCTGAGAAATGGCTGCCAAAGTGGAGGTCGACCGACCCACAAATGCCGGTGTGGACATAGAATTTGCGCGCAATGTGGTTTGCAACCATTATATTATTTGTTTTTATGGTACCTATATTTCGAGCCACTATGTAAAGTGTATGAATATAGCCGCTATGTCAAGGGAATATACATGGATTTCCCGGGGGGACAGTGGCAACCATCGTAGACAGAAGTGCAAGGCTGCTCAATTGAAGCTGCTAAAAAAAAAAGTCCGATCCATTCCCCAAAAGGAGAGTCGTTTTTTGAGCAAGGGTGGCAATTGGTTTTGGTCTGTGCTCGGCCATTTAATCAATGGACTTTGGACTTTAGAAGTCTAGGGTTTAGGTGACCTCCTTTTTTCCCATGCGAACCCATTGCCACAGCCAGCTCCATTTCGGTCTCTCTTTCGGCAACCAATGGGCTTGCCACCCCGTAAAGACTAAACGGAACATACCGAAGGTCCCAGACTTGCGTCACTTTTTGGGTTTGGTCACGCCATTTTGTCACTTTTTGGCACGTTCGTCACTTCCTGGGTAAAAATCAACCAAGTACTCCAGGACACATGTCCCTTGCCCGTCAATCCGCCAACCATCGGAAGCGAGTAGAGTTCGTGTCGAGTGAAAGTTTCGCAGGCCCTGGTTCCTGGCGCCGCACAGCGCCTCGCCGGCCAACTTGGTGAAGCTGAGGCCAATGCCCGAGATGGGGCACTGGGCACCGGGCAGCGGGGGCTGGGGGGGGGGGGTTAGGGTTAGGCCGTCGGCGTGTTGTTCTTGGGGGGGGGAGCCCTCAAACCAAGTTTTGGCGTCAAGTGCGCCTTGTTGCGCGCCTGGGTGTTTTTGGCCATGGTGTTGTTCTTGTTTTTCTTGTTTGGTTTTTTTCTCCTGCACACCAGTAGAATAGGCTGCAACCTTTGTGCGGGAGGTCTACGCCCGGCCCAGGAAGGAGTTGTTTTCTCTTGGTTCCCCTTTTTCAGACAACCCAACAAAGGGGTACTGAAAAAATACAAGCGCATGTAGACGTGGAGAGAGGGCTTTGCCTTTCAACTTCGCCAATTGGTGTTTGGGCTGAGTGGGTTCCTACTAGTATACCTAATTGTCCACCAAACACCGGGGGCCAATAGTTGTTGCATGTCGGGTATTCGCCCCATGCATGAACCAGCACCCAGGCAGTCCCCGTGCCAGAGACAGACTTTCTGGGCCAACGTTGGAAACATCTCTGACATCATCAGCTTCCACTCAGATGGGAAGAAACATATGGGTGAATTATAGCGACCTCACACGACCTCACCCCAAATGGGGGAATATTCCCCCAACCACCTTATTTCAGGTTGAAATATTCTAATTCACCCAGATATGTCAAGAATCCAAGGTTTAGGTTTGGACAGTTGACTCTTGAGCTTCTTTCCAGTGCCCATGGCTGATGTGGGCCTGCCGTGTGTTGTTGGATTGCCACTTGTAGCGTCCGGCTCGGCTCGATTGCTTCTTTATCGGATCCCTGCCTTCGGTCTGATCAGGCCTAATACTGACGGGACTGTACAACTGAGCACAGATTATGAATTGCGAATCGATGATTCATCCAGGCGCTGCACGCTCAATCAGAAGCACACCTTTCGCCAGCTTGTGGTGCTTAGTTTCACTTGAATTGCTGCGTGGCAGCTTGCGCTGCCTTTGGCCCACTGGTATTTGTCGGTACAGAGGGCACAGGGCGAGGGGCGTGGCATGTGCAACTATTGTTGTTTGCGTGCCCCTTGCACGCCGCCTTTGCGCCGCCCTGAATTTGTGAGTTGCAAGCAGCTGAACGCGCGCTTGCCCTTAAGTCACGATTTTCGGTGGGGACAGGACCTCAGCATTTTAGGCAGAAGCAAGCAACCTTTTGCGAGCTACCTTGATGTGAAGCCAGCCACTGAAGCAAATGCCAAACCAAGATGGGAGGTTGCTGCTCTGCCGGTGCTGCAAAGCAAGGTGTCCAACTCAAAAGGTGCGAGCACTGCATCTGCCAACCACAGAAGCAGTCTAAAGCTGCAGCTTGCCGCAGCGTTGTGCGATTGTTGAGGTGGGTGTCAGCCTTGATAGCTGCTTGGCAGGCTCCGCAAGGCTTAGTGCCAAACTGGCGCAGCCAGAATTCACAAAGACCTGGGCACAGCCACAACAACACTGGCACATCGAACAGTCATTCCAAATCACTGCCATCCGAACAGCGCCTGCGCCTTCTCACTCCAGGCGCTGGCGTTACCGGTTCGGTCCAAGCGTTATGTGCTTTGCTTAATACATTAAGCTAAGCCGCAATGAACAAGGTCGTACATGCGCACACATCAGCGCGATCTTACAAAGCACGCCACATGTCGTTACAAGGCACATTTTCGGCGCAGCCGTGGCTTGCATCGACTGAGCACATTTCGGGGCCGAATGTGGGGGAAAACAACAGAAGTCGGTGTATAGGAAGCGATGCCTGGACAATTATGACAGCAAGCCCATCTTGCAGTATCAGCTTCTCAAAAAGGCTGTGCTGCTTTCTACGAAGCACTATCTGGCACTGAGGATTGTAGGCTTCCCTGCCTCAACCTTTGCTCCGACTCCTTTTGGCTTGCCCTACTTCCCCAAATTTTGCCAGACCCTCGCTCACGATGCCCCTGGTTGGTACCAGGTTGGACCTTGCCACAGGGCTCGCCGTGTCTTTCTCAGCGCGAAACACGCCCTCTCCTCCAGCCGAATCGTTCCAAGGCCAAGTCTCAAGCCAACTGAGCCAGCTCGTGCGCTGGAACCGTCAGCCTCAACTCCTCACTGCTCAGCTCGAGCGACAGATCGGGGAAAGCAAAGTCGAGAGACATGGTATGGCTACTGAACAGGGGCTGCAACTGGTGAGCTTCACATGATGCGATGTGCAACCAACCAGCTCACAGCGCTTTTGAAAGGTTCCCCCAAAAAGGAGACAACCAAATATAGTACGCAGAAGCTGGGCACTTGACGACTGCTGCCAAGGATCATTCAATGTGGTGCTCGCCAGCTTGCAGCGTAGTCTCCAGCTGAGCAGCTCTAAAAACCCCCCGTTACATCCCAAGCAAGAGTTGTGTCATAACAAGGCGCCGCGTAAACAAAACCCTGCACGGCGTACGCCGGCGTAAGCACTTTTTGGGGAAACAAGCTGCGTAAGCACCTGCGTAAGCTCTTCTTCGTGATCGCTTGGTAAGCTTTGTAAGCATGCTCGGAAGAGCTGTGCTTATGAGATTATTGGTGGCTTGTGCTGTTGCAACCTAGTCGAGCTTGGCAACTTGCCCGGAGACTTTGGCTGCAAGAAGTCGTCTAAGACCACTTGTGCACATCAATAAGAAAACAAAGCCAGCAGAACCTTGATTGGGAGCTCTTGGGGCTCATGCTAGGTGCTGTTGCAACCTTGACAAGGACAAACAAAGGCTTCTGAAACCGCTGAGCTAGGAAAACTAAAGGGGCTCAGGCGCGTAAGCTCGCGTGAGCAGGCGCGTAAGGTTCGCGTGAGCTCGCCTAGCTGGGCTGCCCGCTAGCCCTCGCGATGGATGCCGCTGCCGCATAACCCGTTTCTTGACTTGCAGCAATAACAACAATGCCAAGCCGCTGAGACTCGTGAGGGTAGTTCTTCGTCATCTTCTTCCTCAGAGTTTTGAACAGCTCTGGCGTCTGCATGAGAAAAGGAGCTCGCGTAAGCAATTCTTGAGGGGAAGCGCTCAGAACGCCCACGCGTAAGCCATGCGTAAGCTTAACATGCTCGCTGACTGCCGCGTAAGCTAAAACATGGGTCGCGTAAGGAAAGCGCAAGCTCGCGCGTAAGCAACTGGATACGAGATAGGGATTCATGGGAGGTTTATAGAGTCGCTCAGCTGTCGTTTGGAGGAAGGGGTTCATCGGCAAGCTTCCATGTGACTAAAATATGATTCGAAGTTGCACATCGCCCCTTCCCCGCCCTCCCTCCCCCACAATTTGCGGCTTTAGGTACAGGGCGTGCCCTTCAAAAGCCAAAAGGACCAGAGGCAAAAAGTTACCCGCAGCGGCGAAAATTTTTGCAATCGCCCGGGATCCGGCGGACCCGAAGAGCAACAAACAGGCGTGACTCGCGCTCGATTTTTTTTTTGGGGGGGTTGGTTCCCCGTTTTTGTGGCTTGCATGAAAAACCTTGAAGGAAACACATCCGCTGCGCCCTTTTGGGGGTTTGCAAAGTTAAAGCAGACAGTGGCATGATTTTCTGTTTGTGGTTTTCGTGGGAAACCTGAAGGACAACTCCGGTGGACCATTTTGATCCCCCCGAAAAAAGAGAGGAGCCGCCAACCTCAAGCGCGTTGACTCAAAGAGAACATGGCGAAAACGGAACTTCGCCCGCGCCGAGGGAGCCGCTTCAGCCGGAGCATGAGGAGTCGGGGGAGGTCTTCGGTCGATACGTTTGGCGCACAGGGCTCCTTAAAAGATCTCCATTTTGCCCATTTGAAACATGGCTTGTTTCATCAAAATAAAGGAAACCGCCATTTACAAGGCAATGTTCAGGTGTACAATGTAAGGATCCTGGCGCAGGTCCCAGATTTAACCAGGTGTCCAAACGGGCAGCTGGTGGTTGAAAAGAATGGGGAATCAACCTAGAGTATTGTGCACAGGGGCGTCCTCCTCTCAACATTAACAACAAAGCTTTGGTGCATTTTGCTTGGATGTTAGGACTTTGAACTTTTTGCCAACTTATGGGTTTTCCCCATTGAACCACTAAAAGTTCAACTTGTAGCAGTGCAGGGGAGCAGACACCAACCGAGTCTTGGTGTCCAAACGGGCAGTGCCTGGTGGGTTCTCTCGGCTCCAACTGAAGTCTCCTTGGTTGGGATCCGCGTGTCCCAAAATGGGTTGAAGCGCTTTGCCGGAAGCACCGTGTTTCCAGAATCAAGACCAGTGAAAACAACACAATAGAGAATCTGGACAAATGAAGCACTGGCGCCCCTTTCCAGAATAAAGAGAAGGGGCGCCCAACAAATGAGACATGTGAAGCATCACTTGCCAGAACCGCAAGGTTTACAACCACCAAGGCTTGAACCCATGACAAGCACCCCAGGCCCATGCCTTCATGCCAAGTGGCGTGCTTTGATCTTCGTTTGGCCTCACTCACTACTAGGTCCCCCAGTAGTGCCCTTTTACCCTTTTTTGGAAGAGCGTTCCCTACTAAAATAGACTACAGAACAAAAATGGTACCCTTATTCTAACCTCTCTACTGGAGGACCTAGACTACTTGGGTGTGTCTGTCTTTAGAAAGCCCCCCCCCTTTGGGTTTCCCTTTGAAGCCATCAAACAAGGGGTGCTCCAAACAAAAGGATGAGCCACCCATTTGCCCTGAAGACATTTTAGTGAACCCCACAATGACGCGCTGACAGCTTGGGACCTTCCAACCGTTCTCTCCAGGGATTCGCAACTTTTCAGGAAACCTTTGAAACCACCAAACAACTTGGGAGAAACTGCTGGCTGTTGAAAAGAAGGGGGAATCAGCTCTTGGAGTATTGCGGACAGGGGCGTCCTCCTCTCAACATGAACAACAAAGGGTATCAATGGGGCGCCCTTTTTTGGCTGTGCCCAGGACGCGGTGCCTCCGGCGCATGATATTTCATCCTCCATTTGCTGAATTGAATAGGTTTTTTGCTTTTCCTTGTTGGTCACAAAAAAGGAAGTCATCACCACTGGAAATATGGTGTTTTTTCCCCCCTGAAACCTGAATCAAATGGAAGTCATCATTCCTCGAACTCGGAGAGAGGCTGTATGAGTAAAAGAAGAGATAGAAGATGGAGAAATTGCACTTCTGCTTGCCGTGTTTTGCCGGTCAACATGCCGGATCCAGGGAATATATTTTCGATGTACTCATGCAGTCGCTGCAGCCATTTGGCGTCAGAGCGGCACTTGAGCCTTCATCTCATGAGAGTTGAACGCAGAAAAGGCTAAGCTGGCGTGTCATTCATAGCAGCAACATGGTTTGGGAGACTCTCCCAGTGAGATTTACGAGATGCTCCTCATCCCTAGTGCTCAAACTGGTTCCACCCCTAGCGCCAACGAGCCAACAGCTGACAGAGATTTCGGTGTCCACTCTGGGATCCGGATCTTACTGACAACTCCTGTAAGATCCTGCTGAGAAAAACGAGGGAACCTCCAGCAAGTCCCCGGCATTTTTTTCCTGGAAGTCATAAAGCCATCATTTGCATATTAGTGAATATACACAAATACATATATATATATATATAGTAATGCATACATGTGTATATATATATATATCATACATATATTTATATATATATATATATCATATATATATATATATATATGTATGTGACACCGGCTTCTTCCCCCAGCAGCTTTCCAGCTCTGGGGTCTCTGTTGGGGAGGATCCGGGGCTTTTAGGTGCGGTTGAACCCGCACGGGTTCCATCGGGGATCGGGCATACCACCTGGGTTGCTGCGAGACCCAGCAAAACATGGGTCTACCCCAGTTTAAGGCTGGCTTATTATTTTTTCCACCAGTTTGGTGTTTGTTTCTTTTTCTACCCGTTGGCCATAGGTGTCCCTTTTTGGGTTGTTTTGCTGGAAACATAGATGGCGGTTCCCGGTTTATCTGGTGGTTTAATCATCTACCAGGGCCATCTATTTCCTAAAAGGACACCAAAACGTGGTCTACCCCAGTTTCAGGGTGCCCTTGTTTTTTTTTTTCTAGCAGGTTGGTGTTTAGGACCAACTGAGTCTACCAGCCGTTGTTGCATGTTTTTTCTTCAAAGAAATGGAGGGCAGATCACCTCAGTGAGCCGTCGGATGCTGCGCTGGCCGCTGGTGCTGGCGCTGGGCGGCCCGGCCCTCAGGCACCACAGAGGTCGATGCTGTGAGTGTTGGTGTATGCAGTGCTGATGCTGGTGTCTTCCATGGACCTGTGTGTACACAGTCCAGTAGTTGCTGATTGTATTTGTGAGGCATGATCTGCCTTCATCTTTCCCTTGTCCTCGAACACGGCCAAAAAAAAGCGGTGGATTTGCCTCAAGGGTTCACAGGGGCTCATGGGAGTTTGGCACGATGGACCTATCTTTGCTGAACGGGAAGCTCAAAAATAGAACAATCAGCCCTGGCGACACACGAGCATACAAGTATCGATCAGGTAGCGCTGAATTGGCGCTCGGGATTGGATTTGGGAAATTGAACAACTTTTGGTTCTTGTAGAGGGTCAATCGGAAGCTTCCCTCGCCAAACCACCGATTCGGCTAAGAAGGGAAGGATGGACAACATCCATCCCACCACCCAAGAACGTCAAGGAGGATTCTCCTGTAAATTCCAGCAGATTCCCCTGTAAATTCCAGCAAAGCATTGGTTTTCCACGGTTTCAGTTGGTGGCATTTTTGCGTCCCAGGCAGCCAAGAGCTCCAGGAGAGCGACGTCTTCCTAGGCGGGTCGGATCTAGGTGGTGACATGTGGTTGAAGGGTAGCCCTTTGTGGGGGGTTTAAAGGGAAAACCAAAAAGCCTCACATAGCTTGAAGCCTTGGCACCCCTTTGTGGGGGGTACATATGAGTGTGGCTCAAAATGAAACCACCAGGAATTGAGACCCCAGATTTTGGGTACCAGGTTTCCACTTAGGGCAACCCATTTTGGGGTCACCCTATTCTTGACCCACACCCATATGGTTGAAGGGCCGCCCTTTGTTGGGGGGTTTAAAGGGAAGCCAAATTTGGCCTCTTCCCGACTTCTGCTTTTGGAGCAAACAGTTCGAGCTGTTGATTTCCCCTCTTTCCCCTTGGTCCTTTTCAGGCTCTCTTGGCCCCGACCGCCATGTTGCCAAGAGCTGCTCTCACCCTTCCCCTTTTCTTCCCTCAATTGGCTCCCCTTTTCGTTTTTGTTTTGCTTTTTTGGGGCCCTTTGTTTTCCAACTAACCAGGGCAAAACACATATATATATATATATTACATATATATATATATATTTGTCAGAAGTATATACTTGTGGATCATGCAGGCAATATGCGAAAGCTGTGCAAAGGCAGATCTTGGGGTCTTGGGGGGGGGGGGGGTGAGAAGCCTCCCGAAACCCACCTTTTTGATCTGTGGGGGAATGAACAGAACCCATATATAGGGGAATGAACAGAATGACCACAGGACCACGACCACAGGGGGGGGGGTACTTGTCTGACCCATGACCATTGGGGGGGGGGGAGGGGGGGCTGGCAACGCTGTACCATATATATATATATACATCTCTTTTTCCGGGTCCTAATTTTTGGCCAAGTTTGGGAGCCAGGGGCCCGGCCGTTCCTATTTCAGAACGGCCCGACGAGGTCCCAAGGGAAACGCCCGGGGGGTTCCACTTTCCGGAACCAACCGTCCGCACTCCCCATGATTGGTTTCTTCGTTTTTTTTTTGGCCGCACCTTGGAACTTCAGGATGCTTGTTTTGTTGATCATGTATGTCTTTTGTGTTTTTTAGTCTTTCGGATCTCTGTTCGTGGCATCGGGCATCGGTGCTTCTGGTAAGCTCGGTGCGTGGCAAGTCTGAAGCCAGGCGGATCTGCCTTCACCACGAATGAGAGCGAGACTCGGAAAGCATCGGCTCGATCCTGGCATGCTCCCCACCCCATACCTGCCAGTTTTTTTTTGTAGCGGGCAGCATTTTTTTTACAGTTTTTTTAAGCGGGCAGCAAATTACAGAGTTGGCTGTGGGTCAAGACCAATGGTACTATTTTGGGGTAGGTGCACCACCCATTTTAGTCTACTTTAGTGGGGGATTGGGATGTTCACTGGGGGTACAGGATTTTGACCCATGGCCAGTTCATGCACTTGGCCGATCATTTGGAGTCTGTCTGGATCCAACATGGGACATTCTCGAATTCCCCAGGGTTTGTTTGATGAGTTCCCAGTACTGGTTCCAGACACCCCGGCCGATCTCAAAGGCCCCAAACATTGGTTCCTGCGCGTCTCGACGGGTTCAACGCAGGAAGAACAACTGAATGAGTGGGAATCGGGTCCTTTGTTTTCTTCTGGGCCTGCATGTTCTTTTGAGTTGGCACAAAAACTGCCCCCTCCCCCTCCCAGTTTTAGGAGCCTAGCCCTGAGATTTCCTGACACGTACCCGAACAAATGCTATTTCTTCTCACTTTGGCCTGGGGCAAAACACTTGCGCGACTTACTTTCTTGTTCATCTGTGGTTGTCTTTGTGGGCGAGGAACGTGCTTGCTTAATTTCCCACATTCTCTTGTGGAGCAGACTATTATCCGTGGCTCGGCTCAGGTGCTGCAATGATCAAAGGACCATGCAAAGCGTGGACTCATCCTCCCAGTTTGTTTGTTCACATTCTGCAGGTTGCTCTTCAAGTCAAAAAGCAATTTCAGGCAACGGGCCTTGCAAGGAGAAACATGAGTGCCCCTAGCCACCAGATAAAGCCTTCGACCAGAAAGTTTCGAACCCTTGGGGGAAGAGAAACAAGGCCATCTTGGTTTTCCCCTAACATGGCCGCCCCTCTTTCCAATAATCATCAAAGTGGACATGCGAAACATAGTCTTCCCAAATGTTCTGTCAGCTTCCAAAGTAAGGGCCTCGTGTTCACATTGCCAAGGAGAACTTGGGCATCATCTACAAGTGGCTGGATGACATCATGCCTGCTGGCTGCAGCAAACAAAACAAGCATACGTCCTTGGGGGGGGGCATTTAAAATGAGGTGGCTTCAATCAAGCGAACAAGCCAGCAAACAACTGACAAGCAAACAACTGACAAAATGACTGACTGACTGACTGACTGACTGACTGACTGACTGACTGACTGACTGACTGACTGACTGACTGACTGACTGACTGAGTGACTGAGTGACTGAGTGACTGAGTGACTGAGTGACTGAGTGACTGACTGACTGACTGACTGACTGACTGACTGACTGACTGACTGACTGACTGACTGACTGACTGACTGACTGACTGACTGACTGACTGATTTAACTCACCAAACTACCTAACTTACCAAACTAACCCAACTAAACAACGTGTAACTAAACAAAGCTATCTGGCTAGCTAACCAACAAACTGAATTTGGACGCAGTGCTCTCGCCGCTAAGGTGGTCCCAGAGTTGGGACCACAGCTCCCACCGGCAAGTGGCCTACAAGCAGCTCAAGGAACTCGCGCAGGCGCTTGAAAGTGGGAAGGGGGTGAGTGGTACGGGAGGTACACTGTTGCAGGTAGGTGAGCAGGTGAGCGGTAATTTGCATGTAGGTGGGTAGTTGGGTGAGCAGGTTGGCGCGCAAGTAGAAAACAAGAAGTAGAAGTTGTAGAGTAGCAGTAGTCGTCGCACCTCGCCAGCGGGAAACCGACAAAAAGGGAGAAACATGTTGTTGGCTCGGGTTGAACCGGTATGTCTTGGCAACGCTCATTGTGGTTCTTAAAGTGCAGGGGTGACACTGTGCCAGACGCGGTGTACATGACGGAGGCTTCTATAGTCTGGGATCATGTTCTACTTGGCTGTGCTTTGCATGTGTGGCACTTCTAACTTCGAAGATGCGCAAAGAGACGTCGCGTCATGGGGATCGGACTTCGCCGCCCCTTTCTGGGTATGCCAGAGTTCTGCAGCGTGGGAACTTGCCTCGAGGGTTCCGATGTTCGGGAATGCGAGGCCTTTTCTTTAGCTTCCGGGGCTGCTAACTATCCAACTTTGTGTTTCCAGTGCCTTTTGGGGGTCAGCTCTCATGTCAACATGGTTCCAGCGGCAACACTCGCTTTCCACAGTGTTTGGGCTCCAGGCTCTAACCCACCCGCCCCCAAAACCAGCCCTTCAACCTGCTCCAGCGTTGCTTAGGTGCAGACTTCAAACCTGTCAGCCTTTTGCGGCACATCCACAGCCTCTACTTCCATGACCCCCAAAAGGTCCTGCGCAGAGGTGGGCCCATCACCCCCTCTAGTTCCAGCCACTCTGTCTCCTAGTTCCCCCAGTAGTGCCCTTGTTCCGTTTCTTTTTTCGGGGGAGGGTTCCCCCACCAAAATAGGCTAAGAAAGTTGGTACCCTTACTCGAACCTCTCTACTGGAGGAATTAGTCTCCGATGTCATCAGGTGAGCGCTTCCTTGCCATCTCTGTCCTTCGGGGTGGGCGCGGATGCCCGTTGTGCGTGGGGCCGGATGTGGCTCCTGGGGGGGTTGGCGTTTGCGAGCCATTCTTGTGGCGGCCCCCGTTTCCTGAGTTGCGAGATCCAGTTTTCAGGTTGAGCCGAAATCCATTGTTTAAGTCCAAGTCCCTTTTGTGACACATCCCCCGAATGGAGGCCCTGTTTGGACCCCTCGCTGGGTGCTAAATTACCCATAACTGTGTGCAGGGAAACCACAAGGGGATGGGTATGTTTTACGTGTTGCCAGAACGCACACAACTGGCACCCATGAACCTCGTGGACCATGAAGGGCGCCAATGCTTTTTTGAACCCGACTGTGACAATCAAATCCTGGGTTTGGGTACACGGTGAAAGTCCCTTTGGCCGGAAGTCAAGAGAATAACAAGACCAGAATGGGGAGGTTGTGCCAGTGTACCCATTTCTTTTATACTGGCGGTTTACATAGAGGAAGTACTTGTTTCTGTTATTTGTTACATGTATTAATATATGTATTTGTTCTACACAAGATATACATTGTATATGCACAAGGGGCACCATTTGCCCCAGGAGTATGTGGTTGGTGGATGTGGGGGGCAACCCCCCAAAGTGATCTTTTTGATCTCGGATTCCTTCTAGTCAACTTTGGTTCCCTTCCTACTGGGCTTCCCTTGGCTTTCAGGTCAGATTCCCAGGTCAAGCGCTGTATTCCTACTTCTGGTTCGAGGAGAACGGGCCCAAGATCCACCTGGAGGTCGGGGGTTTGGGGGCGGACGCGAGCGAGCCCAAACCCGAGGGCCTCTTTCGGGGGGCGACCCTTGCGACGGCATGGTGACCAGGAGCTTCCTGAGCCCTTTCTCGGAGACAAAAACGGGAGGATTTCCCGAAATCTCCGGAGTTGGGGGCCCGGTCCAGACGACTTGATGGGTTTCCAGGTGGTTCGATTGGGTGGCAACTGAGGCTTGACCCAAAGGTGTCAGCTGCTTTTGCTGCTACATCTTCGGGGTTTTGGTGAACAATATAAGAAGCCTTCGGGGCTCAGTTGAGCAAGTCAAGCTCGTGCTTGAGTTATGTTGCTCTTTGTTCCTGGCACCAAAATTGCTGGACACGGACATTGCCTTTGTTTTCTTTCTTCTCTCTGTTGTCCTGGGGCTTTCGATCGACAACGTAGATTTTCACCGCCTCTCCCCCCCACACCAGTACCAGGCCCCCAGGAAGAAAGCGTGCTAGCGGAATCTGGCCACGAGTATTCGTGACTATTGGGTTGGATCTTTAGACTTGAACCTTTTGGGGAAATACAGGTGTTTTCTACTAAACCCCCCAAAAAGGTTAAACACTTTTTGCAGGTGGGTCGTTACCGCATCGATTTCGCTGAACATCTCTCATTGGGACTTGAACGCCTTCTGCGTGGCCAAACCGGCCGGTTCCTGGGACCCCGGTGCCCCAAGTGCCGACCACAAAGGGCCCCTTTCCACAAACCGCCAAAAGCTCAGGCACCCAATCTCGCCAAACTGAATAACCAGCAGCATTTGCAGCTGAACATGGAAGCCTCAGAGCACTTGGCTACTTAAAAAAAAATTCGCGCTGAGGGTTGATACGAGTGAAAGCCAGGATTTCCGGCCTTTTGTTTGGGGGATACCTTTTTCCCAGGTCATTTCTGGCGGCATTTGCTCGCGGTGTCCAGCAGTCTATGGTCAATTTTTTGAGGGACATCAGCGACTTGCCAAGTTTCCCGCAAAGGCCCAGGATATTGGCCATGACCATTGCAGTTGTTTGTTCCATATTGCTTGTTTCTCCTTTGTCAAAGGCTAATTCTACGATGTTGATTCCATGTGCCCATGCCCGTGTTTTTGGGCCCCGAACGTAGTTCGTGGCAAGAATCAGTTTGGCCGTTTTAGCCCATCCACACGGGAAGTGAGAAACCGGGCTCCTCTTCTTGCACTGCGATTCAGCCTTACATTTCGAGTGCCCACCTCCAGTGGCAGTTGGTCCCCCCAATCCCCAAGCCGGACAAGCTGATGAGGTATTTTCTAGGGGCCAAGCAGCTGCTCCTATTGACAAGACGTGGCTTTCAATACCCCAAGAGCTTGTTGTGGTGATCCAGGCCCTGAAAGTGCCCAGCGGCAACCAAGGGGTTCCCAGTAGACAAAAGATAGCACAGATCAAAGGAAACAAGGTCGCTCTTTCTTGGTGGATTATAAGTTGGGGGGGCCCAATTTCATGGATAAGGAAACAATGTCACTCTTTCTTGGGGGATTATCATTTTGGAGGCCCCACTTTCATGGACAAGGAACAAGGTCACCCCTCAAAACCAGTTGCAAAAAGGAAGACTCTCCTCAAAACCAGTTGTCAAAAAGGCAGCAACCCCACTGGCAATGGGTCGATCGGTCGTGGATCGCAGGCGGCAGACCTCTCCGTGAGCCTGCACGACCTCAGCTGCTCGCTCGGATGTGGAATGTGAGCAGCGCCGAATCCGAGTTGATCTGTGGCTTCTCTTGAAGGTAGCCTAGGTCCCCCAGCAATCGGTGCCCTTTCTCACCCCTTTTTTGGGGGAAGGTGTTCCCTACTAAAATAGACGACCGAAAAAGAGTTGGTACCCTTATTCTAAGCTCTCTACTGGAGGACCTAGTAGCTCTTCTGTTTGTTGGTCAAGAAAGATATGACAAGGCACCCTGTGGGTTGTTTTTGGAGGCAAAGCAAGTTCAAGTTCCCTATTTTGAAGGACATACCACCCGTAAATTCATGATCGTCTTGTAAGGATAGACATGGGCCCGCATTCTATGCACAGATCTCTGTTGGAGTTGGAATACGGAATGGCAATTCTCTGGCTGTACCAACGATTTGTTGTGATTGACTACGTCATTGGATGCTTGTATCATGGGATGCCCCAACCTCCCAAGATATGTCCCTTCCGGCTTTCCACCAGAGGGCTGGCTCGGACGCTTGGCTCAGTTAAGTAGCATTACCGACTTAGAAGTCCCAAAAGACCTCTACCCTGGGAATGTTGACCTTGGATCCAAGCAACTTTGATGGGTCCCAGAAAAGTGATCCGGATTCCCACCAGAGAGGGGACGGACACCCCGAACAATCGACCAGGCATTTTTTGTTGAGTGGTCAAGATTCTTGATTTGCGTGGCCCGCCACTCCCATCCGCTTGCCCGAGCCGCTTGCCGGGCTTGCCGAGGCTTGCGCCATAGCGGGTGCTGGGATCTGAGCCTCGGCGTGGGCGCGTTCCTGGGCAAAGTCTGCCACGAGCGCTGGCTCTTCCTCATCATGCTCTGTGCCGAGGTGGGGGCCGGCCGAACTTCCTGAAGCGCCGCTGTTTTTGAAGCGAACGAGTTCGCCGAACTGAAGCGCGAACTCGCTAGCGAACTGAGAGACGTATCCAACGAGCGATTTTTTTGAAATAATGGGAATCATATTTGATTCAACCCAAGCACATATTATGTTGAATAAATAATTCGTATATATACATATGTATATGTATACACACATATATACTGGCTAGAGACAGGCGATGCCAGCAAAAAACTCGGACACGTGTGCGATGAAGGATGGATCTTTCTCTCGTTCTCTCTTTGCTTCTGGGGCCTGTGGACTGTTTCTGGCGACCAGAGACCAAGAAGGGGCGCCTTTCGCCTCGAAAAAATTCGCCCTGCGCTCGACCTCTTTGGTTGTCCCGCGCCTTTCTTTGGGCCACGGGGAAGGCGGCCCCTAATTAGGCCGTGACCGGAAAATTTTCGAAGCCTCGGGCCTGGGAGAAGCTCAAAAAGTGCATGAAGTTGGGAAGTCCCAATGAGAGCCCAACCCCGGTAAAGTCGAAGGAACACCGAAAGCTTGGCCGTGGTGGACTCCTGAAGCAGGACTATAACCTTGGGAACCTTCCAGAGGCCCAGGAAACCTTGAAAACCCTTGGGTTTAAGCCAGCCCCAAACTTAGAATTTGAGTTAAGACTCATTCTTGATTTTGGACACTCAAGCTTTATAGAGCGGCCGTAGGGATGTGACTTGTGATAGAAACACATGCAGTTAAAAGCGCAGCATGTACAGTGCCGAGGCATTGGAGCTGATACTACGTGTGAGCGGCTCTGTTTGAAGGGTGGAGACTCCAGCCATACTAGCAGTGATAGATTCCCTTTAAAACCAACAGGGGGAAAAATGTAAATCAGCCAATGGAAAGGAAAGAGGGAATGATTTGGGAGCCTTGGAAGTCTGGTGAGTCAGGAGCATTCGGAAACCAGCGGACTCGGTCCGATTGACATGTCCTCTCGCAACCTGTGTCCGATTTTCGGGCCAGCCCTAAAGTGAACAAGGTACCTCACCAGCCCGAACACACACCAGCGAAACACATTCGCCAATCTGAGAAGTCCCGAGCCACATCCAAGCTGAACAGTACTCAGCTTCCAGCCAGTGCCTTCGGCTTCTCCTTTGGCTTCCCCCCCCCAAACCGAAACGCGCCGCGCGGCTCGCGGATCGATCCCGCGGAGGTGGGCACGTCCCTGGCGGCGCAGCGACGAGAGCTGCCGCGCGCCGCGGCGCTGCTGCAGCGCGCCAACCAGCTGCCGCTCGGCGAACTCGTCGGGGGCCAGTCGAGGGCGAGGAGTGGTTCGAGACGCTCAAGAAGTTTACTTCAAGTTGCTGAAATGACTATGCTGGTAGTATTCCTTGCTGGTTTGAAATGGAATCCATGACTGATGTTTCTTTTTCATTTGCTAAAATGAGTATGTGTTTAGTCTTCCGTGTTGGTTTTAAAGGGAATCGATTTCAAGACTGGAAATATACATATATATATATAATTCCAGGGGGCTTAAGCAAATGGAAGTTTGCTAGCTTCCTCCTACTAAACTTGGGTTAGGATCCGGAAACACAAAACGCATCCTGAAACCCAGTTAACCCATATTTAGGCCCGTACCGTATACCTGTACTACACGTGTGGCAAGTCTTTCGCCTCCCCCCCTTGCCCACAAAAAAACGAGAATTCTTGCCTTTGGGCTGGCAAAGGGGTACCCAGAAAGCCAGTCCCCGGTCCCATCTTGACTGGCTTTGTGGTGTGGGAAGCTTCCCCACCCGTTTCATGTTCTGCGGCGGAGGCCGCGCAAAAGGCCGCAGGTGTTTGTGCTTTTCTCTGAACCAGTTTTTCCAGTTTCAACCGACCTCTAGGCTTGGGGAGCCATCACCATACCAAGAAGGGCTACGGAACCCAACGTACAGCATGACTCAAGCATCCCCCAGGTTGCCCAGCGCTCTTTTGACTACTTTTTTTTTTTAAAAAAAAAGTGCCAAAAACTTGCTGGTGCACAGTGGGGAATGACCCATGGTGTTGGGAATGAACCCAGCCCCCTGAAGGAACCACCAGTTGGATGGTTTTTTAGGGGCCATTCCATTTCTCATTCCCTGCCTCTCTCGCACCGATCGCAAGTTGTTTGTTGCCCGTCCACCTGCCCAATTCTCAGGGTTCCCCTGAATCAGTGGTTTGGATGGGTGGTTTGGGGATTTCAACCCCTGGTTCTTGGTTTGGGGCAGCGATTCCGAGAGGTTCACCGAGCTGCAGGAGTACCCCTTCTTCAGCTTCCGCCAGTGGCAGGCGCTTCCCTCGGGGGGGGGCTGTCAGGGCGCTGACGCTGACGCGAAGCCTTGCACCTTTCGGGGTGTAGAGAGTTGGTTCCCTGGATTTGGGTTAGAAATGAACCCAGCTGATGGGAACGCAGGCTTTTTAGGCTTTGTTTCAGTTTTTATCAGTCTTCCATTTACCAGTGCCTATCTTTGAAAAATCACACGCATGGCAAACGACGTGGTGTCTTGTTCCCGGCTTTTGTCTCTGTTGGTTGTATTGGTACAACGAATCAGTGGTAACTGTCATATTTTCTCGCTCCTGTTTCATTTTGGTTTAAATGTAATTTAAACGGCAATGACTGGAATATATGTATATATATATATATGTATACACGTATGAATGGCAATGACCGGAATCTAAATGGTAATGACTGGAATTTGCATGGCAATTCAACCGGTATATGTTTGGTTTGTGCACCAACAAACAGACTGTGTAACTTACCCCTTAAAAAACACAACTTTTCAACTCTTTGGGTAACATGGGCTATATGTCTGTTAAAGATGAGAACTTCCCCAGGGCGCAGGGAGTTTTAAGGGGTAGGGAGTGACAGAAGTGTGCCAGAAGATGTACGACATCAACACCAACTCCCACGTCTTCCCCGAGGGCTTCCGGCAGCGCCCGGTGTGGCCCACCTCGGCGGTGTCTTGACTTCGGCTGCGGGTGGACGGCGGCTCCCAGTTCAGTCAAGGCCCCAATTGTGGCACAAGAACGCCTCGAAAATCGCCCAGGGAAGCAGCTGTGTTTGGAAAGGAATGAGTGTTGAACAGCAGTTCCGCAAAAATAGCCTCCCAGCAATTCACAGCCGGAGACGTTCGGGGGTCCTGGTTTGGACGATGTTCTTGATTGGACGGTGGCCGGGTGCCTTGATTGGGGATCTAGGTCTTGTCAAAATGGCATAGGGCCACAGGGCACTCGCGTGTTTCTATTTGTTTCACAAAAACCGGGGGCACGCACGATTTGTCCGTGTTTTGTGGGCTCATAGACGTCTGTCATTTCTTTGAGCGCATGGTTGGGGGTGATTGAAAGGGAAACTGCACTGACTTGAGGGTCTTCCCCCCATTTCGATCAACGAACCCTGTGGGCAAGGCTTCCCCCCAATTTTGATCAACGAACCCACCGGGCATAGAGAAAACCCTTTGCTTGAGTCGCACCTAGGTGCCGTTCGCCGGCTGGCTGGAAGAGAACTACCCCGTCTTCCGAGAAGAGCTGGCGACTTGCCGAAGCGCGCAGGGAGCGAGGCATGCGGCGCTCGCTCGAAGCCAAGACCTGAAACAGCCAAAAAAACAGTTTACTCCCTCAGACTGACATGCATAGGTGTCCTTTTTGGTTGGTTTGCTTGAACAATAGAGGGCGATTCCTGGTTTAGATGGGGTTTATACCCCATTTACCAGGGAAGCCCATCGAATTTTCCAAAAGGCCACCTATGCTAACAGCCGGAAGCTCCCAGGCTTCCGTAAATAGTCTTCCAAGTCTTCCAAAGGGGTTTGTTCGGGAGCTTCCATGTTCTGGGGGATCCTCAACCTCCGGGCCCCGAAAAGTGTCTCCGGGCCCCCGAAATTTCTTTCGCCCCCAAAAAATGGATGCCTTGGTGCGCCACCAAAAAAGGTGTATGCCTTGAAGTGGAGATAGTTTGGACCCGAACTGTTCTGGTTGCACATGTTGGAATCCGCTTGAGTGGAAATGCCCGGTCTTGGTCACGGTGCCTAACAGTTGAAATCCGCAAGCCACACATCTTCGCTGTCCCTACATCCCGAGACCTGGTTTCAGCTGCTCTTGGTGGTTTGGATTGGTTTGGAGGTTAGGGCTGGTTTCCCATGATGGTTGTAGTTTTTTTTATCCCCAAGCCTATCCAAGCCACTCTGGTTTGTGGAGCCTGTTTGGGGGGATTCCATGACAGCATCCTCACTAAACCTCTCAACAAGGACAAGGGCCCAACCCCCCAACCAGGCTCCCGCAACAAAAGCCAAAGAGGGTTAATATTGAGGATGTGATCCTAACCCACGCCAGGTCGTCCCCCAAAAATCAAAGAACAATCTCCCCCCGGCACCAACTAAGGGTAAGCTGGTGGTTGTGGCTTTGGACAGAGTGTGGGCCAGGACAAAATCCTCAAGCCACTCCAACTCTTTCGTTCAATCCTCCCCCCCCCCCGCCTCCGCGCTTCTCCGGTTTTGCTTTTGTTGGGGGACCGGGTCCACGCAGAAAGGGGGGGGGACCCGGGGGAGAGGATCTCAACCAGGGCCTCAAATCCTCCCCGCCCCTTCCCCAGGTTCTTGTTGGGGACCGGGTGGGGGCCCCGCGGAACGAGGGATCTGGGAGGGCCCTTGGTGAGGATCACATCCTCAACCAGAGCCTCTTCGACTCCTTGTACTTCATGGGCCACGTCTCCATGACTCAGTTCTCCGGGCGGCGCGAGAGCTGGGCGCCCCTCAACCTGCGCCACGGACGGACGGAAGCGGCGGGAGTGGGGAGCGAACCCTCCTTGCGGGTGAGGCGGCCCTGCCTGTTTCGGGGCAAAACCACCAGGGAAAGAACCGCTTTTGGGTTTGTTAGGGGGAAAACCACAAGGAACACCACGAGTTTTTGGGTGGCTGGATCTCTCTTTTTCCTTTTTGTGTGGTCGCTAGACCTTTTCGTTTTCCTGTAAAGACATAGAAGAAGGGGTACCGTCAAAAATGGCATGGCTTTGAAGGGTTAAAGGAAACACAAAAGCACAGCCGCCCATGTTTAGTTTGTTTTTTCTTGGGGGGGTCCCCCAAACAAAGGCACATGACTCCTTGGCTACAACTTTTGCTCAGGAAAACGCCGTCGCTGGCTGTCCGGTGCCATCTATCCTCTTGCTTTGGGGTATGGTTGGGGATGAGAGGTAGGGGTATAGGGATACCTGGACCCTCAAAGTTCCCCCAAACACGGGGCTTTGGCCAAGAACAGTCAGCTCCCCTTGCTTATGGGTAGTTTGAGGGCTCAGGTTTAAGGGCGAAGACAGCCAAGACGCTAAAAGCTGAGGATCCACAATCGGGAGCTGGCGGTTCACGCGTGTGAGGCCCGACGAGCATATGCTCAAGCCCGATTCCGCCCTGTGCTCAACTTGTTTGTTGGGCTTTGGGTTCCTCTTCAAACTCAAACAACCAAAGACTTAAAGAAGGATGACCTTTTCCGCTGGGCATCTGCTCAATGGTTGGAGCCCCAAAACAGGGTCAAAATACTGTAGTTTAGGGGGGGTACTGACGATAGTGATCATTCGTTTCATGCAGCAAGGAAATTGGGCAAACATGTGGGTTCCATTTTATTTGTCCATGACGGCCCACGCAGGGAAGCGAATAGCAGTTTGACGGCTATTGTCTACCATCACATGACATCCGTTTTGCCATACCATCACATGACATGAGGGTTGCCTGTTTCATATTGAAGATCCCAGGTGATAGAACCATGTTCCGGCGCGTCGAATTGGTGCAGGACCTCTTGCCCTTGACCCTTCCAGCGGGAAGAACACCCAAGCCCAAGAGGTTCAGCGAGTAGACATGAGACTTGCTTCTCGAAAAACCGGCCACTTGGGTACCTTCAAGGCACACGTCTTTTGTTATTCCTCGGTCTTGTGAGGAATCGGACCACGCCAACATGGCGCAACGGCTTTCTGTTTGATTTCCCTTTAAAACGCAAAAGCGGTAGGTACCCTCAAAAAGAGAGAGAGAGAGAGAGAGAGAGAGCGACCCATGTCTCAATAGCCCGCCCAATTGGTTTTCCTCGGGTCGACCGGGTGGGTGAAGAAGGTGAACCATTGCCCTGGTCCTTTGCTCAAGTGAGCCTGGGTCCTTTGCCAGATTTCACTTTCTTTGCCCTCCCAATTCACAGCCGGAACTTGACGTGACATGGAGTCCCTTTAAAAGGAACATGGTCTTCCACCAAAGTCCGAACGCCAGGTTCCGGCTGTTAATTGGCGGGAGTTCATGGAATTCCGTTCGATGAGTCTCTATGATTGCCATGTGTGAGGTTGTAGGTTGCTTCTCTCGAGTACCTAGGGGATCCAGGGGGGAATGGTTTCTGAGAAGAAATGTGTGGCATCGATCAGGGCCCAAATTGCTGCTTGGAAGAATCTCACCCATCCTCTTCAAAAATCTACCATGCAGCGATACGGCTGGAAAGTAGGGTTCTTCGCTCACACCACCTGTCCTTCAATTTAATATATTATACTCATAGACGTATTATTTGGTTGGTATCTGGCTATCTTTGTATACTCAGGTGTCCAAAGCCGACCTTTCCTTTTTGGTGTTCCTGTTTTGGTTCATGATTCGTCAAAGCCCCAAGAGCTCAACGGCTTTGTTTTCCGTATCCTTTAGGAAACTGAGTCTACTTGGTGGCCTGGGAGCCATCCCTTCAGCTTCTTGACTTTTTAGTTGGTTTAGTGGTTGGGGTTCCGAATTTAACCCACAAGTTATTCGCTTTGAGGGGATCTGAGGGCAGCCCAGTCGATTTTTTCCTGCTGGTTTCTTGTCGAGTTTCAAAGAGTTTCGTAGGAAAATCTACAGGACATGGCACCAAAACACGCTTCAAATAGGCTGTTCTCCAGTGGAATGTCCTGCAACCCAACCCTTTCAGAGGTGCATTTTGCTTGGATGCTCGGACTTTTAACTTTTTGCCAACGAATGAACCGGTCTTCCGTATTACACCCACTAAAAGTGTTCAACTCTTAGCAGAGTTTTCTCAACTTTTAGCAGGGCTTCGCAGATTTCGCCACAAAAAAGCTTTGAACGTGTCACCCGCGCCTCCTCCCGGCCTCCGGCTGCCTCGGAGCCGGAGGCGGCGCCGCGCAGCTGCGCGCTGCTGCAGAGCCGCCCGGAGATCGCGCGCTGCCACGCCAGGCGCGATGGGAGGTGAGCCTTGTCGCGGAGGGAACCCTCTTTTTGGTGGTTTCAAGGTGGAAAAAAAAAAGCAACAACAAAGCCTTAAAAAGACAACCACCATAATATCCCAAAAAAGAGATGGATATATCCCAAAAGCGGTGTGACACTTTTCCTCCATTGGCTGAAATGAAGATTCTTGTTATTTTTTCCCTTGTTGGTTTGAAAAGGAATTCATCACTACTGGAAATGTTTTCTCTTTTTTTCCTGGGCCTCAACCAAATGGAAGTTTTTGTCTCAGGTGACCCCCAAACATTACGGTGGTTGTTTTTCTGGCTTCCCCTTTTCTTTTTGGTTTCACCTTGAAACCACCAAAAAGAGGGTTCCCTCAAAACAGGACACGCCCAATTTCGGGTGTGCAACCTTGTTGGTAGCTTTTGGGGGTTTGAAAGAAATCATGTCCTTTTGGGGACAAAAATGAGACGCAAGTTTGACCTGGAGCTTGACATGAGTTACATGTTTTTCGTGGGGAGGCAAGGAGTAACCCCTGTGGAAAGCTGAAGGTTGCAGGGAGTTCGCGTTTCAGTTGTTCTCAGTTGCGATTGCCACAAGCGAATTCGACTTGCAGCGAATTTGCGACTTGGAATTCGCTGGCAAATGCCTTCCGATACTTTCAGGGGACAGGACTGTTGTTCTAAGCAAGCCCACAAGAAGAAACCAAGAGACCCACCGGCACCCCCCAACGGCTTTCTGGACAGTAAGGGGACTTTGGACATGGAAGAAGCAGACCAGTTGGGACCCAATGCCTTTGGGCAAATTGGACCCAGCCAAGCGACCACCGATCGCTTTCTCGCCGCTCTCTCGGGGACAGAAGCGCGGGCCTCGCCCTGTGCTACTGGACCAAAAACCGTTCCGAGGAACCACTTGGGATTCAGTTCCCATCCCAACGGGTGCACAATTTTGCCCACAGAAGCTTTTTTGTTCAAAACGCCTGGTTTGCTTTTTGAAGAGAGGGGAAGAGCCTGGGAGTTGAACGTACACACAACACTTAGTGCTGGAAAAAGTAGATTGATTTGGTTTTGGCCTTCAACCCTAGGCCAAAAGCTCACTCAAAGCCGACCTTTTGACCTTTTGGCTTTCCCATTTTGGTCCATAGTAAAGGTTAACCCTTGTATTTCCGGGCCTTTGGGCAAGTGAGAAAGGGGTTTATCATTTTGAGACATACACTTTGAGGTCCGGTCAAAACGTCCACGGTTGAAGAGAAATCAGAAGGGCTGCTTCAGTTCCGGCCGCGAAAAAGGAAGCGAGGGCGGTTTTCCTTTCCCATTTGGCCATGGCTCAAAAACATGGGGAATTAAAATGGCACCTTGGTACATGGAAAGACCAAAAAAATCGTGTAATTTTTTGCGGCTCCGTTTTTTGTTTGAGCCACACCCAGTTAAAAATGGCCCTCGGAGTGGCTCCCCTTTGCTTCCCGCCTCAAAAGCCCGCCTCCGCAGGGACGTGGGCGCCGCCTTCGCGCGGCTGCAGCCCGGGATGGGCATCAAGCCGCACTTGTGGAACGCGCCCCCCAGGCGGCGGACACCGCGGGTTCGCCTCATCCCTGATCTCGCTTGCGAGAGGATGGAAGGGAAGGTACATGCGAAATGCCGGTCGGCGATTGTCTACTTTGCCAAATCGATCACACTTGTCGTAGTTCTATGACTTAAGTCAGGGTTGCCGGTTTAAAGGGATCCAAAGGCGGTAATTTGAAGGGAAACCACTGGCAAATTGATCAACTTCGAGGAAGTACCAGCAACTCCTGTAAGACATCCGCTTAGTTTGTGGGGTTATCAGAACCCTGAGGCCTTTGGCGACTAGTGGAGAAGGGGGTCCCACTCTTCTAATACTGTTTACCCCCTTTGGTTGTCCTCAAAAGCAACACTCGGGTATGAGTTCGCCCAGTTGGTTGATTCCCGTTTGAAGGGAGACTCGATCCAGGCAACAAGAAGCCCCTCAGATTTGCAGACAGATTCTGAACATGGACCGCAAGTCAAAGCCTGAATCGATGAACCGCTATTGGTGCCTTTCTTGGGATGTTAAGGGCTTCCAATCCTCAAAGAAAAAGGCACCCTCAAAACCCGGCACCCAGCCGTACATTGGGATTTCCAAAGAACAGTGCGCCCAGGAACTTGCTCCTCGCTTTTCCCTTGCTCAACAGTTTTCCCCGGTCCGACCCAAGGATTTTCTTGGGAGAGCACGGTTTTTGAACCGCTTTGAGGCGTAACCTGGGTCAATGTTTGGTGGCGTCTTACACCTTTGCCCTGCAACACCGTGGTAATCGAAAAGAGCCTTGAATCCACGTAAGTTTGGACCGAAAATGGACCAACTATGGGCGTGTCTTCTTTGAAGCTACCTTCTTTTGTGGTCTTAAATGGAAACCAAGGGACACCTTACCACTCTCTCGGGTGTTCCCTGAAAAAATCGACGAGCCGCCCGTGTTTTCGTTTTTGTTGGGCTACGTTGACCATGTCGCTCTTGCGGAAAACTGTTCAGCCTCGGATGTCGCAAGTCGCCAGGCTGGCGGCGCATCTGGGGCTTCACACGCCCCCCGGGGCCAAGATGTGGGTGGCGGACCAGGAATGGCGACGACTTGGGCCGCGGGAGGCGTTTGTGACTCCGTTCGCTGAAATGAATACTTTGTTATTTTCCCTTGTTGGTCTTGAAAGGAATTCATGACTACTGGAAGTATTTTCTCATTTTTTCCTGGGGCTTTAACGAAATGGAAGTTTTGACTCCTCTTCATGTTGGTTCTTTTCCATGTCGCGTAATTACTCTTTTCATCGAAAGGCAGACGTATATGTCGGTTATTCTCCCTGCTTCTCCGTGTTGGTACTCTTTTTGCCAGACAGTCAACTTTTGGCCTCTCTGCCGTTTTTCTTCGCTTTTTCGTGGTATTTTCCAGTTCTATCAGCAAAGAGTTGACTTGCCGGGGGGGGGGGGGGGGGAAATCTGCCTGGAGGAGTTTGGAGGCTAACGGCCATCCACAGGCAAACCTTGGGCCATGCTGAGGGGCTTTCCCCCGAGGGTAATTTCCATGGGCCGGGAAGTTGCCCAAGTGTGAAGTCCGTTTTCACGGTTCAGCGCCAATGAGTAGAGAGTAACCCGCAAATGCCGATCCACAAATAGGGCTGCCCTCAAAGAAAGACAGACCCACATGTTTCCACGAAACTCAGTCAGAGACAAAGGACGGGAGCTTTAAAGCTGCGATCTGAACCTGGACGCGTCTCTTGTTCTTTAAGCTAGGCCCCCCAATCGGTGCCCTTTCTCACCCCGTTTTTGGGGGAGGGTTCCCCTACTAAAATAGACAAACATGAAAGAAGTTGGTACCAACTTCTATCCTCCCTACTGGAGGAGACCTAGTTAAGGCAGACCATCTTTCGCATTTTGAGGTCTCCTGTTTTCGAGACTGCCGCTGAGCATTCATCATGCCTCAGATTTTGCGCACTCGGGGGTCAAACGAGCTCACCCATGAAGGGCCCTTAGCATGGGCTTCCCCATGTTCCCAAGATTGGGAACATTATTCAGGTCACCCTTAGCTTTTGAGGAGGGTAAATGGGAAACCCCTCCTTAACCACACCACCGGGCTCCAAACCACTGGCAAGAAGCTGAAGTACGGCACCTTGTGCAGTGATCACCATCCGAAAGCGCATTGCTTCTGGATTTGTTTTGAGTAAAATATCCTCAGCTCCGACAAATGAAGAGTTTGTACACTCCGGAAAAGCCGGTACACTTCTCTTCTTTGCAGGGCTGCTTACATCATGAACTCCGGAATTTCGAACCAAACCGCCAGGAGTTGCAATGGGCCGAGGGCAAGGCCGTGGTCTTCGATGCGCCTCGGAACTGGTGGCTTGTCTCTGGTCTCCCTTTTGGTTTCCCACTTGATTTCCCTTTTGGCTTTCTTTTTGGGTTTGCCTTTCGGTTTCCCTTTTGGTGTTGCTTTTGGGTTTCTCTTTTGGTGTCCCACCTGGTTTCCCTTTTGGTTTTCCTTTTGGTTTCCATTTTGGCTTTCTTTTCGGTTTCCCTTTTGGCTCTCTTTGTGGCTTCCCTTTTGGTTTTCTTTTTGATATCCCTTTTGGTTTTCGTTTTGGTTTCTCTTTTGGCTTCCTTCTGGTCTCCCTTTTAGTTTCCCCACTTGGTTTTCCTTTTGGTTTCCCTTTTGGTGTTCCTTTTGGGTTTCCCTTTTGGTTTCCCGACTTGGTTTCCCTTTTGGTTTTCCTTTTGGGTTTTCCTTTTGGTTTTCTTTATGACTTCCCTTTTGGTTTTCGTTTTCGCTTCTCTTTTGGCTTTCTTTTTGGTTTCCCCTTTGGCTCTCTTTGTGGTTTCCCTTTTGGCTTTCTTTTTGGTTTGCCTTTTGGTTTCCCTTTTGGTTTCCCACTTGGTTTCCCTTTTGGTTTTCCTTTTGGTTTCCATTTTGGCTTTCTTTTTGGTTTCCCTTTTGGCTCTCTTTGTGGTTTTCCTTTCGGTTTTCTTTATGATTTCCCTTTTGGTTTTCGTTTTGGTTTCTCTTTTGGCTTCCTTCTGGTCTCCCTTTTAGTTTCCCCACTTGGTTTTCCTTTTGGTTTCCCTTTTGGTGTTCCTTTTGGGTTTCCCTTTTGGTTTCCCCACTTGGTTTCCCTTTTGGTTTTCCTTTTGGTTTCCCTTTTGGTGTTCCTTTTGGGGTTTCTTTCCGGAAGACTCATTCCAGTGGAGTCATGCCGCCATGCCTGAGGCTTTTTCCTTTGTACCTCGTTTGGGCTCAATAGGCTCAGGAATTGTATTTGTGTTTGGGCTAAAGACGTGCTGTTACTGCATGCTGGGTTGGCGGGGTTGGTTTTGAGAGGGTGGTGCGGGAATACCGTTTGTCGTCGACTTGCTTTTCACAGGACCTGCTTTGGCCAGGCAGCATGCGCATACTGCTCCAAGATCAGAGCATACGTGGTAATTTACATTGCGATGTAGCATGATTGATTTCAAGGGCCACATGCCGTACACTCAAGAGAGGCAGGCTGTATACACCCACAGCACGTTTCGATACGCTTCGGACATGTGGTCTTGGCACCCCCAGTAAATGTTTTGTTTCCCAGACCCCGAATCACAATTGCACATAGATTTATTTTGCGATCTGAGTGGGCCCTATGGCTATTTGCTATTTGTATATTCCTCTTTCCACTTAGGACTCGCTGCTATTGCACACTCAGTTGCCATTGCGTCAATCCTGTTCCGTGTCTGAACAGGGCAATCTTTGCACGGTTCCGCTACTCAAGAAATGCCGCCACGCCCGAGGCCTGGTGGTTGCGTGAGGACCCGTTTCGACCCAAATCTGGCGCTCAGAGCCAGTAGCTTCTGGCTTGGCCCCAGACGCCCTTGAAGCGATGCAATGAATCTTCAGCTGGAACGAGCACATATGCCTGTTTCCTATATGGAAAAGGGGAGATCTTGTTTCCTTCAGAGATATGCCCACAGAGAGTACCCAACTGCAATGGTCTTGGTTCCTGGCCATGGAAACGCCCCAATCTTGACACGGGTGCCTCTGGGGCAACGCCTGGCAATCGTCTTGTAGGTGTTTAGCATGTTTAGCATTTGGCAGACGAATGGGAGGCAGGGACCGTCCAGCCTAACATCTGTCCTCAGACCATGGAGGAAAGCCAGCATTCTTGCGAATGCTCCAAGCTCCGAGCAGATTCGGCGCTTTCCTGTGCAGCCATGGCCATATGTACCTTGGGCTTTCCCTTGACAGCCGCGGACCAGAGTGCTCGGTCACACCGGCGCTGAGAGAAAAAGGGCCAGCAATCCGAGACCTTCTTCGAACCATACTTTAAGCTTGTAGTTGTGTTTTTGCTGTGTTCAGAACGTGCAGCTCGTCAATGATGGTTCCAGAGTGCCTGGTTTCCCTGAAAGTGTCTTTCTCAAGGCAAACTTGCATCAGGAAAGTTGTGGACCTGTCACTCAAAAATAAATCGGGACAAAAAGCATGGAGAGAACTATCACAAACAATCGTACTGTTTGGCTTGCCAGAAGCATGATTGAGCACTGCCAGCTTGAGAGCAAGGACCAATCCCATCGAACACCGTCAGCCATCTGGTCAAGGGTCTCCACAACCAAATCTGTGGTTCCCGTGGGCAGTTCCTTTGTTATTGCGCAGTTCATGATGTTTGTGGCAACGTTTGGGCGAGTTGCTCGTGTGTTATCCAAGTGTTTCCATTCAGTGCCTATGCTGGCTTGCTAGGAAAGTGTTTCGCGTCTTTCCATGCCGCGTTTGAGGGAGAGCTTGCCACAGGTGGATGTGACTTGTTGGAAGCATATGGGCGCGACAGTTTTCAGCGCTTTTCATTTTGTGTGCAACGAATTGTTTGTTCGACCAGCCTAGACGTTCTAGCGCACGTGTTTTCTTGCTTCGCTTCTCTGGCAGTGATAGGGCCTCAGGAGTCGCAGCTTGGGGCCCAAAACGCAGACGGTGATGTTGGGACCTTTTGTCGCAGAGCCGATCTTCGCCCCATGCCCCAAGGGGCTTGAGCCGATCAGTCGCTTGAGCTGCCAGGGGTTGGGACACGGTACTCATATAAGAAGCATTCCCCCAAGCATTTGTGTCCTTTACAGGATAAGAGGTTTCCCAGAGCCAATATAAAAACTTGCGGAGCTTGTCACGAGGGATGCTCGCTTGCTTGACCTACGTGCCATTGGAGCTGTGCACTACGAGCGACAGCGCAGTGAAGCCAAAGCCCAGAAGTTGAATGCCGATGCCATCACTCAATTGCGGGCACCTGGCCGTACCTGGAACAGTCTCATCGCAAGCCAAACGCGAAGCAAGCTGAACAACCGATGGCCTTTGGATCCAATCTATGAACTGCCTCACAAATGTTTGCGCAACGCCCCTATTCGCCTGGAGCCGCTAGAGCCCGGGCAGGCCAGCCCGCGCATGCGGTTGGAAGCCGAGGTCGGAGACCTGATCCTGAGCTTTGTTTGGTAGGGCGGCTTTTCGACGAGAGTGGCCTAGCGGCCCACCATAGGGCCTGACTTTGGAAAGTTGTTTGGACACTTGATGGTACAAGGTTTACGCTTCGCTTTTTTCAATCTTGGCTATGTTGTCAATTGAAGATTCAATGTCACCACAACTAGCGCAACAAAGAGAGTGCGAGAGAGAGAGAGAGACACACATATACATATATATATATATGCATTGTGAAAATATTACCAAGTGTGTAATATTCACACTTGTGTTACACTTGTGTTGACACGTTGCCATGTGCTGTCCATCATTCTGTAGCAGGTATCATTGACCATAAATTGTTCAGGTCTATTCTACCATCTCGCTGGATATGTAATTCCTTGAAACCCTTGCAGCGTTTACTGCTCGAGTTTACAAACAGTCGAGCAACTTGGCTTTGAAATCCAATTTTGGTCATTATGCGCATCATACGCAGGACTCTATTTTGGTACGGTTTAATTCGATGTAGATCTATGCAGCCTCTCGCTCTCTCTGTCTCTCTCTGCGACGCTGCGTATTCCATTGTAAGTCCCTTTTATCTTGCCGGTTACCTTGTGTATAGACACTACTCTCCACTTCATTTAGGCAGCGCCTTGAAGCTTTTTGAAAACCATTGTTTCCGTCACATCAAGTTCAGCTTCGCTTATTAGGTCGGTGATGAATCCCTGCCACTCGGTTGCTTCACGTTTTGTGCTATTGCAATACGTTTATGCAAGTCTTAGATTTGAGTCGATTCCGGTTGTTGGTTATAGGTGCTCATCGCCGTAAGACGCTACTTCATAATACCTTGCTATCCTGGGAAGCAAGGGGATGGTTCCCACAGATGCGGTTTGTCTCGATTCCTGCCCTGTCCGAGCATACCTGGTTTTGGCCACGTGGGGGGGGGGGCCTTGTTTTTTCTTCTTTTTTTTTGCCTTGCCTTGTTTGCCTCTTCATCCTCGCTGGCCTCGCTTTTCCCTGCTGACCTTGCTTGCCTTCCTTACCTTGCTTACCTTGCTTACCTTGCTTACCTGAATTATTTTGTCTACCTTGCCTAACTTGCCTGCCTTCTTCCTTGGTTAGTTGGTTGCCTAGGCAGGCCTGTTTTCTGTAGCCGGCTGGCACGCAAGATTTCGGCGTGCTTGTTCTCGAATTGCGTGAACCTGTTCTTGTTCTAGTTTGGCGAGCTTTGTTTTCACTCGCACTGTGCATCGCAAATCCGGTTTCACTTGAGCTTGATTTGACTTGATAGTTTTTTGTGTGGTTTCATGAACGCACAAATGTATTTGGATATTTCAGTTGGCTAGATTCATGGTGTGTCAGGCCTTTTGTGTTGGCAATTCCCCCCTCCCCCCAAACACACCACACTGCCAAGCACTCCTTTTGGAAAGGCCACTCTGATTCTCAACTCCTGGGCTTTTTCAACACCAAACCTGCTTTGGCCTATGGGCCGGACAAAGACAAGTTAGGGGTCAAGCAAGCTAGGCCCCGGTGGTTTTGTGGGAGGAGGATTTGACGGCTCCACCTGACGCTCCATCCAGCTGCTGACTCAGCTAGTGCCAGCGTGTGCCAGAATTGGCCCCTTCCACACGATTCTGCGATGTGTCTGAAACCGCAGGCAACCATTCTTTGGTGATTTGGTGCTTTGGGGATTTGACGCCCCTCTGTTGAAGCTCAATGGGAAGGAAACCCCTAGACTCTAAACCATCAATTCAACCCCCCAAACCAGCGATCCAGAGGCAGAGGGCCTTGTTTTGAAAGCCAGCACCTATTCAAAGACACCCACCCTGAAGGGCCACCAGATCCCGTAAAGCGGTCCTGGGAGCCTCCAGGTGCACGCTACGCCTGCACACATCACCGGGGTCATGGCCAAACAAGCAAGCAAACAAGCAGACAAGCACGCATATGAGCAGACTAACAACTATAGTTTCGTACACGGGCTGGTCTTGCATGTCCAAGGTCCAGGAGCCTATTGCCAAAAAGTGCAGCAAAGATTTTTTACGATTCGATCTGGCATTTGACCGCCCTGCCCAGTGACACTAAGCGTTTAGAACACATGCCGTCCAATCCTCGGCTATGGAACCTTTCAGGATGGGCGCAACTTCGGAGGCTTGCCGAAGCAGAGTGCCTTTCCCTGACTGTGCCTAGATCTGGTTGGCGGCAGACTTGTGGCTGGAGAAGCATTCCTTCGGCTTTCCATCACTTCCCTTCAGGTCTGCCGATTTCTCCCATGTTTTTTTTTGCATAATGCTTCCCCACCTTGCAGCCAAATGTCTTCTGTTGCAAGGCAAGCTGTTTTCCAATGCCTGTTCGAGTTGCGGGGGATTCTGAGAACTGGTGTACCTTAAGGGCATTGCGGGCCAAGCGCTTTGGTGTACGTCGTTTTGCGAAATTGCGCCTTTGCGGTTCGAAAGTAGAGACGCACATAATTGGCTCCCTTCTCAGCGAACCTGTGCAGGCGGTCAGCCAAGCAGCAAAACTTTGGAGGCGTCGCAGCTTCGAGTTGCTTCATGTCGGTGCGACGTTTGGCGCTTGCGTTGCTTTGTGATGGCTAGTGCTTGGTTGAAGGCACATATCACATATGACATGAACGTATACACAGCTTTGCTTGCACTCTTTGTGGCCGGCGGCCACATTTGGTGGTTTTCACTCGCAACAGTTCCACGAGTGCGCTGCTGTGTCGACATGATTGCTTGACTATTCTCGCACACTGCATTGCTCCGATCTTGTGTCAGAATGGCTGTGAATGTAACTGGGGCATTGTGCCTTGAGCTGGTCTGAATGTGTTTCCTCAATTGTGGCACCCTCAGGTTGATGACCCTTGACTATCGTGCAAAGCATTGCGTTCTGGGCAGTTCGAGCGTGAAGCCTGTGCAACATGACATTGTGGCTCAAGCTTATTCAAGATCGCAACCAGCGCATCGCAACGGTCTCGCCCAGTCAATAGGACACTGGGCAACTGCGGCACCTGTCTTGGGGCTTGCGACAAGGACTGCAAGATCTGCGCAAGCCGTGAGTGAGTGCGAGGCGAGAAATCGTGCCATCCTTTGCGTTGTTGAAACTGTTTGCATGTATCGCGCCAGTAGCAAAGCAAAGTGCAGTACTTTTCGGTTGTCTCACCGCGCCAGGACAGAACATGTGCCTCCTTCACCAGCAGGCGGGCGTGCAGGTAAGGTTACGTTGTTGTGTTGGCTTCAGAGCATTTGCAAGCGTTCTGAGGCCTGCTGGTGCACATATTGGCGGCTTAGTCTTTGCGCCTCGCATCTACGAGTGTGCATTCGGGAAACGCGACTCGTCAGCCAGATGTCGAGCGCAGGCAGGAGCCGCTTCGACTATCATGGGCCGGCGCCTCAAATTGCAAGTCACCCCAGCTAACAGTGGCAGGTTATAGAGCGATTTTAGGGATATCCTTTGGATCACGCTACTGGTGATGTGGATTACTGTTTTGGAGAGAGGTGACGGGCATTCTCCCGTTTAGTCTCACTAGTTTCCAAACCAACCGTGCAATTCGATATACGGCAAATGGAGCGGTTTGAGGTCTTTCGGCCAGTTTCAGTTGCAAGCTGCGCACCGAGGCTGAGGCCTTTGAGCGATCCACGGTGATCCACGGGCGAGCGACGCCGTGCGCTAGTGCGCAACCCACTGTGCGGTGTCGGCGCTCAGCGCTTTGAGGCTCTTCGCCCTGGAGATCATCACTCCCAAAGAGCAACAAAACTCCCACCTTTCCGAGGCTCGGCGTTTGCAGTTCCCACAGGTTTTCCTGCTATGGATCGTTCAAACGGAATGCTCGTCAGGTGCACGTGGAGGAGTGTGCCTCCATCGGCATGTTCCCTTTTGGTTTCCCACTTGGTTTCCCTTTTGGTTTTCCTTTTGGGTTTTCCTTTTGGTTTTCTTTTTGATGTCCCTTTTGGTTTTCGTTTTCGCTTCTCTTTTGGCTTTCTTTTTGGTTTCCCCTTTAGCTCTCTTTGTGGTTTCCCTTTTGGTTTTCTTTTTGGTTTCCCTTTTGGCTTTCGTTTTGGTTTCTCTTTGGTTTGCCTTTTGGTTTCCCTTTTGGTGTTCCTTTTGGGTTTCCCTTTTGGTTTCCCACTTTGTTTCCCTTTTGGTTTTCCTTTTGGGTTTTCCTTGTGGCTTTCTTGTTGGTTTCCCTTTTGGTTTTCCTGTTGGTTTCTCTTTGGTTTTCTTTTTGGTTTCCCTTTTGGCTGTCTTTGTGGTTTCCCTTTTGGTTTTCCTTTTGATTTCCCTTTTGGTTTTCGTTTTGGTTTCTCTTTTGGCTTCCTTCTGGTCTCCCTTTTAGTTTCCCCACTTGGTTGCCCTTTTGGTTTTCCTATTGGTTTCCCTTTTGGTTTCCTTCGTGGTTTCCCTTTTGGTGTTCCTTTTTGGTTTCCCTATTGAATTCCCACTTGGTTTCCCTTGTGGCTTTCCTTTTGGGATTTCCTGTTGGTGTTCTTTTTGATTTCCCTTTTGGCTTTCTTTTTGGTTTCCCTTTTAGTTTTCGTTTTGGTTTCTCTTTTGGCTTTCTTTGTGGTTTCCCCTTTGGCTCTCTTTGTGGCTTCCCTTTTTAGATTCTTTTTTGGTTTCCCTTTGGGCTTTCTTTGCGGTTTCCCTTTTGGTGTCCTTTTGGTTTCTCTTTTGGTTTCCCTTTTAGTTTTCCTTTTGGTTTTCTTTTTGGTTTCCCTTTTGAGTTTTCCTTTGTAGTTTTCCTTTTGGTTTCCCTCTCGGTTTCCCTTTTGGCTTTCCTTTTGGTTTTCTTTTGGGTCGTTTTTGAGAACGGGGTTGGGTTGCGAAACCACAATTGAGTCTGTCATGTTTTTTTGCCTGCCGTCATGTTCCACCCGGAAGCGATCTCCCTGTTGTCTTCCTGGACAGTTGAAGCACCGAACAGTTCCACCGAGAATGTCTCGCAACTCTGAATCGAGACTCAGCAACCCACATTGGTGTTTCCCAAACTAAGATTCCCCTTTCCAGGACCCATCCCAACAACTGCTTTTGAACAGTACCAAGGGGATTTTGGACATGGTTGAAGAAGCTGACATGTTGAGCCCCCGGGGGTGGCCCCAACTGTTTGGCTTGCCGTCATTCAGAATGGAGAGGCCTGTGCCATGTGCCCATTGGGGTTTGTTTCAAGGGAAATCAAATGGCAACCAGAGTTTGAGACAAAGTCACCTGTCCCTTCCAGTAGGCAAGCATGCAGGGGCACGTTGCCACGGAAATACCTCATGGATTTGCCAGCACAAGGTTTGCGTGCATAAACCCGTGTCTCCAAGGGTTTGGATTCAAAGGGAAAGGAAACCATCGCAAAAAGAGACCCCGCCCCGCTCTCGGTGAACGAGGGAGGATAGAAGTGTTTTCTGGACCGGGAGACACTATTGAAACTCTTTCAGGTACCATCCACAAGGGCCGTAATTTGTTGTGCAGCGCCTGGGGTTCACATAAGATCCCTGCGCAAAGGACACCTACATCCATAGCGTGGCGCACGAAGGAGCCAACGCCGATGGCTGTGTTGCACGATTTCGACTGCGAAAGGTCCCATTTTTGGAAGGGCAAAATGGGGCCCGAGGTTCAACTCGGAAGTCTTAAGATGCGCTTCAACTCGGATCCTGTCCAACAAGCATCCGACTTCAGCCCGATGGAAGTGGCCAGTTTTGGGGGTCACGGGATGGCTGAAAACGTCACTTAGCGCCGTCCTGCGAGCTCATGGCCATTTTGGAAGCGCCCAAGCTCAGTACCTCCCTTAACCCACAAATCGCCAGGGGGGGGGGGTTGTACTTTGGGCGTTGCCCCTGATGCCAGGCCAGCGCCAGAAAAGGACTTCGCTTGCCACAACGGTTCAGCAAGCAACAAAAGCAACGCATCTGGATCTGGGGTCTTCTCCAGGACAGCCCAGAGATATGAACCCTACTATGAACACATATGTTTGGTGTCTCTCGCGAGTTGGGCCAAGCACGCAGTCCAAGGCCAAGGAGTTTCTCGGTATGCCCCTTCAGGCCTCCTTCGCTTGGGTCCTGAGAATGTCCAAATGACTCAATGACAGTGGCTTCCCACTATGCATTCCAGGGGGGCACCAAGTGAGTTCCATTGCCCAATGACTCAATGACAGTTAGTTTCCTCTCACTTTCAAGACGTTTCACATGCATTCCAAAAGGCCTTCGACTGACCTGGGACCCGTGACGGGCGGTTTTGGACCGCAGGCAGCGAGGACCGGTACCTGCTCATCACCTGGTTCTGCCACCCCTGCGACAACATGCACGCAGAGGTCCCCGCGGAAGACCCGGAGCGCTTCTGCCCCTGAAAAAGGCGACAACTTGAGAGCGGTGCGGAAAAGGACAAAAGTGCTCAGCTAATGTGGGCGGTTGGGTGGAAGGTGCGTCATGTCAGTTCCATTGAGCTTCTCTTTCCCCGTGATAAAAACGGGAAACTCTTTCCCCATGGGAAATTGGAAACGGTGGAAGGGTGTGTTAGTTCCATTGAGCTTCTCTTTTCCCATCACAAACCAAAGGGCCATGAAGGGTTCAAGGCAGGTTTTGCCATGCCAACTCTTTCCCTTGTTTAAGGGGAGCCAAGATGGTTCTGTAGGATTCCACTTGCATTGTTTGTTTGGGTGCGCTATTTTTGGGTTGGGTATTCTTGTTGGTTGGTTTCAAGAGGGGAAAACCAAGCATGTTTTTTTTTTGTGGGGGTCCCCCAAAAAAGAGGGCGCCGCGCCCGTTTAGCGCCGTCTATGCTCCAAAAGGACACCTCTGGCCAGTTGAATTCCAAAAGAGGCCTTTCGGCATTCCAGGAGTTACGCCAGTCTCACGCCTATATCAAGGTGTCCGTAGAAAACAAAGCAGGTGTGGAGGCTGTTAGGTTGGAAATTGAGCTGGAACCATCATCCTCCAACGACCAGTTTGGGGATCTTGGAATCCGTTGCATGTTGCTTTGCAAGGGGACCAAACAGGTTGAATCATGTTTTGTTTTTTGGCAGGGCTTCGAGAGACAGACGTGTGTGTGTGTGTGTGTGTGTGTGTGTGTGATGTTTCCCTGTTTACGGGCCAACATGTTTCTGGGCAAAGCGGACGGACAAGGGCTGCAGGATTGAGGTCAACACCAATGTTTCGGCATGTTGCCCACTGCCGGTGAATCAAGTGAAGCGGAACATTTAAGTCGTGTCCAACCACTGCAACAACACGCAGCTTTGGGGTCTGTGAAGGTTTTAAACATGGGCCAGACTAACACATTTCATTTTTGACAGGTGAACTAGCAACAACACGTTTAGCATATCACTTTTGGAGTTAAACGTGTTTCCAGCCAACCAGAAACACAGCCAGGTATATTTTTTTAGGAATCAGGCCCCCCAAAACTCTCAAAACCACTAAGAAAAGGGGTACCAACAGCCACCCATCGAAACCTTTGGCACTTTGGGAGCTCGCAGGAGAAGCCGATCTTGACCTCGGCTGTGGAGCGGCGACAGGCCAGTGACTCAGTCGTCGGAGTCGGGCAGCACCCAAGCGGTTTGTTTACCACGGTCCTACTGTGGATGGACGAAATCCATTTCGCACCACCTGAGAAACCCGGGAATTGATTCCCTCGTAAAGACCAACCAACAATGGCTTACGGTTTCAAAGTGGCGCAGGATTTCGTCCATCCACAGGTAACATGCTTTTTGGAGAGCAAGGGCATATTTGGACACGTCCCACAAACTCCCCCGGTTCTCCCCAACAGCCTTCAGCTGTGTTTGCCCAGATAGGCTCCTTCGGGGTGGTTTGGGGCTTGGGAGGCTTCCGGAGGGCGAGTAGCTCTGATGTGTTTTGGGTTTAAGCCGCCGTTAGTATTGCTCAAGCAGCCGTTCGCGTTTTTGTAAAGCGGGCCCGGGGCCTGGTTTCAGGTAACCCTTGGTGCTTGGACTGGTGGTTTGGATCTGGATCTTGAACCTTCGGGTCCGGAGGGTAGTTGGGAAACCGTCCCGAACCACCAAACCACCAATGGGAAGGAAGCTGACTCGATCCCCAAATCGAGATGAGGGAAAGATTAAGTTGGATTTCAAGGGATACATCGTTCGGTGGGTCGACTTTATTTTCTCCGGGCCTTTCGAGGCAAACCCTGGTGGTTGCAAAGACGAGCTGGAGACCTTGTTACAGGATGAAGAAGATGGCGCAAATTCTTTTTGAGCAAGTAAAGGGAACTAAATCAACATAGGTTGGAATTCTGCCATCAACTAGCACTCACTGTAGAGCCAATGTTTGCTTAGACCACCAGGCCCAATTCGAGGGCGACCAGAGTGAGATTGTTTAAGCATGTGTGGCCCAGCTTTTGCCACCTAAGTCAGCAAAGTCTCGACGCAGTGCGCTTGCTTCCCTGCAAGTTGACGTGGCTCGTCGCCCCAGAAAGGAGGCATGATTTCTTTTTCGGAGCGCCGAAGAGGGAGAGCTTCCTTTTTCAAGTTGACCGGGCAGGATGGCTTTTTCCCTGGTTTCCATTCCCTTGCCGGCACATCCAGGACCCCCCCCCCTACTATCCCCGGTTACTTGCCAGCCCCCCCTTCCCCCGCACAAACTTGTGGCTCGGACACCTGGGCCCTCAAAAAGCTGCTTCTTGAAGGCCAAATGAGATCTGGGGGGTTCTAATTTTCAGAAGCCGCCACAGCGGACAGTTTCTGGTTTCTGGATTTTAGGGGGGCCGGCTCCTATTTATTATTTGTGTGTGTGTGTGTCAGTATTGGGGGGGGACCCAAAAACTGGGTAGTTCCCTTATGGTTTGCTTGTCTAGGTCCCCCAGTAGTGCCGTTTCACCTTTTTTTTGGGGAGGGTCCCCTGACTAAAACAAACTACAGAAACAAAAATCGGGTACCCTTATTTTAACCTCTCTACTGGAGAACCTAGTTCTAGACCCACCGCGCTCCTTTTTTAAAATGGAGGGTCCTAGCCACGGCCACGCTGAGAAACATCTGACTCGCCAGGCCTCTGCGCGGCGGCCAGGCGCGCCCATATGTGATCCATAGGGGGTCCGGGAGATGGAGTTTTATAGAAACCCGCATGGGTATGGGTCAAAAATAAACTACCATGGGACCACAGGTTTAATAGAAGTTTTTAACTTACCAGGGTTCCCATTTTGGGTACATGTTTTTGACCCACTGTCACATGGCCATGGGTCATGACCTATGCCTCCAGTTTAAGGCGGATGAACACCCATGTAGCACCTATTTTGATGTTCACCAGGGGTACAAGCTTTTGACCCACAGCCACACGGATCGATCCAGCAGCGAAACAACTCCAGGGATTTTGGGCAAAATCAGGTGCTGCTTAGTTTGGTGGGTGCTTTGGGTTGGCTGGTGCTTTGGTTCCTTGGTGCTTTGGTTCTTTAGTTCCGCAGTGGGCTGCCAACAAACAAGTACAGCTTTGTGCTGGCGTCGTCCTGGCTGCCAATCTCTCGGACTGTGAATCATTAGAAGTTGTTTTACCTGGAGTCTCCTTTCGAGCCTTCAAAATTGGGTCACCCATGACCCTTTAACCCCATTGTGAAAGGGTCAACAGGAGACTCCAAGTTATGGACAAGCCTCCCAGAAATGGCAACAGACTCCTGCAGTTGCGGATCTAACGCTGAGCCAAGCATCTTGCCTGAAGGCTTCCCTAACTTGGGGATCCTTTACGTGAAGGGGAAAGCAGCATCCATTTGGAGAGCTGATCCTATTTGAGGCAAAACCTTAGTAGTTGCCGTTCCTTTGAGAAAAAAACAATGCGAGAAGCCCCAACTTTCCACCCAAACACTTCGGCCAGCTTGAAGGGGAGCTGGTTTTCGTTGACCAGTGACAAATGTTCTACGCCTGCAAACTCGGATGCACAAATTACAATTACTTTTTCAACTCAGGAGCAGGCGCCAGTACAACAACCCTTGCAGTTTTCTCCAAGACGAAAATCGCAGATTGGGCTTGCACCGATCGATTGATTCGGTCGAATGGGAATAGCTCTGAACAAGGATGCAACACTTCACTCTTCAAGGGGATGTCTTCACGGTTTTTACTTGTTTCATTTCTGTTCACTCTTAGTTGGTGGCTGCAGCAAAGAAAAGTGTTTGGCTCACACGCCAACAATTGGACTCTCAAAGCTTGCTGGTGCGAGAAGTAGGGAATGTGTGCCTGAACCCAGGGTTTTCCCCTGAAAGGGTTGGATTCCCTCATTCCCTCATTCAACCATTCCTGAACGATGATGGATTGGTTGGTTGGATTCCCTCATTCCCTGCCGATTTCGCAGCAAGAACTACCCTGCGAAAAGGTTTCCGCGAGACTCACGTCGATTGCCTCCAGGTTGGAAGGCGACCCCGGCCCGGGGCCCAATCAACTCGAGCGTGACCAACCCAGCGGTTCCAGTCACGGCGGTGCCTCCAGCAAACCGTTGAAATGATCGTCCACCCGAAGAGACGGGAAAAACGGGACGCAAGGAGCACACCCCAAGGTTTTGGGCGATGCAGTGGACACCTTGAGGGGCTTGTTGATGACAAGCCCGTGTCGAGGCTTCAAAACCTAAGCCACTAGCATGTGACCCTGTCAATGGAGGCAATGCTAAGGCCTTTTCCGGCTTGGGGCGAAGCGGGCCCCTCGCACTCTCTAGAAAAAGTAGTTTTTCGAAGAGGAGCTTTCTGAGGTTAATAGGATGGTTTCTACTTAGATCCAGGGTCAACATTTTCACTATTCATCGCTGCCAGGGCGAACCACTGATTGCGGTCCTCCAGAAGACCTTTGGGCTCTGCTTTTGTTGGGTGGCGGTTGATCCACCATCCATCGTGCAGGTTTAACCCTCCATTTGCTTAATAAGTTTACTTTTATTTTCCCTTGTTGGTCTCAAAAGGCATTCATCACTACTGGACATATTTTTATGGAGGGCTGTTTATTCTGGGATTTTTCCCCGTTTTTCTTTAATATTTTTTCCTGGATTTTGCCTTATCTGGCTTCTTAGCTTCTTGGCTTTTGGCCTTTGTCTTCTTGGAGTCTGGGCTTCTTGGTTTCTTGGCTTCTTGGCTTTTTGGCTTTTTGGCTTTTTGGCTTTTTGGCTTTTTGGCTTTTTGGCTTTTGCCTTTTTGGCTTTACTTTATGGCCTTTGTGGCTGTGGCTTTCCGCATCCTCAGCATCACCAGTAACACCCCAGCATCACCGCCTTTTGGCTGTTTGGATTTTTGGCTGGTGGCTTCTTCCCTCCCATGTTTCTGTAGATGGGGGGGCTGCGCCCCCCCCAACCCCCCCGCTTCTTCGTAGGCAACGAACCCAATGAATCCAACGCTCACAGTTCTAGACTCACGTTTTGGCCAACCCTAAACCACCACGAAACCCACCCCAAACCACCACTAAAACTAGAACCAACCTTAAACGCCAACCCTAAAGAAACCCTAAAGAAAACTTTAAACCAGCAAGACTCCCTAAAGAAAACCCTAGACAAACCCACTCTAAACCAGCAAGAGACCCTCAACTCTAAACCTACCCTAAACCAACCCTAAACCCCAAACACCAATCCCGAAACCCACCCGAACCCCACCCAAACTAACCCTAAGTCTGCACTAAGTTTGCATTATTCTATATTGATGCTTGTATTATACGATGCGTACTAAACCAGCACAAAGCCATTGCTAATAAGCCCACCTCAAACCTCAAACCACCCCCACTAAGCAAACCCTATAGCTCCCTAAAGCAACCCCAAAACCAATCCCTAACCCCCCGTACACCAGCACTAAACCCAAACTAAGCCCTTAACAAGCCCAAAGCAAACGCGACACCAACCGCCCCCTACCCCCCCAAACAAACCAAACCAACACTAAACCATCCCACCTAAACACAACCACAGCCTAAACCAACTCTAAACTCACCCTAAACCAGCGCTAAACCCCTGAACCAACCCCCAAGAAGCCCACCATAAACCAGCACTAAACCATCCAGTACCTAAGCGCAGCCACCCCCGAACTTGCCTTAAACAAGCCTGGAACCCACCATGAACCAACCCTAGCCAACCTAAACCCACCCTAAACCCAGCCTAACAAATCCAACTCGTGATGCTGAGGATGTTGAAAAGGATGCTGCCGAGTTAAAACGATGCCGGGGATGTTGACAGCGCTGGTGCAAAACGAGTCAAACCACAGAAGAACCAAGGGAGATCGCACCTGCCAGTTCCAAGACAGAACATCCAGGAACAAATCCCAAAACAAAACGGGAACAAATCCCAACACATATCGGGACCCGTTTATTTTTTCCTGGGGCCTTAACCAAATGGCAGTAACCCGGAGACATCAGACCCACTACTCACCGGGCAGGGCCTTGCCTGGCGCTTAGGCGACAGAGATGCAGCAGCCTGACTGGAGCCAGGCGCTGTTTTTGCCCGAGTGTGGCGGCGTGTTTTTTCGTGGGCAACATCTACACTTGGCGAGTCCCAGCCGTCCAGTTCCTTAGTTTGTTGTAGGTTTTTGTGTTGGCTTAGTGGTTGGGTGTCCGTTTCACCCACAAGTTAAGCTCACTTTTAGCAGATCTGATCACAGCCCAGTAAGAATGACAGGGATTGACTCGCCCTTGGAACATGGCAGCTTCGGAGTTTGATTCGAAGCCTGGGGTTCAAGGATCGGAGGCAGCCCTTTCATGCGGCGTTTTTTTTTTGGAGGCGCGGGGTTGCCGCTTTTTTGGATGATGTGAAAGCGAGGCCAAAAGGACACAACACATTGTTCGGTTGCATATCCAATTTTGAGACAGAATGCCTAAACCCAAACTTCTCCCCGAAGCGGGCTCGGCAGAAGGACCCTGGTTTGTCAGGACCAACCCTGGTTATCCCCTCCCTGCAGGCAGTGGGGCGGCCCCCCCCCAACACAGGAACCCTCCCCATATTTCTCTTCTGGGCACAAGGGGCACCACGTTTTTTTTTGAGGGCGACAATTTTCCAAGGGATCGGGATACCTGTCAGGCAACCCTTGGTGAGTGGCTTGGGGATGTGAACCCTTCCTTTTGAAGCCAAATGGGGGAAGCTCAGCCAACCCAAGCTCCAAGCTCCAAACCACCAATCCGAACCACCCGGCGCAAAAGTATTGAAGCCAGTTTCACAAACCGCAGGAAGACTGCTCTGCGGCGCTGGCACCGCAGAGTATCCGGCCAGAAGCCCGTGGCTTTTTTTTGTTTTTTGAATTTGGACCAGAAGTTCGGGCATTTCCCAGGTGATGTTTTTCGCAGATGTTTTTTTCGTGGCAAGACGTGTAGAAATTGCGGGCTGGAAAAGTTGCCACTTGTTGTGGCCACGGTCCCTTTTGGTGATCAAATCTTGACTGCTATTGGGTTGGATCTTTGGACTTTAACTTCTTGGTTGAAATCAAGGGGTTTTCCACCAAACCCCCAAAAAGTTAGTTACACTTTTCCAGACAATTCAGCAGCAACCAAGAAACTGCCTCGGTTTGGTTGGCACAGACTTCGGGGACGGGCAGACCCAGCCGAGGCATAGCATCTCGTACTCCAACCTGAACGGCCAGGAGCAGGTGCACGAATCCAAGGCACGGGGACGCGCACACGACATCATATCCAGAGGTGTCCTGTTTGGTTGTTTTGCTAGAAAAATCGATGGCGATTCCTGGTTTACCTGGTGGTTTAATCATCTACCAGGGAAACCCATCTATTTCCCCTAAAAGGACACCTATGATCATATCAGGAACCTGCTTCGGTGCATTTTGCCAAGGGATGTTAGGACTTTAACTTTTTGCCAACTCATGGGTTTTCCGTATTCAACCACTAGAAGTTAAACTTTTAGCAGGGGAGGAGAAAGCAACCGAGCCTGGATGTTCGACATTGGTCAACCAAAAAGCTGGTCCAAAGGAAAACCCAGAAAAGGAAAAAGGCAAAACAACAACATCACCACTAGCAGCACACACAAGGGGTATTTCAATCCCTGTATCCTGTAGATTGCCATGTTTGTACATACGTCTTTGGGTGTTTTGTTTAGCACACCTGACACATGGGGACGGAGCTGATCATGTTTGGGCCGGGGAAGGTAAGGGCGAGCACTCATCTTCCCACCATCACCATTCCAATCCCCGCCATCCCCCGCCACTTCCGCCATCCCCCGCCCCCCCCCCCCCCCAATTCTGCGGGTGATCTTCGTTTTGTTGAGAGAACCTTCATAGTTTTGAGGTATCATTCTTCTGATAAGTGAAATTTCTGGTTTTTCCATTGTGTCCGGGTTGGTCGCTTGGTTGGCCTTGGAAAGCGGGACAAGCGCGGTGATTTTGTCATGCAAATGTGGTGTCCGAACGGCCTTCAGTCGATGGTTGGAATCATTCCTTCTCCCAGCCATGACTTGCTTGTGCCATTGCTTGGTGCGACCAAAACGTTCGACCTTGAGTCGTTGGGTGCTGGCTGAAGCCCCCCCTTCTTGTTCTTTGCGACGGGAAGCTTCCAACATGTGAAAGCTATGTTTTGAGCTTGCTGCTTTCATGGCTCTTTGGTGCGACCTTGCGCATTTTTGTGTGGCAACCGTTCTAGGAACAAGTGCTCAACTGTCTTTTGGGGTTGGTCGGTTGGACCCGCGAGACTTCCGGTCGGATCGACCGGCGACAGGTGACTTGTTCTGGCGACAATTGCGAGACCATGTCCAACGACGCGGCAGCCTCTGCTTGGCGTTTTTCAAATTTGATGCAAAGGCGTCAGGTCCCGGGCCTCGTTTGAAAACAAGTCGTGAAGCTAAGGATCTCCTAGCCCCCAACAGAACAAAAACACGGGACTTGCACACCAAGATCTTGCAAGCCGAATGGCCAAATCCAAAAAGTCGTTATCCAAGTCGAGGAAGCGATCTGGTGGAGTGGGGGGTTTGCTTTACACTCATCTTTGTGGAACTCAGGGTCTGGAGAGGGGTTTCGGGCCCTGAGCTGGAGGGTGGTAGGTAATTAATAGGCTGCAAATCAGGAAATTGTCTCGCCCTTTCGAGCTTTGTCTCGTGATCCGATTGTCAAGGGTTCCCCCCCCCCTCCGAAGTCACCCCCAATTCGGAGAGGCGCTTGGGCTCAAGAGTGGGGCCTCCGAAGAACCCCCCCCCCAATGAAGGCCGAGAACCAGGGTGTGTATGCTTCTTTTTCTGAAGCTTCAGTTTACCGGCCGTACTTTTTTTCATCGAGTGTCCGGCTGGTCGCTCCTCTCTCCGACCCATTTGGCCATGGGTCAAAATCCAAATCGTACCCCCAGTGGACATCCCAATCCCCAGTAAAATGGTTCCAACAAATAGGTTCTGACATGGGTGGCGAATTCACCTACCAGCCAAAATGGGATCCCAAAAACTGTTATGACCACCACAGCCATTTTTTTTAGGTTTCACCGCCCCGTGACGTCCGTCCGTGGAAGATGTGTTTTTTTTCGGGTCGCGGGCGGCATCGACGGCGAATCGAGGTCTTGCCTCAGATCATTCGGGTGAGGCCCCTGGAGCCCAAAACTTCCGCCCGGCGCCCGAGAAGAATCGCTTCGGAAGTTCGGGTCGTGAAGCCCGCGGAGCCGGAGAAACGGGACGTTGTGGTTGTGGTGGTGGATGGGATATAAGGGCCCCAGATGAATCGACCCGTTTATTCGGGTGTTTCGGGAATCACTTTTCATGGCGACCCCGGATGAATCAACCTGTTGATTCATAGTCCCTGGGTGAAATGAAGCAGACCACTTTTGCAGGGAAACAGCCCCCCTAGCAATAAACAGGGGTTGAAATTCAGGTGGGGTCAACATTAAGGTCCATATACTCCCCTAGAGATGAATGCAACGCCCCCAAAAGGATCGCTCCCAAATGTGTAGAGATGTGTACTTTTGGGACCCTGGGAAGCGGACCTTACCTTTTGGAGCTTCCATGCGAGTCTGGGCAGTAAGTCTTCACCAGGTTAGAGGTTTACCCCTGGTCAAGGGGTTTATGAATCTATATGAGCCAGCTTCAAGATTATCAAGTCATTTACTTGATGTAATAGCATCAGAATGCATACACCCCAGACAAGCAAATTTGACGCTGACTCATATGGCCATAGGTCAAAGTCCTGTAATTGCAGTGAACATCCCGATCCCCACTAAAATAGGTTCTAAAATGGGTGGTGAATTCACCAATCCCAACCAAAATGGGATCCCCTTGAACGGTCTACCGACCACCACAGCCATATAGGGTTCCCATCATGTTCATTCTTCTTTTTGAAGACCAGGGATCGGGTTCCGAGGGCATCCAAGCACATTGTTCAGGTGCGAAGTTGGAACTCCGGGCTCTAAGCATCGTCCCACCCCAAAACGGTGGCCCCTTGTTCTACCACACGGGTCACTGAGCTGTCAGGAAAGCCCTTAAGGGTTTTACCCAATTGGCCCAGAGTGAAACCTTGAGGCAGTTGGTCGATTTTTCCGCTACTCAAGTACACCAGTGATAGTCCGAACCTTCAGTGGGTTGCATTCTTCTGTTTCGACTCGTTTGGGGCGACCCTCCTTAAAATCAACGAACCACCAAAGAGAGAGCCCTATTTTTTTTCTCCCCGTGGAAAGCCACTGGGGCCTAGGGGGGTAAGGCCATTTCCGCGATCCAAGCAGCGAGGTTGGATCGGTGCGAGCGAAATCGGCAGGGAATGAGTTAAATGGAATGACCCCAAGAAAGAAAGAATCATCCAGCTGGTGGTTTCCTCTTCAGGGGATTTTTGGGTTCATTCCCACATCTGATCGCACCAACAAAGGTGTGTCTTTTCTGGAGGCAAGGGAAACCCCAAGGGAAACCAAAAGGAAGCGGCTTGCCAAAAAAGAGAGAGGGTGTTCCATATTCCTATTTGGAGACAAACCCAGAAGGAGATTCTGGAGTGGGTTTTTGGGTTCTGTGAGGGGAGTTTGCTACCTCCCTCAAGCTCATGACCTTTTTGGCACAATGAAGAAGGCACTGAGCAAAGGAGCCTTCAGGTTGGCGATGTTGTTATTTTGTGTTGGATTCATTGGAAGAGCTTCAGCAAATGGCAGCTGCAATCTGCCATGATTTCTCTTAGCCCATTTGCCTCAGGTTCATGTTTGGGTCTGTCTTAAAGTAAGGGAAGCTATCAAAAAACCGTGGCTATTTTTCTTGGTGTCCCTTACCACCGCCCTTGAGAGGTTTCTGGAGCCTCGGCCCAAAAGGGGACAGATGCAAAAATTGGGGACCCCACATGGCGCAACGGCAGTCCTCTTGGTGTCCCTTAGCTGGCCACAAAAGGGGTACCGACTCCCAAAACGTAAACCGGCCGCAAGGAAAAGGAGCTTTTCTTGCCTTGTGGTGCTTGTTTTTTTTCAAGGGAAGCGCCTTGGTTTTGGTGTTTTTGTCAAGGGAAACGCTTAAAGACAGACCCAGACGTTGCATTCGTCAGACTTTCGAGGCGCCACACCGCATGTGCGCAGGCGTGAGTTTTGGAGAGAGGGATGTGTGGAAATGGGGGGACCCCAAGACAGGTTTTGGTGTCAAACACGGGACCAGCAACATGGCCCAAGAAAAACGTGGTTTTCAAATTTACACCAGGCTGAGTAAAGGGTAAAAGAGGACCCCATTACGTGCTTTTCCCTTTCTCTTTACACCAGGCTGAAAGGGTACCAACTCCAAGAAAGACACGCCTTGTGAGCTCGTTTTGAAGTTTCAGAAGGCTCACGGTCTCGTCTGGAGCCGAGTCGTTTTGCTCCCAATTTGGCGCCTTTCCCCGAGAAGGAATTGGCCATGAATTTTAGAAGGGAACCACCTCAAAAATGATGGGTGGACATGAATCCCCACCTAAATGATGTCCACAGGGTCCCTTATTAAGATTCATACCCAATTGGGTCCTAAGCTTTGTAGTGGGCTTCCGAGCGGGATCGTGGAACCTGGGAAATCGGAGTCCAAGGCGGTTTCACCAGCCCAACCTCTTGCGCGTTTTAAGTCGACCGCGGATGAAGACACGCTAAAAGGGAGGGAGGCCCCCTACTGATCCAACAGGGCTTTATTTATTTGGGGTCAGCAATTATTTGGTTAACTGGTTGTGTTTTCAGTTTCTGTCTTGGCCAGTAAGTCACTGACTTCCTTTTGGCCTACCCAACAATAAGACCCCAAAAAGGCGCCGTCAAGCAAATCTGCGCGCTTCGAACAATAGGTTGGCTTACGATATGGGTGTGCGTGTTTTCGAGGTTCCCTTTTTTTGCTGTGTTTTTTTAAAAGGGAAATCAAAAGAAAAGCAACCACTTGGGGGTGCCGTATTTTGAGACACGCCATATCACCCTGTTGTTTTTTTCCTTTTATTTTCTCTCTCTCTCTCTCTTTCTCTCTCTCTCTCTCGCTCTCCACTTTTGCTAACCTCAAAGCATCAAGTTGACTCCCCGTCAGCCACCGCCAGGCTCGCCGCGGCTCATTTGGGACGGCCTGGACACCTTGGCGCCGCGGCCTCGGCGCTTGGCTTCAGCGGCGCTTGAAACTTGCCACCGGAATTCTCGCCCGGTTTGGGGCCCGGTTTTTTTTGACGTTTGGGGGGTGCCGAAATTCGAACCCCCCCTTTTTTAAGTTGCAAAGGACAGCAAGAGGAGAAAACCACGTTTGGAGCCCGGTGGTTTGGACGTTGGGGGTGGTTGCCCCATTTGGAGTCGAAAGGAAGGGTTCAAACCCCCAAACCACAAATCAAGGGTAGCTGAACTTGCGGTAAGGAGTCAGGTGTTGGATCTGGGAAGCTGTGTCAGGGGTTCATTATGTTTCCGGAGAACACGGGATCTCACAACAGCTCATGAAACTCCATGAAACTCCTTTGGGTCTGAAACAGCAGGTTGGGGATTTACTTTGATTTTACCTTCATGAATCAGTCAGAGCACTTTTTGTGAGGGGCCTCCAACCAGGGGTCTGCGTGCCTTTCGAGTAGTTGGGTTGCCTTGCCCCTCTTTTCTCGGTTAAAGCGCAAGAAGAGGAACTCAAGGAGTGACTCGTCTACCCGGGCCCGGGCAAGAAAAAACACATACCAAGCCGCATACGAATTGACTTCCACTTAAGCACCACAGAGCTTTTCCAAGCACCTTTGGTGGGTTTCGAACTTGAACATCATCCACAAACCAACGAGTGGTTGCCAGGTAGTGTCCCTTCCAGAACCCCGGGTCCCAACTTGGTACTGTCCAAAAAGGCAGTTGGGGGGTGCTGGTTCAAGTGTTTTTGGTCCTTTTAAAGCTGGGTTTTCATCCCAGCAAACAAGTCCTTTGTTCATTGTCAAGGTCTGACAAGTCATGGCTAGTCAAGTGACCAAGAACGGATTTTAGTTTCTGCGATCCTTGTTGACGATCCTTATAGGTCAAGTGCCCAAAACTGGGATGGAAGCGTGCTATCCTTTCTTTCCCAGCAGGCCAAAAGTCCCCTCGATCCAGGAGCCGAGTGGTGAGTTCGGTGCGGGCGCCCAGTCACCAGCGGCCCCGTGCGGGGGGGGGGGTTCAGGTGTAAACTCCACAAGAAAAGGGGGAGGGGTCCCGTTTTGGAGGAGGTTGGAGGGGTGTTGTTGGATTGTTTTTTTTGGTGGGATTTCCCGTGAAGATCAAAGGCCCGTTTTTCTTTTTCTTTAGGGCCTCACAGCTCATCTCCCATCCACATACTTCCTGCGGTACTTCTGTGTTCCTTGTCTTTTTCTCTCTTTTTTTTCCGAGGGCATCTCCATCGACAACTCAATCGCCACCTTTCAGGGAGTGGCCTTTATACTGCTCAGTTGTTCAGTGGCACCCTTTTTCCTTTTTTTGTTTTTTCTTTTTTTTTCGTTGGCTGCCCCGCTAAAAATGGTCTTCCCCAGAAAGGGTTCCCTTTATTTCCAGGGTCACTGAACAACTGAGACTGGGATCCAGATCAAAGGCCCTTTTTTCTTTTCTTTTTGGGGCCTCACAGCTCATCTCCCATCCACATACTCCCTGCGGTACTTCTTCGTTCCTGTTGTTTTTTTGTGTTTTTTTTTTTTTCCCCCGAGGGCATCTCCATCGACAACTTTCTTCGCCACCTTGCAGGGAGTGGCCTTTATACTGGGATCCAAGCATACGTAGGTGTTCTTTTTGGTTGGTTTGCACAAAAAATAGAGGGCCCTGGTTTAGATGAGGTTTGTTCTATTTACCAGGGCCAGCTATTTTTCCAAAAGGCCACCTATGGATCCAAGCCTTGGAACTTTTGGGGCGATGGGCAAAGTACATGCTGAGATAGGCTTTGGAGTGGAGCGGCTTCTGGTTCCAACAGGCCCACCTAGGGTGAGAAGAATAGCTGTGACCCGATATTACTTGGTGCGAAATCGGCAGGGAATGAGAAATGGAATGACCCTTATAAAGCATACTGCTGGTTTCCTGTAAGGGGCCCTGGGTTCATTCCATTTCTCATTCCCTACCGATCGCACCAGGATTAGCGTTATTAGTCAACCCCAGGTTGATTGATAGCCCTAAATTTTGTTGAAAAGACGGGTGTTGACGTGTGGCAAAAAGATGCTTTCGGAGCCGATCCAAGCGCAGGATCCCACCCCCCGAGTTCCTCCAGGTCAGGCTTCTTAGTTTGGGGGGGGGGAGGATGGGGGGGGTTGAAATCCCTCAACAACTTTGGTGCATTTTGCTTGGCTGTTAGGACTTTAACTTTTGCCAGCTAATGGGTTTTCCACTAAACCACTAAAAGTTAAACTTTTACAAGGGGAGCAGAAAGCAACCGAGACAAGTGAGCTGTCTTGGTTGGAAGGATACGAAATTAAAACAAAAGGAGAGTTCCTTCCGTTCACAAGGCGCCCCGCGTCTTGTTATTTCCCAGGCGTTTGGTTCCTTAGTTGTGTTTAGCTGTTTTGCTTGGTTTAGTTTTATCAGTGGTAGTTTCCATAAAGTACAAACCCACAAGTTCAGCAAAAACTTTTCGCAGAAAATTTGGCAGCCCAGGTGTTGCAACGCCCATCCCACCAGAACCCCCCGGAACCGCCCAGACTCGCCGCCTCTTCGGCTACACGGCGGCCGAGCCGGCGGCCGACCACGCGGCGCAGGCGCACGCGGCGGCGCCCGACCTGCGCGGGTGCCCGGAAATTGGTCGACTGGAAGCAGCCCCTTTACCTCATTCTCTGAGTTCCCGGACTTTTTTTTTGTTTGGACCATTTGGGGGGTAAACAAAAAGTTTGATTTTTGTTGGGCCCAAGGAAGCGAGTTTCACTTGCTCAAGAATACGTGTTTAGTTCTCCTGTTGGCTTTAATGTGAATTTATCACTGGAAATATTGTTTCCTGAGGACTTATGCAAATGCGCCAGCAGCTTTGAGCGACGAGGACTCCAACATGTTTGGCTCACGGATTTTCCAAAAACCATCTAAGCATCAGGAGCATGTTTGAGCGATCCCCAATGATGCCAATGGGGCGGTTGTTCGCAACTTCACTTGTGACCCCGTTTTTTTGGGTCGCCTACCTATCTCAACTTGACCAACCCACTTCAAATCAGGGGACGCATCCAAACAGCTTGCCTCCTCCTTGAATCCCTTTAAAGGGTTCCAGTTCTTTTTCTACCAGGGTCACTGAACCTTTGGTGCATGTTGCCAAGGGATGTTTGGACTTCAACCTTTGCCAACCACTGGGTTTTCCGTATTAAACCACAAAAAGTGTTCAACTTTTAGCAGGGCTTCGCAGATTTCGCAACCGAAGAACAACTTCCGTAACTTTCGTTCGCCACAGACATTTGCCTTGGTTGCCCGGGTGTTTCCAGGCGCATCCCTTGCCGCCAATGGTGGTGTTCCCTTTGAAGCCAAAGCCAGCGCATTTCTTCGTTGCTCTCATGGGATTTTCCGCTTGCGAGTGTGTTATTTTGCAATCCTGGTTTGTTTCTGGAGGCTTTTCCGTTCATTTTGGCCATTCTGGGCTCCCCCTAACAACCGCTTCTTGACCAGTAGCATAGGGGATTTTGCACAGACGAAGCCGGCAAGTTGGGATTTCGGGTGTTGGAACTTAAAATTTTCGGCGTGGCTCAAAATTCAAAGAGCGGCGGTTACGCAGGTTTTCAGTCTTTGGGTTACCCCATTTGCCAAGGGGACCACTTTTGGTACCACTTTTTTGAGCAGCCAAATCAACTTATTTGGGTATTCGTCAGAATTAAAGTACCAGGGGACTGCAGGTTTTAGTCCTTGGTTTCATTTACCAGGGTTCCTTTTTGAGCACCGATTTTTGACCCATGCCCATTTCTCGCACTTTTCAAGACCAAGACCGCCTCCGATCTGGGCCTAAAAAAAGCCGCCGGTTTGAGGCGCTTCGGACGCAGCGAAGGCCGGGTGATCTCAAGAATCGGACTCGGAGAGGGCATCTTTGTTGGTCGGTTTTTTCAAGCCCAAAGGGAACCACCCTCAACAAAACCCCCAATCGTTTGTAGGTGTCCCTTTCTTGTTGGTTTTTTCAAGCCCAAAGGGAACCATCCTCAACAATCCCCTCAATCGTTTGTAGGTGTTCCTTTTTTGTTTTTGTTTTCAAGCGCAAAGGGAGCCACCCTCAACAAAACCCCCAATCGTTTGTAGGTGTTCCTTCTTGTTACATTGTTGGTTTTTTCAAGCCCAAAGGGAACCAGCGACCTCAACAAACCCCTCAATCGTTTGTAGGTGTTCCTTTTTGTTACATTATTGGTTTTTTCAAGCCCAAAGGGAACCAGCGACCTCAACAAACCCCTCAATCGTTTGTAGGTGTTCCTTTTTTGTTGTTTTTTTCAAGCCCAAAGGGAACCACCCGCAACAAAACCCCCAATCGTTTGTAGGTTTGCCTTTCTTGTTGGTTTTTTCAAGCCCAAAGGGAACCACCCTCAACAAAACTCCCAATCGTTTGTCGGTTTTCCTTTCTTGTTGGTTTTTTCAAGCCCAAGGGGAAGCACCCTCAACAAAACCCCAATTGTTTGTTGGTTTTCCTTTCTTGTTGGTTTTTTCAAGCCCAAAGGGAACCAGCGACCTCAACAAACCCCTCAATCGTTTGTAGGTGTTCCTTTTTTGTTGTTTTTTTCAAGCCCAAAGGGAACCACCCGCAACAAAACCCCCAATCGTTTGTAGGTTTGCCTTTCTTGTTGTTTTTTTCAAGCCCAAAGGGAACCACCCTCAACAAAACTCCCAATCGTTTGTCGGTTTTCCGTTCTTGTTGGTTTTTTCAAGCCCAAGGGGAAGCACCCTCAACAAAACCCCCAATTGTTTGTTGGTTTTCCTTTCTTGTTGGTTTTTTCAAGCCCAAAGGGAACCAGCGACCTCAACAAACCCCTCAATCGTTTGTAGGTGTTCCTTTTTTGTTGTTTTTTTCAAGCCCAAAGGGAACCAGCGACCTCAACAGACCCCTCAATCGTTTGTAGGTGTTCCTTTTTTGTTGTTTTTTTCAAGCCCAAAGGGAACCACCCTCAACAAACCCCTCAATCGTTTGTAGGTGTTTCTTTTTTGTTGTTTTTTTCAAGCCCAAAGGGAACCACCCTCAACAAAGCCCCCAATCGTTTGTAGGTTTCCCTTTCTTGTTGGTTTTTTCAAGCCCAAAGGGAACCAGCGACCTCAACAAACCCCTCAATCGTTTGTAGGTGTTTCTTTTTTGTCGTTTTTTTCAAGCCCAAAGGGAACCACCCTCAACAAAGCCCCCAATCGTTTGTAGGTGTTTCTTTTTTGTTGTTTTTTTCAAGCCCAAAGGGAACCACCCTCAACAAAGCCCCCAATCGTTTGTAGGTTTCCCTTTCTTGTTGGTTTTTTCAAGCCCAAAGGGAACCAGCGACCTCAACAAACCCCTCAATCGTTTGTAGGTGTTTCTTTTTGTCGTTTTTTTCAAGCCCAAAGGGAACCACCCTCAACAAAGCCCCCAATCGTTTGTAGGTGTTTCTTTTTTGTTGTTTTTTTCAATCCCAAAGGGAACCACCCTCAACAAACCCCCCAATCGTTTGTAGGTTTCCCTTTCTTGTTGGTTTTTTCAAGCGCAAAGGGAACCACCGACCTCAACAATCCCCTCAATCGTTTGTAGGTGTTCCTTTTTTGTTTTTTTTTCCAAGCGCAAAGGGAACCACCGACCTCAACAAACCCCCCCCCCCCCCCCCCGCCCATTTTGTTGGTTTTGCAGGGAGACCAAAACCACCTCAAAGGGTCCCCAATTTTGAGTTCTTACAGTGGCAACCCGAAGGAAAACAGCCAGTTTAGGGGACCACTTTAAGGAAACACTCACGCGAGTTCTGTGTCGGACGTTTCAGAGTCACTTTTGGGCTTTGGACCATAGCGGTAAATACGAAGTTTGAAGATACTTGTGGCGGCCAAGGAGACCACCCGAAGGGTCTGGCCCATTGGTTGAACATCTCGGCGGTGAATCTCGGCCGTCGCCCCGAAAAAAGCATCGGCTTCCCCATCTCAACTTCGCCATCAGAGCCTGGGTAGAAGCATGATAAAGAAGCTAGCGGCCAGTCTCAGCGTGACACACGGAAAGCAAGACGCCCTTTTTGCCAGCAGCTCGGCGGATTTGTTGAATAGGTCTGAAACTATGACTCAAGTGATCTTCCAATTGCTGGAGATCTTTAGGTTTGGCCTTTGGTGTAGGCAAATGTGGCCGTGCCGGGTGAAGAATGCTGATAGCAAGTCGGCCGGCGAGTTTCGTTGTGACGGTCCGCGAGGCATCATGAAGTCTTACAGCTACTTCAATACCAACGGCCATGAAGAGCCGCTCGGATTCATCGGGAAATCCTTGCGAAACCAGCCCAGACCTGGGCTGGTTTCGCCTTTTTTTTGCCTCAACTTCATTGCTTGCGGGTCCGTTCAAAATAAATCCAACCACGAAAAACGGGTGTTCTCGACTTTGTTGTTGAGTGCGCTTTCCATTTGCCCAGTACCCGTTTTGCAGAACGACTTGGGGTGCCGTTTCAAAACCAACCAAGCCAGGGGCCTCAGGTTTGTCAGAACTTTTCTCCGGGCACGTCACAAGCTGACACGGCGCAATTGCCAGAACTGGCCAACATGCTGAAGATGGTCAATCTAGGATTATATAGGCCTTTATATATATATATATATGTATACATACAATAATTACTTGTTAAGCCAGCTACAGTAGTAGAATCACCACACATTGCCCTAGCTTACCTCTTTTTTGTTTCTCCATGATCTTCCTTTTCAACCAGCAAGTAGTGTCTTTTTCAGCGAGTTGGATCCGTTTAGCCCGGAATCTTGATTGAGACATGGCGCTTCCACTGGTTCGGGAATCGGTTTGCACAAGGGGTTCCACCGTGGCTTCTTGGATCCAATTCTTATATATATTTGGGTCTGTCTTTTTTCAGGGTACCGTGAATTGGTGATTGTCAAGGAAAACCAAAAGGACAACCACCGTTTTGGCTTGGATGTCTAAACAATCAGGCTTTGACGTTTTTGTTAGAGTTTGCAGATCATGGATCACAGGTGAGTTTGGTGCAGAGCTGCCGCCGGTTTCAGCAGTTCAAGGTCCGGTACCTGATTTGCAGGGATTGTTGACCCCGTATGAATCAACCCCCCTCCAAAAGTGGTCTGATTCCCCACTAAACCTGGGGACACCCCCTATCAATCAACTGGTTGGTTGGTTCATCTGGCGTGAACCCCCCGCAGGATGAAGCAGGTGGAGTCCCACTGCAAGGATGGCACCTGCGTGCAGAGGACGAGCTCGAGCTTGGCCTTGCCTGACTGTCAGGTAACCCGTCAGGTTGGTGGTTTGGATCGGTTTGGTTTGGATTGGTCTGGATTGGTCTGGATATGAACTTGGATATGGATTTGGATATGGATTTGAAGCCCCTGGCCTTTGAGGGTTTTTCTGAGCAACCCCTCCTTCACCACATCCAAACCAAACCGATTTGAGGGCAGCTGAAATGGGCGGCGCCTTGGTTTTTCTTAGGGAGCACCTGGTTTTCTACATGGCCGTGGCTCAAAAAACCGGAATTCCAAAATGGGTTGCCCTGGTCAGTGGCAACAAAGGCCGGCCAAAACCTGCGGTTTGCCCATCCTGTTTTATTTTGAGCCACACCCACATTTGTTGAAGAAGTTGTTTTAGTTTCCGTCGTCGGCTTTACAGGGATCCCCTATCACTGCTCAGATGTTCTCATAGAAAAGCCAGGCAGCAAAAGTTCTGGAGACATTTGGAGGGAAACGCAAAAGGAAACCCCACAATTTTCGGGGCTTGGAGCTATTCGAGACGAACCGAAAGGAAACCCACAATTTTCGGGGCTCCTATTTGAGACAAACCCAAATGACCATGTTTCCACCCATGTTTTCTGTTTTTTCGGGCCCCGGATACGGGCTGTCCTTGGAGTTGGCCTGCCAAAAACCCAAGTCGAGCTGTTGGATTCTGTTTTCACGGAGCGAACAACCCCGCAACTTTGGTAGGTCACCAATGGGGCAAGCCACCCCTTAAAACAAATATGGCTTAATATCTGATTACTCATATGCACATCTGAGTGGTAGCTGGGATACTGCGAAGGTTGTCAGAAGGAGCCCATTTCTTTTTTTGTTTTAATCCTCTTTCACCGGCGGCGCCTTGCCCATTTCCTCCCGAGTACCGCGCCGATCCCCAGGCTTTCCGGCCTAAGGCATGGATCAGTGCTTCTTTGAAACAACCAGGGTGGCGCTTCTTTTCTTGGAGCACCCAAAACGGCACAACGGCTTTTTTCTTTTCCCCTTAAAAGCAACCGAAAGGCGGTATCCTCACAAAACGGACAGACCCAAATGTGCAAGACTTGGATCCAAGAAGCCCTGGCGGAAAAGGCCAAACCCATGTTGATCCCATAATTTGGGGGTACCCCCCTCAAAAAGACCGACCGACATAGTTGTGGGATCAAGGGGGTTCTCCCCACTTCTGTGATACAAGGGAATCCCCCTTTGAAGAAATTAGTGTTTGGGAAGCCCTTTCTGTTGTATCACAGAAGTGGTCTCATTCGCCACAGCCCTGGGACCGAAATACACCATCAATGACCAAAGCCCCCGATTTTCTTCGAGTCGTTGGAAGCTGCGACTCAAATCGCCCAACATCGCTTCGCCGCTCCAACGTCCGCAGGAGCCGAACCTTCTCCCCGCAGAATCTGGCGCCCCACGCGAATCCGCCGCAGCCGGCGCCGCATCATCCGGCGCCGCAGCCGGCGCCGCACCGGGCGCGGCATTTCCAGCCGCAGGCGCCGCTGTGGGTGGGTCTCTGCTTCTTGGGGGCGATCATAGATGTTTAAAGGCCTCCATTTGCTTAAGAATATTTTACATTTTCCCTTGCTGGTCTTAAAAGGAGTTCATCACTACTGCACTTGTTTTTTCCTGGGGCCTTAACCAAATGGAAGAAGGGTCCCACCAAATTCCCCCCCCCCAAATCCACAATTCTCATGTGATTTGGGAGGTTACACAGGTTCTGCCTTAGGAATTTGTCCAAGGCCGTGGTCGATGTCAGGTGTCACATGTTTACATGATGTGGAGGATCCCTTTATGAATGAGGCGACCTTTTGGCTAGGGCCTAAAGAATTACAATGGGGATGTCGGGTGGGGCAAAACCAAATTAAGAATTTACCATATAGGTTAATGCCCTTTTGTGATACCTGCGGAAACTCCTTCAAGTTTGACCATTCGGAAGGTCCGTGCTACTGTGGGTGAACGAAATCCTGCACCACTTTGAAACCATGCGAAACCATTGTTCGTTGGCATGTACAGGGGTAATCATCATTCCAGGGTTTCTGAACGGTGGTGCGAAATGGATTCCGTCCATCGACAGTATCACAGAAGTTGCGCTTCCTACCCCGCCCAAGGTCTGACAACCAGCAACACGTCGGATTTCGATGCCGGGAACGCCTCTGAGTTGTCGGAGAGCTTTATTGAAGGTCCCACTTGGAACTAGGTCCCCCAGCTAGGTGGCCTTTTTAACCTTTTTTTTGCAGGGGCGGGGGTTCCCCTACTAGAATAGACCACGGAAAAAAAACGGGTACCAAATCATTCTAACCTCTCAAATCTGGAGGACCTAGGGAAGTCCAAAAGTTCACCAAGTGTCTGGAAATCAGTTGCCCAGTGGCCCCATTGGCTTCCCATGGAACTGGCAAGCCGATCTTTGGAGTTACCAGGATGGGAGACCAATGGCTCACATGGCTACATGAGATGCAGAATGGCTCCTGGGCGATTCCTCAGAATCAACACCGCTCAAAAAGCAACGACGGGAACAAAAACAAATAGAGGGTGGTCCAATTGAATTGGCCAGATGCGATCTTACGAGGTGTACATGCTGCCCAAGTATTTTTTAATTTTCCCTTGTTGGTCATAAAAGGAATTCATCACTACTGGACATATTTTTATTTTTTCCTGGGGCCCTAACCAAATGGAAGTATATGGGTAGCTGGAAGTCCCAGACCTGAAGATGCTCCCAACTCGTTCCTCCCCTCCGCGCCCAACCTCTCCGTCCGCGTCTTCAGGAGATGCCGTACGAGGCCTAACGGCGAAGCACTCAGGAATCCTATGATTTGCCCACTGCGTCCACTACTCTTTAAGGGCAACTAGGTCCCTCAGTAGGGCCCTTTTACCCTTTTTTTGGGGGAGGGTTCCCCCACTAAGATAGACTACCGAAAACAGGGTACCCTTATTCTAACCTCTCTACTGGAGGACCCAGGCAACCATCAATGAGGACCAGCCTCCAAGCGTGGCTTTTCCCTTACCTGAAGTGCCAAACTTGTGCGGTCGCCATTTTGAGTACCACTTGACAACTCTTGGGTGCTGGAACATCCTTGTTTCCATGTCCCTGTGATGTACCCGGTGATAATACTAAGCAAGCAACCAAGGGCTTGAGACCTTCTTTTTAAACAAACAAATGGGATACTGGGAGGTTGTGAGAAGGATCCTAGCTTTGGAATCCCCTTCAAACAGGAATGGAGCGGCAAGCTCTGGCAAAATCATGGAGTCCAATTGGTGGTGAGACACATATGCCATATGAGGATTGAAAAAAAAACGTGTCCAGTAGATTGAAAAAGCGGTTTCCAGTTTCTAGTAGAAAAACAAGCTGTTTCCATTTGGACAAATCGGGGGCAAGATTGATTGATAGCCAGCGATTGGAGCCCCGCGGTGCAAGTTCTATCCCAAGGCTCCAGTGCTCCGCCGCGCTTTGCCGCTGGGTCTGAGAAACGGGTCTGCACGCGTTTGCAACTGGTCGCCGGAGTTATCTCAAATAAATGCACCCCGTACCACGGCATGCAGCAAATGGGTCTCTTGAAAGCCAAACAGATCAGGCTGTTTGGTTCGTGATTTGACTCGTGGCCGCTGTTCAAGCAAGTCAACTATGGGCTTGACTGGATCTTCCCGCACAGCGCGAAGCGAGAAGCGAGTGGCACTGGCAGGGCGCGAGGACAGGAAAAAGAAGCCGGTATCATGCGCTTTTGGCTTGGCAATGCGGGGCTTGACCCTGAGGATCAAGCAAATGTCGCACCCTGAGTTCCGCTTCGGCCTTTAGTCCCTTTTTGGGTTTGGTCACGCCATTTTCGTGGTAACCAATAAGTTTGGGGGATGTTTTTTTGGGCCAATCCACGGAAGTCAGAATTAATTTGTGGGGCCAAAATGCCTTCGACCCCAGCGCGGGTTTCGTTTGGGGCCCGCTGGATCCAAGCCCCATGAGTGATTGATTCGTTTGGTTTCTGCTGGTTTTCCTCGCAAAATGGTCTCTGGGAACCCCTGGTTTTCTTCAGGAACATGGTTGCTGCATTTTTATATAACCCGAAGTGTCCTGCTGATTTTTAAGAACATGGTCGCTGGAAACCCTATAATTAGCCATGCGTAGTTTCGCCGAAAAGTCAGAAACTCACGGCAAAACACATTCGGAACGGGGTTTCCCAGATCAGGTCTTTGGTTTCAGCCCGGGTATCATGGACATCTTTTCCGGCTCCTGTGGCCACGTCTGGTTGTTGGAGTGCACCCTTCTCACGGTTGCTTTAAAAGCATTCCAAAAGGACACCTCGACTTTTGGGGCTCCGACTCTCTTTGCCGAGCCATACATGCATGTGTTTGCTGGCGGCTTGAGCCAAGCATACAACATCACAGCTGCCCTTCGCAGTCTTTGTGGCACATGTCCGCCTTTGTTTGGCCCCGCACACCTTCAGCTTTTTTTTTTCCTTTTCTTTTCCGGTTGCGCCCTGTCGCAGCGAGGTCATTTGTCGGCTCTGAACGCAAAACACTCGGAGCAGTACGCACACCAAGTTGTGGACGACAGGGAAAGCAACAAAATAATCGCCTTGGCCGAAGCTCGAAATTGGACGCCTTTGATGGAAGTGTCAAACAGAATCATCGCATAGCGCGTGACGTCGTGCGCCGACAAAGTTCCCCACGAAGCGATCGGCTTGGCACATGCGGATGGCCAGAAGCCATGAGATGAGGTTTCCGGTTGCCATTTCCCTAACCTCCAAAAGTGGAAGGGAAGCCACCCAAACAAATAGATCAACCTTGGATTTGGGGGAGAAAAGAGGCAGACCCCTGTGAGGTTTCGCCTTGGCCGCAGCTTTCCCTTCCGCGTTGGCGCCATGTCGTTGGAGATGCTGCCCGAGCTCATCGCGGCCTTCCGCCAGCATTCCTCGGACACGACGGTGTCGCGGGACCGCTGAGAGATGGGTTGGGGCTTGGGGGGGTGCACTTTTTAGGGGTTGGGTTCAGGGGGGAACCAAGAGGAAACCAAGTTAGGAGAGCCACCATTTTGGAGGTTCCCCTTTGATGGCGGTGGCAGCTGATGGCAGATGGTGGCAGATGGGGGTTTGGAGGGGGGGGTGATGCACCTTTTGGCAGGGGTGCAAGTGAACATGGACCTCTTGGGTGCCTCCCATTTGCTTCCCCAATATGTCTTACTTCCCCCTGTTGGTTTGGAAGGAAATCGATCACAACTGGATGTTGTCTCGTTTTTTTTTTTTTTTTTCTCCAGGGGGCTTGGGCAAATTGCGGAATCGGTTTACTGCTTTGGCGCCCCAAGGTGGCGTTTCCGGGCGCACCCCGGTGCCTCGATTCTGGGAACTTCTCATCTCAGGGCGCCCTCACCCGGGTCGAACCAGAGCGGGGCGTAGCGCATCGAGCCGATGGCTGCCGATCGATGCCCCGAAGCCTTTGGGTGTTTGACACGAACGCGAGATTTCTCACTTCCTGAGTTCATGAACTTTAAGCTTTTTGGGAAGACCATTTTAGTAGTAAACAAAAAGTTTGGACTTTTTTGGGGCCATCCACTCAGCCGGCGAGATATGGGTTGGAAGGAGGTCGTGATTCGGACAGGGATGCAACTTGAAACAAGGATGCCTTGAAGCAATTGGTGTTAGCCTTTGTAAAAGGAAGGATCACAGGCAACAGGGTCCAAATCAGAGTACCTCGCAAATTGCATTTCTGATGTCCGTGCAAGGGGGTCCAATTTTGGTTTCTATACCCATTGGAGGGTGCGTTTAATTTCAGGGGTTTGGGAACTCCCTTTTTTGGGGGGGTTGCTCCAACGGAAGTCCTTGTTGACCATACTGGGGTCTCCAAGCCCCCCTTTTTTGGAGTCCGAATGTCGTGATATCAAACCCTCGGACAGAATAAACTTGATCGAATAAATTGGAATACCAAACCCTTAGACAGAAGGTCCCATTGGCCAGCCATTTCTCCCCAGGATGAGGGTTTTCCTCGGGGTACCTCCCCCATTCTTTCCAGGGATCCTTCTTTCTAGAAAACCTCCAGAAACCCAGGGAAAACGGCTGGTTTTTGCTGTTTGCCATGGGGCCTGTGATGGGGCAAGCACGGAAGGAACCCTTCCCGCTGTTAACATAGTTGCTAGGGCATGACCCAACACAAAACTCACAAAACAAGTGATTGCACACACCTACAATGAAAGGAATGTCTCAAACAGCTGTGACTTTCCTTTTGGTGTCCCATAAAATCCCACACAAAACAAGGGACCATATCGAAAATTATGGACACGCAAGGGGCACCCAAGGGACAACTGAGGCAATTTGTTTGGGGGTCTAACCAAAAAAGGACAGACCCATGTATCGAAGCCACCGCGTCGGACATGCGAGGAGAAGCTGAAGAAGGTCTTGTCCAAAATCGGTGCCTCTGAGGAGGTGGCCGTTAGCCGGGGGGTTGCGGAGGGGGGAGGGGTTGAAGAGGCACCGGTGAACTGTAAAAGAAGAGACGACGTTGAGTTGTTGGGTTGATTTTGGACTAGGTGTGTTGATTATTGATTTTGAGTTGATGTTGATTTTATGTGTTCGTCATAGCTGGTTTGTTCATGTGTTTTGAGACATTTCAGTAGCTGGTGTTTTGTTTGCCTACTTGTTTGTTTGCCTGAGCTTGGATTTTGGGTCGAGTTTGAATTGTGCGTTGATCTTAATGTTTGGCTTGATGACTTTTATGTGTTTGTCTTCGCTGGTTTCTTGAGGTCGACCGGTCAGTTGAGTGGGGTTCACCAGTGTTTCCTTGGCCGAAAGCATTCCCAAGCCAAAGGAGGTGGCGTTGTCTTTCTGTCACGGCGACTTGGCTTCCGCGCTCCGAAGCCACCCAAACCACGGCCAAACCAGCTTCGGGTAGAAACATTCGGTGAAACTTCCAGATTCCTTTTCTTACCCTCATCAAACATCCCCCCCCCGGAAACATCCCTCCCCGCCCCCCCACCGCTTCTTTTTCCAATTCCACCTCGACTTTCCAAGCGAAGCGTCCGTCAGGACATGACGGCCGCCTTATCTGGTGCCTTCGGAGGCAGCAGGAAGCCCAGAACTGGATGTGGCCCCGCCGCTGGTCTGGGCTGAGTACCCCATGAATATAGACTCTTTTGGGTTGCAGTCCAGGCCAAAAACTGGCCCCCGAATGGGTGGTGTCCATTTGGGTTGCCGGTTCAAACCATCCAAAAGAGTTGAGAACCTCCTCCCCCCCCCCCAATTTGGAGCTGAGCTCAGCTGAAAACCCACGTTGACCGCCAGTTTAAGCCCACACCTGCCGATTGCGGGCATGTGTCAAATGGGGGGATATTTTGTAACCCCAAGATGAGTTTTGTTTAAATGTCCTTTTGGTTGCCCTTGACACCAACCTTTGACCCCCTTTAAAAATCCACACACACAGGCAGGCAGACACACCTGCCGGGCCCCAGGACGCTAGAAAGGGCCACTGACGCACCGCACCCCATGTTGGGGGCACAAGGTGCCAACTTGGCGTCGGTGGTTCATGCATTTCCAGACCGGCACTTGTCATTGACCAAAACGCGGCCTTCGAAGTTCCCACGCGCCAGTTGCAACATGCCTCCATTTGCTTAAGACTAAAAAAATAATAAAAAAAATCCCTTGGTTGTCTTAAAAGGAATGTATCACATCCGGAAGTAGATGTTCCTTTTTTCCTGGGGCCTTAACCAAATGGAAGCCATGTGTTCTGAGAATCTGTGGGTCGGTTGCTTCCCCTTAGCAAGCGACAGAAGCCAAGCTGTTCCTCCAGAGGCCCAAAGCACCACCAGCCCAAGACAGTTTCGGGAAGTGCGCGCTGATCTTTTCCACAGGACCCAAGGTGCCAGTTGAAGAGTCTACATTCGGCGGCTCTTTGATCTTTCGATATTGCATGGTCGATTCACAACTCGAAGGAATCCATGTCGTTCACTGAAGAACAAGTGCTAGCCTCAATATTGGCTTTAATCTTTCGTCAACTGTCTGACGGGTTTGTTTGTTTTCCCTCCAACACGGGAACTTTCGATACCTGCGGGTCGGTCTGATGGAAGAAAGCCGCAGCCGTCAAATTGCTGAAGCGACGTGACTTGAGGCTGCGTGTCCTACACCGAGTTCCTATGCTGGGTCTGGGGCTGCTCGGAGATTGGTTAGCTCGGGTCACGGTTGCTGCGAGTTCCCACAAACACCCAAGGGCCGCTTTGTTTGGTTTCCTGTTCCGTACTATTTGGGTCTGTCCTTTCTTAGAGAAACCCCTTTTTGTTGGCCTTAAAGGGAAAAGGAAGACCGACGCCATTTTGGGAGGTCCAACCTTCAAAAAGACACTCCATTGTTTTGTTTGCTTCATAAGTTTGGGCGCGGCAATGAGTTTCAACAGCCCTTACAACTCCAACATTCCTCCGCATGCATAAATTACGGCTTTGACCACATGCGTGCGTTTCTTTCTATTTTTCTTTTCTTTTCTTTTTTGGGGGAGGAAGGGAAACGTTAAAAAAAAAAGCCCCGGCTCAGGTCTTAGCCCCGGCCAGGAGACTGGTTGGTTGGTTGGTTGGTTGGTCGGTAGCCCAACACTCACCGGGTCCGAAACCAGCCCCGAGCAACTCTGAACTGCCACCAAATCAAAGCGAATGGGCCTAGTCCGAGTGAGGCCGGTGCTGGGATGCGGCCAACCACCCCGACCCCCAAGCTGGCCAACTAGGCAGAGAATACCGCCTGTTGCCACCCCAACCTGAGAGCGGAGCAAGCATAGGTGTCCTTTTTGGTTGGTTTGCTTAAACAATAGAGGGCCCTGGTTTAGATGGGGTTTGTTCCATTTACCAGGGCCATCTATTTTTCCAAAAGGCCACCTATGGGAGCAAGGGTTCCCAGCCAACGTCTTTAGAGCCGCATAGGTAGGCTGGTGCTGAGCCGGGGCTCGTAAAACGCCAGGGATAGTAAACAAAAACACACACACACACACACACACCTCAACCGAGGGGAAGAACCATTCGGTGCGTGTTCAAAGGGAAACCCCAAAGACAATAGTTGCCATTTTGGGCCCTCAAAAAATGATAGAAATGCACCCCCTTCGTGGACCCAACGCTAGGCCTTTGAATGTATGGAAGTTCGGGGATTCAACACGGTAGGGCAAAAGTAGATGGAATTCCCAGATGTGGCTAGAGGGGATGAACAAAAACAGGTCCCCCAATAGCGCCCTTTCTCACCCCTTCTTTGGGGGAGGGTTCCCCTACAAAAATAGACCGCCGGAAAAAACAAGGTACTCTTATTCTAACCTCTCAACTGGAGGACCTAGAAAACATGAGGGAAGAATTGTGCCAAGTTTCATTCAACCTCAGGGCGATTGCTCATATTCCTCCATTTGCTTAAGACTATTCGTTATTGTCCCTGGTTGGTCTTAAAAAGAATTCATCATTACTGGACATATTTTGTTTCCTTATTATCTTAACCAGATGGAAGTATTGCAAGTAGAGCAAAGGATATTTTCGGCTTGCGTGAGGATCCAAGAGCTGTTCTGTGAGCTTCAGCCCATTTCCCAACTATCCCCGAATGCCTTTTGGGCTCGACAGGACCAATTTTCCGGGACCCTCCAAGTTCTGCTTACCTCCATTTGCATAAAAATAATAATGATAATTAAAAAGAACTTGTTGGTCTTAAAACAAATTCATCACTACTGGAAATGTTTATATATTTTTTCCCGGGGTCTTAACCAAATGGAAGCTTCACATGGGAATTGGACAAGGCAGCCAAAGGGTGTTTGCTTCTGAACACACCTTCCGCCCATTTGTGTGGTGTGGGCAGATCCTCATGGTACACTTTTTTGGATCCATCGGGCTGCTTGTATTTCGGATCGCTTTCAGCTTTCCCGAGGAGCCTGAGCCGGCCGGGTTTAAGGGATGAGCAAAACGGGCAGGGGGGCATTTACCCACTCACCATCAGATCCCAATCGGTGGGTCGCGTCGTTTGTTGCGTCTCACATTCCCTGTCCAGTGCGACCTCACAGGAAGGAGCAAAAAATGGAGGCTTCCAATCACCGGCAAAGCGTGAGAAGAGCCCTGGTTTTTCCATCAGACCTACCAGCACCCTCTTGTGCGGTTGCCATTTTGGCTACCATTGGACAACCCTTGGAGGGGGCTGGGAGTTATCTTTTGGCCAAATTTCAGACCTCCAGTGGGTTTGCCTGCCCGTTTGCCTCTACTTGTTTTTGAGGGGGTGTGTTCCCCTTTAAGCACATCTGCCAAAAAAAGTCTTGGTGGCTCCCAGCCATCCCCTTAGCTTTTTAGCCCTTTAGTGTTTAGTGGGGGCTTCCATTTAACCCACTAAAAGTCAAACTTTTAGCAGGAGATCTGAGGGCAGATTGATAGTGGGGAGTCTCAAACAATAGTGTCTAGGTCTCCCAGCTAGGTGCCCTTTGACCAACCTTTTTTGGGGGGAGGATTCCAACAACTACTAAAATAGACTATAGAAACATAAATCGGGCACCAACTGGTTCTGAGCTCTCTACTGGAGGACTATAGGTGCTGAGTTCCCACTAAACCAGGGACAATTCCCATATCAATAGGGGGGCCCTGCAAAATGGTGTGTTTCCTTTGGCTGCCCTTAAAAAACAAGGGCAAACAATCTGGTGCACCCTAAACCCAGAGTCCTTTGGCTTCCCTTATTAAGACCTCCAAACACGGTGGTGCTCATCCACTCGTTTGCCCGATGAGGTTTCACCCCACGCGTGGTGCTGCTGATGTTTGGGCCTCCGGCCTCTGGCAAGGGCACCATCGGCGGCAAGGCGGGGGGGAACCACCCTGAACATTGGCCTTGCCAATGGCTCCCTAAATGGTTCCATGCTCGTGTTTTGCTTGGCTTAAACCCACCGTTGTTTGAAAGCCCCTAAGCGAAACTTCTGGGATTTAGTCATAAGTCTGGGCTTCCCAGCCATTTGGTCCCTTAGCTTTTGAGCTGTTTGGTTCGTTTCGTGGTTGGGTTTCCGACCTGAACCCACAAGTTTACAACTTTCAGCAGATCTGAAAGCGGCTAATTTTTAAAAGGACCGTCCTTTTGGGGTGACGTTTTCCAAGGGGACCATGTTTGGGGAAGCATGTCCTGTCCGCGGAAATGCCCGGTGCTTGTTTCTGGGCCGACCAAATCGGAGAGAAATCGCGCGCCGACTTCGGGGAAAGTCCACGAGGTGTCTAAGGCCTTGGACATCCCGCAGCTCTCCACCGGCGACATGCTGCGGGAGGTGCGGCGGCTGGTGACCGGTTTGACTCGGTGGTCGAGTTGGGGCTGGCGGGGGGGGGGGGGGCGTGGATTTTCCGGTTTTGGAGGTCTGTTTGGGGATTCAACTCGGGTGTTCTGATTTGAAAGGGCTTCTATAAACCTTTACGCAAAGGTTTTTTTCAGGGCGGCATGTTTGAACTTGCAACTTTCGGCTTCCTGTTGGAATTTTCTAGAGGAGACTCCGAGTAGGTTGTCATTCTTCTTAAGCTCAATGATTCCATTTCGCTGTACAGGTCACGGATGTTCCAACAACAAAAAAACAATTCACAACACAATAGGTGAAAAATGTTGGAGTACACTGGTGTATCTACAATCCATTCCTTTCTCTTTCACAGGGAGGTGTAAGTCTTATCTGCAACCAACACCTCCACCCCGTCCTGCCCCACCCCACCCCACCAGCCTCCTCAGCGGTTTGCCCAGGCGGCGGAGGACCCTTTCTCGGAGGCGGGGCAAGAAGCGAAGGCGGTGATGGCGGCGGGGCAGTTGGTGAGCGACGAACTGGTGATTTCGCTCATCGCGCAGCGGACCAAAGCCCCGGACTGCGCCAAGGGCCCCTCGTTGAGCGGGTTTTCTCCCGGGGAGGGTATGGCTCGTCGCAAATTTAGGTTGGACCGCGCAAAAGTGGCGGTTGGCCGCTTTGACCATTGTTTTGGAGAAGGGGGGGGAGTTCCTTAAACGTCAAGTACCTCAAATATGGGCTTCATTGCCAGAATCAACTTCCCTTTTAAGCAGCAAACACAAAAACAACGCGTGTTCCAAAATTGGCCATGTTGATGGGAAGAACCTAGCTAAATGAATATTTGTTCGACCCGGGATACAAGTACCTGGGGGGTGTTCCCCCAACAAGTGACAAGAATAATCAATGTTGGTCAAACCTTCATTCGCTGTCTTCGTTTTGTGTTGCCTGGTTGTAGATCAACGTGCGACCTCACAAAACCGATATGAACGAGTAGGAGATCTTGCAGTAGTCGGCTGCATCTGTTCATTCTTTGATTTGCCTCCATTTATTTGCTTAAGATTTGTTTCCCCCTTGTTGGTCTTAAAAGGAATTCATCACTACTGGATTTTTTTCTTTTTTCCTGGGGCCTTAACCAAATGGAAGGAGTGAGTCGGTGCAGCTTTTCGTTCCGGATGCTTCAGAAAGAGGGGTTCCCTTTGGGCTAGGGGAAAGCACCTGGGCCACAATCAAAACCTGGGTAGGTGAACCTTAGTAAGGGACAATCCCAACCAGAAATGGGTGCGCCGCCTTTGTAGTTTTCTTTTTTTTGGTTTGGGTAGACCATTTCAATACCCATCGGTTTTGATTGTGACTCACTTGTTCAAGACTGCCCCAGTTTTACAATATGGTTGAACTGTCCAATGTGGGTTCAATTGTTTTCAAGGTCCAAGAATGGTGAACCAGAACATGTTGGTACTCCAACATGGGTTCATTTTTTGTTTCAACTGTCCAAACAAATCTGGTCTTTTGAAGGTCCAACAATAGTGACCTATGATTTCCGACTTTTAGTAAAGGTCCCTTGGAATGGTCAAATGTTGGGTGCTGGGGATGTTTTTCTTTCTGGGCCCCTTGAGGCGATTGTTTTCTTCTTCTTCTTTTTTTCCGGATCCGCTGGGTCCCGTCCGCTGGATCCGATGGGAGCGAGCCGACTCGCCGACTCGAGGCTTCATCCTGGACGGCTTCCCACGGACGGTGAACCAGGCGAAGGCCTTGGATCAGAAGCTCGGCGAGCCAATTTGTTGGTTTGGTGGTCGTGTTCTTGTTTGTTTCTCTCCAGTTTTTGTCCGTCTTCTGCTTTTGTTTCTTTCTTTGTTTCTTTTTTTTTGTGTGTGTTTCTGTCTTTCTGGTTTCTTTCTTCTTTTTTGTGTTGTGTCTCTTCTTTTTTTTGTTTCTTCATCTTCTTCTGTTGTGCTTTGTTGTGTTTTCTCTCTCTTGTCTTGTTTGACTTTCTTTTTGACGTTTTTTTGTGTCCCTGCTTGCTTGCTGTTTGCTTGCTTGTCGTGTGTCTCGGTGCACTTCGCATAGGTGTCCTTTCTGGTTGTTTTGGTCGAACAATAGATGGCGGATCCTGGTTTACCTGGTGGTTGAATCATCTACCAGGGCCATCTATTTGCCCCAAAGGGACACCTACGATGCTTCTGCCTCTTCTTTCTTCTTCTTCTTCTTCTTCTGTTGTGTTTTGTTTTGTTTTGGTTTGTTTTGGTTTAATATTTGTTGTTTGTTTGTGTCAAACAGCTTGCTCCCTGTTTTTCCTTGCTTCTTTGTTTGTCTCGGTTTTCTAGGGGTTGATTCCCCATTCTTTTCAACAATCGTTCTTTTCAAAGACCGGATCCGTTTTCCCTTTCTTGATCCGGATCCCATTCAGAATGGAAAACACCCCTAGAGGTTTGGTTCTGCCTCTTTTGTCTTCTCTTGTTTATGATATGTCTTTGTTTTTGTTTCTTGCTTGTCTCTGGCTTGTTGCTTGTCTCTGGCGGTGCTTCGCTCCGAGGATGTTGGCCTCGAAGGGCGAGCACGTGCAGACGGTCCTGGAGCTCGCCGTGCCCGACGCGGCCCTCATCGAGCGCATCGGCGGCCGCTGGATCCACCAGAAATCCGGCAGGTCTTACCACACCAAGCGCCTCGGCGCCGGAAATGGCTCTGGCTCCAAAACCGGAAGTCCAAAATGGGTTGCCCGATCGGGAAGTGGAAACATGGACCAAAATTTCCTCACACCCAAATGGCAGTGCTTGTGGTTAGACCGTTTTGGGATCCCATTTTGGTGGGGATTGGTGAATTCACCACCCATTTTAGAACCTATTTTAGTGGGGATTGGGAGGTTCACTGGGGGTGGATTTGAATTTTGACCCATGGCCAAATCAAATCGACGCCTTGGGGGCGTGGTGACGTGTTTAGTTTGTTTTGTTTTGTGTTTTTTTTTTTGAGGGGATGCGTTGGTTTTGGTATGGATTTTTCTGATGATGTGTTGGGTCTTGTTTGTGAATGGTTTGTTTTTGTTTATGTTGTTTGGTTGCGGTGATTTCATGTTGATGTGTATCTACACATATGCGTGCATATCTGTCAGTTTGGAGGTGTCCATTTGTTCGTTTCCAACGACTCGCCAGCAAGTGGAGTTTCTCAAAATGGAACCCTTTGTGATTTTGATCTGTAGTTACAAGAAACCCGCCCGTGTTAGGGGTCCAAATCCGATTTTCAGAAAGATTTGGGTGGATGTTGTCAATTCGAATCCCCCTCCAGCCCCCCCAACCCAGCCAAAACCAATCCCAGACCCCAACCCGCAACCCCCCAACCAGGTTGAATCCAGTCGGGTGTGTCTTTTGTCCGGAAAGCACCCAGTACGGCTTCGGTCTTCCTCTTGGTTTCTCTTTCAAACAAAAAGACGAGCCACTCATTTCCGATATGGAGTCGAAATTCAGACCCCAAAAAAGGGAGAGGTGTTACTTTTCCCTGAAAAGAAACCAACCGCTCAGACCCAGACCCAACCAGTTGGGTGTGTCGTTTTTGAGGAAAACCCTCAACATGTCTTCGGTCTTCCTCTCCCCTTTAAAACCAAAGTCAACAGGTTACCAACTCCAAAAAAGGACGAGCCACCCATGTCCGATATAGGATTCGAAATTTGGACCCCAACGAAGGCAAATCGCGGTTTTAATTTTCCTTGAAAAGAATCCAACCATTCAGAGGCTCCTCAACCTTTCAATGGAAGACCCAGACCCCTCCAACAAAGCACCCCGGTACTTGGGGTCTCAACAGAGGTGCATGTTGCTTGGATGTTAGGACTTTAACCTTTTTGCCAACCAGTGGGTTTTCCAATTAAAACACCAGAAGTTAAACTTTCAGCAGGGGAGCAGAACGCCACCAAGTCAAAACCTGGCTGCTAAATCGGGCCCTTCTGCAATCGGGAGCTGCGCCCTGACCCCAGGTTCAGCCCCCCCAAGTCCTACACCGGGAAGGAGCCCTGCGAGGCGAACATGCGGGACGACGTCACCGGAGAGCCCTTGACCCAGCGGGCGGATGACACCAAGGCGCCACAGTCCTTCTGGGCTCAAAAGGTACCTTTTGGTGCGTGTCCTCAGTTTTAGGGAGCCCCCCAAAATGTGTTCGGTGTCCCTTTTTTTGACCAACCAAAACGGGGGTAACCGACAAAAAACGACCCCCCCCCCATCTGGAGTTTTTTGTTTTTGTTTTTGTCTTGAGGCTCGGTACGCCGAAAGAAATGGAGTGGCTTTCGTCAGGACCAAAGGGAACACCCACCCATGTTTTGTTTCTTTCCGGACAGGCGGGGGGGCGGGAAGTCCATCTCCGATTTTGAGACAAACCCCATGTGGGTATGCAGCTTCATAAAAAAGTACTCTCCCAAGTGTTTGGACATAAATCCCCACCGAAGTCTGAAATTCACAATGTGAGCCACGGGCAAAGGATATTTGTACTTTGGGTTGGTAGGGGTTATCAACCCCTCAACATGGCCAGAAGGCATACCATTTCAACCTTTTGCCATTTTGGTTGTCCATCAATTTCCCTTTCAACCAAAAGGTGAACTTTCTCTTTCAACCCCTTCCGGTAAAGGTTCCTAGGTGAATGGAACCGGCAGCCCCCAGGAAGGGTTTGATAAGAGCCCCTTGCCACGGGTCAAGAGAATGAGTTGTGTCATTTTGTGGAATCAGATTCCGGGGGTGGGCGGGGTTGAAGACCAAAGTCTGTTTGCACAAGAGAATCACGTGTATCAATTTGCAGGCCCTGACATTTGAAGTCGTGGGCCAAAATAACCGGGTGTCCTTTTCGTTTCCAAGCAAAAGAAAAAATCACAATGTTGGACCAACCAGAAAAGATTACTCTTATAGAACAACCACAACACACACAGACACAGACACAGACACAGACACAGACACAGACACAGACACAGACACAGACACAGACACAGACACAGACACAGACACAGACACAGACACAGACACAGACACACAGACACAGACACAGACACACACACACACACACACACACACAGACACACACAGACACACACACACACACAGACACACACAGACACACACACACACACACACACAGACACACACACAGACACACACACACACAGACACACACACAGACACACACACACACACACACAGACACACACACACACAGACACACACACACACACAGACACACACACACACACACAGACACACACACACAGACACACACACACACCCAGACACACACACACAGACACACACACACACACACACACACACACACACACACACACACACACACACACACACACACACACACACACACACACACACACACACACACACACACACACACACACACACACACACACACACACACACACACACACACACACACACACACACACACACACACACACACACACACACACACACACACACACACACACACACACACACACACACACACACACACACACACACACACACACACACACACACACACACACACACACACACACACACACACACCTGACACCCCCTCTAAAAAATGCAGGGTTTGCTTTTGGCCGTCCTTTAAACCAACCTGAAAATTGCAACCTTAAAGCAGCAGAAGCCCAATAGTACAAGGGTGGGGAATGTTAAAACCACACCACGCCACCCCAAAATGATGGTTTCCCCGTGTGGTTTCCTTCAAACCCCTTTAAACCAACCAGACAAAGCGGGAATTACTCTCAAAGAGGACAGCCCCAAAGAGCTATGTAGGCCCCGGAGGTGTCGTTTCCCCCCAAACGCAGGGGAGAGATCCGCCGGAACCGATTTGGATGGTGGACAGGCCGCGCTCCCGAAGCGGCTGGCGGCATACCACGCAGAGACGGTGCCGGTGTTGGATCACTACAAGATGAAGACCAAAGTGTTCCAGGAGGGACGGCCATGGGTCAAAATCCAAATCGTACCCCCTGTGAACATCCCAATTCCCACTAACATAGACTAAAATGGGTGGCGCACCGACCCCAAAATGGCACCATTGGTTTTGACCCACAGCCAACTGGAAGGAAGCCGTTTCGGGAGCTGGGGGTATCCATGCTTTTCAAGAGGGAGCTAAGGCCAGCTGGCTGCTTGGGGAGCAAACTGGCCTCATGGACCCCCCAGAACCTATGGGGAGGGGGCTTTGGCTAGCCCCGCAAGGCAAGGCCTTAAGGGCCTATTCTTGGCTCATCAGGGGCTTATCCTTGGACAGCCGTCCACAGCTGGTGGTTCGAAGGGAGCCGTGAGGGAGGTTGGGGGTATCCAAATTGGCTGTTCAAGAGGGAAAGGTGCTACCAGGAGTTCTGGAAGGATATGGTATCCAATCGGAAGAGAGGCGTCTCGCTTCCCGAGTTCTGCAATTTAGTCATTTTTGGCTTTGGACTTTGGACCATAGTGGCAAACCTTTGGTGCATTTTGCTTGGATGTTGGGACTTTAACTTTTTATCCCAACTCATGGGTTTTCCGTTAAACCATGTTAAACCACTAAAAAATAAACTTTTTGCAGGGGAGCCGAAAAAAGTTCGGGGACTTTTCGCCAATCCACTCAGGAAGGCAGGGTTCATTACTCAAAACTCCGGATCCCCCTTTTGGATAGCATGGAAACCCAAAGGAAACTACCCAAATGTGGGTTCCGAAATTTTGAAAAACCGGAGGGACCAAATCGCAGAAGGTTTCGACTGCTTTTCTTTGCCGAGGAAACGTGACTTCACTCAAGGCTTGCCTTGAGTTAGAGAGAATTTTGACCAGGTCCCCCAGCCAGGTGCCCTTTTACCCCTCTTTTGGGGGAGGTTTCCCCTACTAAAATCGACGAATCAGAAAAACAAATCGGGTAGCCTTATTCTATCCCTACTGGAGGACCTAGTTGAAGTCTACCTTGGGGTTGAGCCACCGTGAACCTTGAAGATTACTCTCATGGCACTGCCTTGCCAGGGTGCCTTCGATTAAGCTGGATTTCTCATTCGGTGGGTGGCATTTGTCTTCCCTTTCAATGCAGGCCCTTTAAACGGATTGCGGTCAATGTGACCTTCTGAATTGTACACTTGGAACATCCTTTCCACTCTTCGGACCCAACGGTTTTCCGCCAGCCCATTGACTCAAACCATTGAGCCCTCAAAGTGCGTAGGGAACCTCAAAGCCCCTTTTAAACGCCTCTCAGGGACCCTACAAACCACACTCCGAAGAGGCCCAAGCATGGTCCTAAGGCCATATTCCGATCCAACCCCTTTGCAATTGTAGGAAGTGGAGTTTCATTGTGAGCAAATCTGATTTGGGTGTGTCTTTCTTTGAGGGTACCACTGTTTTCGGGTGGTTTAAAGGGGCACGAAAAGGAAATTCATGTTTTGGGGTTCTGTAAAGGAAGACGCTCAAAGGGACCCCCCAAAAAAAAACTATGGGTGGGTTTCATAGGGTCTCCCTTTGGCCCTGAAAAAAGGCCACTCCCCGAGAAAAGTCACCTCCACATGGGGGTGTCGGTTTTTGCGGTTTCCCCCCCCCCCCCCTTGGTTGGTTTTAAAGGGAAGCCAAAACCGGTTGGGCATTTGGAGACGTTCCGTAAAATGAGGACTCCCCCTGTTTTGCTTGGTTTTAAAGGGACCCAAAAGGGACACCGGTTGGCCATTTGGAGAGGTTCCGTAAAACAATGACACCCAAACAGGTACCAGGCATGGTTGTTGTTGGGAAACATGTTACATTTTTGCGTCTTGTGTTTTAGTAAAAAAGTATATCCCCGCTTAGCTGCCAAAATTTAGATTTGTGCTCCCCTTCCAGCGTCAACCAAGCAGGTCTCTTTTTGCAGGTCCCCCTTTTGATCGGTTTCAAAGGGATCCGAGGGCACCGGACCAGGTGGACTCGAACCTCGGCGACTTCAGGACCTCCGAAGACATCTGGGCGGATACCGCCAAAGCGCTGGGCCTATCCTAAGCCGAGAGCCACCCCAAGTGTTCGGTGCCAAAAGGAAACCAAAAGGAACACCAAAGCAATTTTGGGGGGTGCCCTGAAGAAGACACACCCTGGTAGGTGTGTCTCAACATGATATGGAACCCCAAAATGGGCTGGTGTTTCCCTTTTGTTCCAATCCCTTTTAAGCCATGCAAAAAGGATGGCAACAAGGGTAGCCTCAACGAGACAACCCGATGGTTTCACCAAAATCAAAACCGAACCCTCTTTTTTGCCTCGTTCGGGTCCACTGAACAGGGCAAACTGCGGACCGGTGCAAAATGTTTCGCCAAATGCGTCGGTTCCCTGAAGTAAACTAAGGCCCCACTACTTGCAGACCCCCCCCCCGGGGTCAAATCACATTTGGGTTACCTCATAGTCTATTAGGACCAGTCAGACTCAATTCATGTGAGTCTTTGTTAAGGGTTCCCTTGTTGGGGTTTAAGGGGGTCTCCCAAAAACAGACATGCCTTTGTTGGTGAGGGGTGACTCAAATGGCGGGCCTTCATTGCGAATGCAGCGCCGCGCCATCCGGGACGCCAAACCAATGGCGGACACGGTGCCGTCGCAAGGGAATCTGTCTTGTGCTCCCGTCCTCGAGTAGCTCCACGGCGCGTTTCACGGCTCAATGGCTTAGGTGTGGGTCAGTTGCAAGTGTCCCACAAGACCTCGCAGGAGTTTGTGCTTTCACCAGTGGCTAGCTGGCCCACACTTTGGCACGAGCCCAAAAGCACATAGATGTGTGGGTGTCCAAAAAATGAGGGACACCCCGCATGGATCTCTTAGCTGGAAAACTGCAGATGGCCCAATTCACGCAGTCCTCGCCAGTAATGTTAACCACGGATTAATAAACCCTGGTTGATTAATAGGGTGTCCCCTTTTAGTGGGTATTCATCTCTTTTGGAGGGAACACCCCCCTAATAGTGGGACGGGTTTATTAATCCTGGGTCAACATTAATCCAGCACATGGCCGCCTAAAGGCATGGCATGTGTGTTCTGAGCAGAGCAGAGTATTGGGAGAGCGAAACTGATTCGGGCGCGGACAGATCAAATGGGCTTCCATTTGGCAAAAGACAAACAATACCTGTTGATGTTGCCCCGTTGGTTTTAGAGCGAAACATTCTTTAGGGAAGCAAAATGGAAGAGGGCCGTTTCCCCGCTTTTCCCCCAATCTCAGAACTGTCCCGAGGTCAGAAGCCGAGCAGTGCCCCGTAAGAAATTCCCGAAGCCGTTTGCCAGGATTCTTGGACTTTTGGAGGGAAGTCCTGAAGCCATAGGCGTCCTTTTTGATTTTGCTAGAAACGATGGGTTTCGATTCCTGGTGTACCTGGTGGTTTAATCATCTACCAGGGAAACCCGGCTCTATTTCCCCTAACAGGATACCCATGTCTGAAGCCTTCCGGCTTTGCCTTTTGAAAACCTGTTTTCGCCCTGGCAGTTCCGGAGTGAGTAATTCCTTGGCGCCTCCTGAGTTGCTTTTGCAGGGCCCGCAGAGAGTGAAGCAGGCTTGACCACAGATGATGTTATGTGGGTGTGGCGTTTTTGAGAGCACCTGGTGTTGTGGTTTTTATGGGATACCAAAAGGAAAGCCACGATTCTCGGGGTCGAGGAGGAAAAACCACCAGAAATCATCACACAGCTTCTTTCCAAAACGCCGGCTTTTCCTCCCCCCCCCAAAAAAATAAATAAATAAATGCCGGCTTTTTCCCCCCCCCCCCTTTTAAGGTGGTTGCAGTTCTGAAAAAGGGATATCCGGAGAAAAAGAAAAGAAAAACAAAAACACACCGCCCATTTGTTGGTCAAGCCTATGAGACCTGTGAGTTCAAGTCCCTTCAGCCCCGAGCCCTTCGAAGCCCAGCTGGAGCGTGAGAAGGCCGACGTCCCCAGACGCCGTTGCGCCCCAAGACGCATCGGCCACCTTAAGTCGAAGGGGCGAGCACCTTAGTGACTCCTCAAGACTTATTTTTGGTTTGCTTGGAGTTAAAGCTGCTTGGGAGGTTTCAAGTTTTTTTTACGTTTAGGGGTTAGGCTTTTTGTTGGTGTTGGTGTTCGTTTTTAGCATGAAGGGTTCTGTTCAGAAAGCCAAGCCTAGGGCCACTAAAGCCCGATCTTTTTTTCATGGTTTGATTTGGGGCTCGCTGAATGTCGGCCACAAAAGAACTTCGGCTCTGCACCAATGTTCATCCTGACTGGCATCGATCCCACGCAAAATGGGATGGGGGTACGCCCCAAAACGTGGTTTCCCTTTTCCAGCTTCCCTTTGACACTTCAATTGACTGTAGGTTTCTTTGGGTGAGGAGGAGACGTGAGAAGAAAAAAGAACGACGGTGGCTTTACCTTTGGGCCTGGCACCTCGGCTCGCGACTCGCCGTCCGATGGGGTTTCCAAAGCTTGAAAAATTATCATGATGGGGACGGGGCTTTCTCCGTTTCCCTTTGAAAGGGAACCTCCAAAAGTGGCAAGGTCAATGAACACCACCGGTAGACGCAGTAGATTGCAACTGTAGGGGTTCTTCCAGTGACCCTGATACATCATGCTACATGACGTGGCCGAATCGGAATTCACCGCAAGTTCACTCAGGCGGCTCCAGGCGCGCCAACACCAACAGACGACTGCCTATTTGCCAGAAGCGCGTCAGACATGGCTTCGGCGTATGGGTCCAGTTCCAGCGAGCGAAGTTTGACCTGGTGACCTTGTGATGAACCCCTGATTTTGGCAGGTCCTTTGGTTCACGTCTTCAGTCGGTTCCCCAAGCTTCCACCTGAGACCTTGATCTCTTTGGCTATTGATGGTTTTCTTTTGTTGGGGAAAGGACCAATAGCCGGTAAACCAGGGTTTGCCGGGGCTTGAAATCAAAGGGCCCTAAATATATCTGGAACGGGTTTGCGGAGTACTTCGAAACCAATTTAAGTCAAGATCACAAGACAACAAGTCACGATCCAAAGTATACCCCCTGCTCCAAATACCCTCTTTTTCTAGGGTATGATGTCGACCCTCTACCAACAAAGGAGGTATTTACCATGGCAACCCAGGTTTTTCTCAGAAAATACCCAAAAACAAGTGGGTATTTGGAGTAGGGGGGCAGTCTGTTCTGCACTCAGCTCCGCCCCTCGCCCTCCGCCATGGGGGCAGAGCTGTCGTCGCCCACGCCCAACCTGGAGTCAGGCGGATCGTCCACCGGGGGCTCCGGCCACGAGACAGAAACGACCTGCCTCGGGTTCCAGCAAATACCCAGACCTCCAGTGGGGTTGCATTTGTTCAGCTTCCATTTGCTGAAATGAATATGTATTTGTTTTTTTTAATTTTCCCTTGTTGGTTTTAAAAGGAACTTATCACTACTGGACATATTATTATCTTTTCCAGGGTTCTCAACCAAATGGAAGAAATTGCTTTTGGTCAACTGGTGTTTGCATAGTCGAAAACTCGTTTTACAGATCAACTATCAATAGCAGGGTGCCCTGCTTTCGCCTATCTTCAGTCCTGGGTCCAAAGATGCAGCCTTTTTTTCTGTGTCCTCAGTGAGATCGTCAGGGGTCCTCAAAAAATGTTCAGGGGACTCCATTTCGATGCAAGGCAAACAGTTCAAGCGTGCTCGAGCAATGATTGCTTCGAATCAATGGAGCTCCGATGTGCGATGCTTCACTTTCGCGTTTCGCCACGAAAGGTAGCCCTTCGGAAGTTTTTTACCCCTAGGCTCTACCATGGTTTCCCCTGGTGTCCGAGGGCGAAACGCCTGGACGCACGTTCTTTTTTGCACGACCCGATGTTCAAAGCCTCCGCTCGGTGGAAACTCACTCTGCCGGTCGCAGAAAAGCTTCGACGGGTAGTTTGGCTTTGTTTGCCCAGTTTATTTGGACCCTTCCAGCACTACCTACTGCAACCTCTCCCATGTTCAGCACCCCAAGTGCCCAACAAGGATTCGGATAGGACTCAGCAGTGGGTGGTATGCCTGCTATGGTCAGTCATAATCTGGAAAGTTGATAGAAGGAAACCAACCAAACACGTCAAAGTAGAGGGGGCTCCTTAATGTTTGCCCTTGACAGATCGCACAGGAAAACAGACCCTCATATACCTCTGAACATGTTGTTTTCGCGAGTTTCTGACTATATTAACTTCAGCAGTTCCTTTTTGTTGGTCTCCCTTTGAGTGGAAAAGCAACGGCGGGCCAGCACGATATCCTACGACCCCGACACCCTTTCACTTTAACGAAGGATGAACTCTACAGAGGCAGCTTTTTGCGAATCTCATTCAGAACTTGCACCCTTTAGTGAACTGAACCACAGCAGAATCCGGGAAACAGGAGGCGCTGCGTCTTCCTTATACCTGAAAGCCCGTTGCTTCAGTTTCCGTTAGACGAAGGGGGAACCATCACGTAGATGGCAAGACCTGTTTACCGGCAGCCTTCAGAGTTGGTCTTGAACACGGGATTCGTACAGTTTCAGAGTGCCATATGCGGAGATCCCTATCCCCTAGGCAAGGTGTTTGCACCAATGGCAAGGGCATAGTCTATGAAAGCTGGGTCAACATGTGGGAACATCTTATAGCTTTCACTCAAATGATGGGAGGAGCCATTTCCATCGATTTGGGCGAGGGAACATTGCAAGTGTACCCATTATCGAAATGGCTATCTTTTTTAGGGGACCCGTCAAAATGGAGGTTTCCCTTTTTTGGTTTCCCTTTGAAACCACCAGAAAAGGGGTACCCTCAAAAACAACAGCCCCAAATGGCAAGGCTTGGGGTCCACTCGGGGAATCGAGGTTCAGGGGCGTGCTGGTCCAGAAGTCCCGAAAAGTCCAAAAGTCCCATTCTCCTTAGCGCTCAAATGCGCCCGCTTCGGTCAGTTCTGGATGGCGTGGGCGAAGACATGCGTGGCAAGCTCCCGGCGCCGGGGCTGCCCAGAGAGCTCAGCAGGACGTGGCCGTTCCTTCCACAGCGGGCGAGCAACGAAATGAAGCCCCAAACACCAGGCGCGGAATAGTTATGTTTTGTTTTTTTCCCCCCGAGACCAGCACCCTGGGGTGGCCCATTTGTATACCCAACATGACCCTTGTGTGAGTCATTGTTGGGTACCTCCAGCCCCAAAAAGGGTAGCCTCAAAATAACAGAAACATTCTTCTTTCTTCCAAGGACAGACCCTAGGGCTTCCATTTTGCTTAAGACTTAGTACCTGTTGTTTATGTTGCCCCCAAAAAGGGTAGCCTCAAAAGAAAAGACACAAGCACGCGCACACCCTCACGTCCCTTGGAAGCTGCTGGGAGCTGCGCCTCCCACGGGTTGCGGCCCGCAAGAACTCGCCGCGGTTGTTTGATGGCCATGGGGGTCTTTCTTGAGGTCGGACCCCCCCAAGATGACGCAGCGTTCCCCTTGTTTTTTTGTTTGTTTTGTTTTAAACATCAAACCTCAAACGAAGGCACCCTCCCCCCCCCCCAAAAAAAAAACAGAAGAAGAAGAAGAAGAAGAAGATAAGAGACACCCATCTGGGAGGAACGCGACACAGCTGAGAATTTGGTTTACCATCAATTTCCCATCTCCTTTCCGAGGTCATAGACCATTGGTCTATGTTATGACATTGGACCAATCAACATTGGCCAGAAACTGCTGTTTGATGCTCAGGCATGTTCCAAAGACGCTTGAGTTGTTCCAGGTGATCGGTTCTGCTTGCAGTCTCGTCAAGGAGAAGACTTGGGGGTTTACGTCTCTTACCGCCCGAGCTGGAGAGATGCCACGTTCTCATCGTCATATCATGAATATCGTCCCGAACACACATCCCAGTACATATCCAAGAAAAGATGGACACACTATATCGATATGGTTTTTACGTGATTCGACAGATTGATTGATATGCCTAGAAATGCAAGTGACTGCGGCAAAAAGCGCAGCTCAAAGCTGAGGAGTTCTCCCTCTTGAAGGTATACGGAACAGCTTTTGAAGTCTCATTTTGATACAAATCCACTTGCTCGCTAACGACCGGGTCAAGTGCCCTTCTGGTTTTCTTGGAATTCGAACTCCGACGGCAGGGGTGCAGGTACTTTGGGTACCAAGGGGACCCTCGGGGAAGTGACGAAGTCACCAGATGCGTCGCCATGCGAATCGAGGCACCTGGACCTCATGGTGTCCCGGAACTTGAGGCGCGCAAGCCTTCGCGGATGCGGTGTCCGTTGAAGGGAAACCCAGACTGGGGCCCTTCACATTAATGGATGTCCCGTTTCAGCTGGTCCCTCTTCTGACAAAGGGGTTCTTAAATCAATCATTTGGCAGTTTGCTGGTTCTTTTTGAGGGGTATGTTCTAGAGCCACAGCGGAGATTTGTTACATACCTCGTTACATACCCCATGTAGCAAGACTCGCTAGCTCGTTACGTACCCCCTCATTGCATGTCGTCGTTACGTACCTTCACCACATACCTTACATAAATAAAGCTGGTTGCCTCCCCCCATACCCGGACTCTGAATGCTTTCCCAAGGGTTCTGCAGAGCAGACTTTTGCAGAGCATGCTTTTGCTGGGCATACCTTACCTATGCAGAGTCAACTTACAGAGAACTTGCCTTTCGGAAGAAGGAAAGTCGGAACAGGTGGCAGGGGGCCGGCAGAATTCCCGTTCTGTGCTACACCTCGTCCCCTCGCTAAAAGTATCCACCCCGAGCGCGAGGTGCATCGACCCCTTTTAGTGTAGTGGGGATCAATACCCTCATAGGCGCGTCCCTAGTTTAGTGGCGATTCACCAGGGAACACCCCGGAACCCCTGCTAACAAGACGGGTTTTTGTAATCCGGGGTCAACATCTCTAGTTGCGACGTTGTTGCGATTTTTGAGCTGCGGCTGGCGCGTTCCAGATCTAACCTGTGAAGTCGCACAGCTTGTTGGGAAAGGTCTTCAAGTGGAACGTCTGCCCGAAGGATCAGTCACTCCGGCGTTGAAGGCGTAGGCTGTCCAGCAGGCAATCTGATGTGAGGGGCGTGACAAGCGCAAGCAACGGCTGCTGAGAGGCGACGGATAGCTCCGAGCAGATTTCGGATGGCAGGGCCTAGCGTCTGTGGCGCTAGCACGCATCAAGTTGGGATGCGCTGCACTGTGCTGTGCAAGCCAAGCGCAAGTTTAAACAAAGCGGCGCGCGAACCAACAGAAGCACGCTTGTGCAGCCAGCTTGGTTGCGTGATGACAGGCAACCTCCTTGGCCGGCTGCCAGGCATGGCAGTAGATTCATGATGCAGCTGCAGCAATGGAGCAAGGTGTTTGACGCTGCCTATCTTGGAGCTGTCCAGTATTTCAAGTGGCTTCGGGCGGACGCTTTGGCAGGGGCGCTGGGCAGATGTTTTCGGTGGCGCCAAAGATTCTGCGCTATTTGCAGAGTTATACTTCGGACTTCTGATAGGAGCTTCGCCGGCTCCAGGATTCCGCAGGACTCCGGAGGGCCAGCCCGGCTAATCTCAGCATAGTCTCAGTGCGAGGCGCGTGGCTTGATAGCAAGACTGGTCCTAGAGGCAATTTGCTTCATTTGCGACTTGCCGCTCGCTGCTATGTGTGTGCAGCCGTTGCTCAGGGCGTGGAGATTTAAGCGAGAGTGAGTGAGTGTGAGCCTGAGTGTGTGTGTGTGTGAGTGAGTGTGAGTGAGGGCGAGTGTGAGAGTGAGGCGTGGGTGCGACTGTGAGTGTGAGTGTGGGTGAGAGTTGAGTGAGTGGGTGAGTGAGTGAGTGAGTCAGTGAGTGAGTGAGTGAGTGAGTGAGTGAGTGAGTGGGTGGGCGGGCGGGCGGGCGGGTGGGTCGGCGAGCTTGAGTGAGTGAGTGAGTGAGTGTGTGAGTGAGGGAGGGAGGGAGGGAGTGAGTGAGTGAGGGAGGGAGGGAGGGAGCGGGCGGGCGGGCGGGTGAGTGAGTGAGTGAGAGCGAGTGAGCGAGTGACAGAGTGAGTGAGTGAGTGAGTGAGTGAGCGAGTGAGTGAGTGAGTGAAAGCGAGCGAGCGAGCGAGCGACTGACTGAGTGAGTGAGTGAGTGTCTGAGTGAGAGCGAGCGAGCGAGTGAGCGAGCGAGCGAGCGAGCGAGTGAGTGAGTAAGTGAGTGAGTGAGCGAGTGAGTGAGTGAGTGAAAGCGAGCGAGCGAGCGAGCGACTGACTGACTGAGTGAGTGAGTGAGTGTCTGAGTGAGAGCGAGCGAGCGAGTGAGCGAGCGAGCGAGCGAGCGAGTGAGTGAGTGAGTGAGAGCGAGCGAGCGAGCGAGCGAGTGAGAGCGAGTGAGTGAGCGAGCGAGCGAGCGAGCTAGGGAAGGTCCAGGTTCCTCTGTTTAACAAGGTTTCCCATGAAAAACAAGAATTGGCCACCTTGACCTCCCTTGGTCAGCGGCATCCGAGTGAGTGAAGAGTCCGCTGTTCGGCTGTTGCCCTCGCGAGGTTCCGACATGTCGCCATTTGGCGAGATCCCTTCCTGGGAGGAGCTGCGCTTAGCTTTCCTTGAGGCTCAGCCGTTGGATTCGGATTGGAATTCCAACATTCCATTTTGAACAGCCCTGCCTTCTGGGCAACACGTTCACTTGCTGATTTAAGTGTTCTGTCATCTGTTGTTCATGTTTGGGTTTCACTCCAAACAGTTTATTTTGTTGCAAAAGCGCTGTCAAACAACGTGTTTCTGTTCTTGTTAAGTTGGCATATGAAAACATTTGGAAGGCCAAATCAAGGTCCAAAGTTGTAATCGCAGATGAAGTTTGTTTATTGAACTGGTGGAGACTTTAGACTTGGGCGGCTTGTTCAGCATTCTAGTCAAGGCCCAAAAAGCGAAGTGCTTGTTCTGGCCGACAAGGCAGCACCTGACATTTGCGTGCGGGTATGGACTAATTGTTCGCTAGCGTTGTGCTCCTCAATGTCAGCTTGGTTTTAGGAGAAGGGGTTGAGATATTCAAACCAATAAGCACCAATGACGAAAGGCTTTGAAGGTCGCCACGCCCTGCAACTCATCTAGGCCCTTAATTACAGCACCTGACAATATGTGTAGGCCTTTTGCTTGGGGAGGGCGGGCGCACAACCTCCCCTTTCCCCCTGCCCCTGCAAAAAAAGATGAGAAACGGGGGGAAAAGGGGAACCTTCCGATCTCCCCATGCCCTCCCGGAGAGCTGGTCGAATATTGTCTGTATCGCTTCAGCTAGTGTGTTTGTTAGTCCCTCTTGACCTTGCAGCTTGGTGGTTGCAGATGGCTCAAGTTGCAGGTCATTCACCAACTTTGAGCCAGACTGTTTTCTCCCCCAACGAGAGAAGTTATGTCTATCAAGCCAGTGGCTGATGCCGGATTGTCATTGATGTTACCTGAAATAACAGGGAATGCTCGATTCCTACGCCGTTCTTTGGACACTTGTTCCTACGCTGCCGCCTGCGGGCAGCGTTGGTTCTGCGTCGATTTGAAGGGACAACTCGTGCGGTAGCCCCCGGGGCGCTGTCCCTGATCCTGCTGCCAAAGACACCCTCATGACTCACTCATGACCTGTGGATGGAGAGAACCCTGATTCCAGTTGGGATGGATTAAGATTTTGAAGATTAGGAAACAGCACCTTCAGAGTGGTGCAGAGCGGATTTTGCCCATCCACAGTATGAAGGGCGTTCTTTTGTTATCACATTGCTTTGGAAAGAAGTTGCAAGGCTCTAAATACACGAGCAGAGGAGAAGCGTCTGGATTCGCCTCACTTCAGTCCTGGCTGTGTTTGGCGTGGAAAAAAAAAAACGGGTATGCTTGGTATGCTTCTACATGCATCTAAGGAGCAAGGTACAACTTGCTCATACCAGACAGGTTCAGTTCTCAACGCGGACCCCCTGTTTGGCAAACGTAGTTTTGCAGTGGTTTATTTTTAAGCTCACCTTATTTGAAGTGGTAGTTGATTCCGCTGAAACACATGCCCAACTTGAGGGTGTCAAGGGCTGGGTCCAAGGGATCAGTCGGCTGAGGGACCATCGACCATCACACCGTCGTCTACGAGTACTTGGACGGACGGCGCCTGATGAGCCTCAAGCAACTGGGCGAAACCTTTGGCTCGGGTTGGTCCAGACTTGAGTCGGTCTCCAAACTCTCGCCGAGATCGATGTTCGTTCAGTGATCGATTTCCCTTGAATCTGGGGGTACTGATGGAACTTGGGGAATGCCTCAAAATACGTGCTTGTGACACCCCTTTTTTGCAACTCGTGCTTGTGACACCCCTTTTTTGCAACTCGAGTGTGGTACGGGAACCCCCATGTTTTTCAGGAGTCAACCCACACCCAAGGCTCGGAGAACTTGGAATAGGGCCTGAATACCTATGGGGGTTAAGAGTACAAAGCCAGCTTAAGTCATGATTGTCCCCCTTGGCCGACAGATCAAAGGGCGCGAAACCCAATGTCGAATTTTTTGGCAAGGGTCCTTTGATTTTGTTTTTTGGGAGTTGCCTGACATTTTCCAAGCTGATGGGCCTGCCGAGGTGGATTTGTGGGGATTTCCTCACTGAAATTCAGTTCAAGTGTGCACTTTTTGGGGTTTGGGTTTGGGGGGGGGTTCTTGTTTGGGGTGGTGGTGGTAAAAGTCCGACTTTTCCGGGTGAATTGACTTGATGGGAAGCGAGAAACTCGCAAGAAACCAGGCGCCCCTCTCCTTCAAGCAGCCTTTCTACTCTCATCAGATGGGATCGTTTTGCTTCAATATCTGAATCAACAGACAAGCCGGCACCTCCAGATGGTGTTTTTTTTTGGAAGGGAATTCATCCGGAGAAATTCATTGCCATCCATTGGATCTGTAAGTGAAGAAGCACCTAAAAAACAGAACCATTACAAGGATTTACTGGTTCCCTAGTATTTCTGGATTAAGCCTGGCAGATGGACGGGGAGGGTGGTTGCCCGCAAAAGTGACAGCTGCAATCCATATTATTTGGTTCCATCCAGAGTGATTGGTTCTATTCCAACAAAACTTCGGCGAAGTTTCATTCAGTCACCCATTTCAGGCCAATATCATTTTTGGGGCCTGTACAGATAGTTGCTTTGGTTGTGGACGGGGTGCTCTGGGACGTAAGGACTTGTTTGCGTCGCCAACAGAGTCATTGTACCCTAGGGTTAGCTTGAAGGGGAAACGGAGAGGCCACACAATACGGGGCGGTTCTCGGGACGCGGTTCTCGGGACGCGACCGTGCCATTTTTGTTGGATCCAAGCGCTTAGGTTGGATTGGGGGCGCGATGGCTTGCACTTTCATGACAGCCCAGAGGCACGCGCGGAGCGGTCACAGATGGGTCCAGATGTGGGGGTTGATCAACAGGTCCTTTACGTGGGATGACCAGTGGTTGGAAAACCCAGCAAGAAGATGGTATGTCCCACATAGGAATAGCCACCCACGGTGAAATTTGGGGATGGGTGGAACAAGCCATTTCGACAGGGGCAAAGGGGTCGGCAAGGGTTTTCTTTTGGTTTCCCAGCTACCAACAGAGAGAGATTACGAATCCCATTTTGAGAAGATGTAGGTCAGCATGGTACCACCAGACCCCTGAGTCCCAATGTCCCAAAATTGGGAAGAGAGACCAAATGAATGCAATGGGGTGTTTCGTTTTCTTGGGAACCCCCTTTTGCTTGGTTTTAGTACGGACCTTGTTCGAGAACGCCTGATTTTGAGGCAAACCCAGACAATATAGGGTCGACAAAACTGTCGCCTTTGTGTGGGACGTCTGTTTATTCTCAGGTCAGCCAGACTGTTGTCAATCCACCCGTTTCGACCTCACATCAAAGCCCCAGTCGGATGCTAGGCTTTGCACTTCGCAGGTCCTTCATGGGGTCACTGGATTTCCCCTTCAAAAGTTGCAAGTTGCAGGTGGTGTCCATTGAAATTACGCCACTCTTGGAGGTTCCCTTTAAAGGGACATGGAAGCACCCCCTTTTTTCCTCCACAGAAAGATCCCATTGGCAAGTTCTTCCATCGTCGCCGGGGTCTTACGTTTTCGTTTCCTCCGGACCTCCGCCAACCTTTTGTGAGAGGGTTGCTCCGACCCTCCAGGGCAAAGACCAAACCACAGGTAAACTTTGGTGCATTTTGCTTGTATGTTAGGACTTTATTTGTTTATCCCAACTAATGGGTTTTTCATTCAACCACTAAAAGTTATTCACTATTAGCAGGGGAGCAGATTCCGAGACAGGTAAACATTGATTTGGGGTTTTGCCTTGTTCGGGTCAATATGATCGTGTCAGCAATCCATTGTTTGATAGTTTGGATTGGTTTGGGGATTCGAAGCCTTCCTTTTCCAACCAAATGCGGTGAAGGTACCAAAAATTGGCTCAACCAGTGTCCAAACCACCAAACCAAACCAAATCAGCGTCCAAACCAAACCAACGTCCAAACCAAATCAACCAAACAATTCCAAGCCAAACCAAACCAAGCCAAGCCACCAACCCACCCAGCTTTTGGGTGACGACGACGCCCTCGTAGCCTTGGAGGACCCCTGCCCCAACGGCGACGTCCTGGAGCGGAAGTGGTGCGCTCGCCTGTCCGCCACGGAGGCGGTTTTGGCGCGCGAGCGAGCGAGCGGCGCTCGCCGTGGCTTTCTTTCGGGCGGCTCATCGGGCGGTTGTTGGAGTCGCTCGCCCCCTTTGTCTGCGGCTTAAAAGGGAGAACCGAACTGGAAAAAAGAGAAACAAGAACAAACACGGCGGGCAATTCTTGGTCTAGGAATTGGAGAAGACAAATCCCGAGCTTGAGGGACAGCTTCAGGGTCCAGGAATCCCAGTCCAAAAGGAACGCCAAAGCGCGTTCGAGTTTTCGCTGCGAGCGCTTCAGATGGGAGCGGCTCAATCACTGCGAACGGGGGAGTGCGACTGGCCCATGGACGTTTGCCCAACTACCGGTTCAACATGAGATCACACCCGTTCCACTTACTTCCATTTGCTTAGGAATGTGTTTTTTCTCTTGTTTTTCCTTTGTTTTCCCCCTTTATTGGTTTTAAAGGGAATCTGTCACTACTGGAAATTATTATTCTTTTATTTTTTTTCGGTTAAGCAAACGGAGGCTTACAATTCATGTTCTCCGTTGTTGTGGGGAAAGAATGGTTCTAGGGCCTCTGTCTGTGAGATACCGAGGGAGTTCCGTTGAAAGTGTTCTCTTGTCATGGGAACAAAAACAACCTTGTCACCCAAAAGGGCATCCAATTTTCACAGGGATTTGGGCAGTAAAAGTAGGCTGAGGAAAGCTGTTGGAAGTTCCCCCCCCTGCTGTTGGACCGGTTTCCGGCTCACTTTCCCTCGTCTTCATGAGCGCGGTGCCCCGCCTGTAGGGAGCACCTGAAGTCGGCGCTTTGACCAGATACCAACGTATCTTGCTGGCTCCCAGCCATCCCCTAAGCGTTTTAGCCTTTTAGTGTTTTGTGGTAGTTTCCATTGAACCCGCTAAAAGTCAAACTTTTAGCGAGGGATCTGAGGGCAGCCCAGGTTTGTTTCCGGATTTCGAAGACTCAGCCCGGCGCAAGCGTTTTGGCCGAGGGGGAAGAGGGATCATTTGCCCTGCCCGACTTATGACGAGCTCAGCGATCGGGGGCTTCAAATTCAGCTCGCCAAGGATCCTCGTGGGGATCCTGTCATTCCCCAACGGGTTTTTGCCCAAGGCAACTCGTGGTTTGGGGCAGCTTTCAGGGAGGCTTCAAAAGGAGAGTCAGTTCCTTGGGGCGTGCCGAGGATGCCACCTGGGCATACCACACACTTGTGAACTGACGACATTCAGGTGCTAAGGTGCCACCGCCGCATCGGCGTCAAAGCGGCGCCGAGTTTCTCGTTCGTCAGGTTCTGGTCCACTGGGATGCAGTGAAGGAGAGGAATTACGAGCTCTCCCGCTGGAATTGCCAGCACTTCAGCAAGTGCCGCGGGTTTTCTTGTTCTTTGGATCGGACAAATGCGCAAATCTTCGTGCCGTTTACGAGCTAGGGCCTGGTGATGCATCACGTCATCACTTGGTTTATCAATAGTGGGCTTGGGTTGTTTTTTTGTTACCCTTGGGCCGTTTTGAAAAGCAGCCTTGAATATGTTGATTCTTGCAGTGGGTTCGTTTTTTGGTGTTCCTTGCTTTTTGGATACCCAATGAATGAATTAGGCCAGCAAGTGCACCCCGCTTTGTTCCCCCCCGGGATTGACATGCTCGATGGATGCCGAGCCTGTGATCTGGGACCCGCCAAAGGGACCACAAAGGGCTGCCTTGGAAGCCCGCAATTTCTCAGGCGAAGCCTTTTTCATTCAGGTGGCCTTCAAATGGGAGCAATCAATTCCCCTGACAAAGACACCGGACAACTTATTCTGGTGAATAGATTCAGCCAAAGTACATAGGTGTCCTTTTCAGGTTAGTTTGGATAGAACCATATATATATATATACACGATATAGATGGCACTGGTTTAGATTGGTTGTATCACCCATTTATTAGGGAAACCCATGTTTTTGTTCCAATTTCGCTCACCTATGCCCAAGCGGAAACCCGGTTTGTGACCTCCAGGTACATGTACGACAAAGCAGATGAAGGAGGAGCCTGAATCCGCCTGAATCCGAGAAGCGCAGCGCCAGACGCTGGGTGGAAACCCAAGATGGTTGTCCTCCTCAGGCATTGCCCAAAAAAAAAACCTGGAGAAATTGTGGGGGGTCACTTTTCGGGAGTTTCTCATCATAGTGGTCCCCTTTGGGTTGGTGTTGAAAGAGAGACCAACAGGAAACCAACCATTTTGTTGGGGGGGATTTCGAATTTTTTGAGAGATCATTTGAACGCAAATGCATAGATGGATGCGCTTCTGGTCCTGCTCAAATCCGGGAAAACACTGCCTTATTTGGACCAGGGCTCTCTTGACAGGTCTTGATCGATTTTGATGCCGCTCAATGGTCCAGGTCCGAGCCTAAAAGGACTCGGCCTCGTCTTCGCATCCAGCATCCAGCAGCCAAGCCTCCTTTGCTTTTGATCGGGTTGCACCTTTTTCTGCACAGCGACGGAATGAACCCATAGCTTCTACCCTGTCTCCCGCGAACATGGCACCTGAGAGGTGGTCCCTTGAAAATCTTATCTTCCATTTCCAACGCAAGAGCCTGGCATTGGTTTTAGGGAGGGGTCGATGTCTATGGTTCCCACCTTTACAGAGCCCATCTTTGGTGAGTGTCCTTTCTGTGTGGTGATGCTTTGAGGCTGGAAACAATGGGTCTTGAAATAGCCCCCCCCCCAAAAAAAAAAAAACACAAAGAAGTGGTTCCTTTTGGTTGTCCTTACAAAGCCCAACAAAGGAACCCTCAAGAAAAGAGGAGGCACCCACATCTTGGGGCTTCCCATGACACCGTCTGACCCACGCGACTCACCAGTCTCACCAACCGATCGATTAGATGCCGCTTAGAAACAAAATGCAAAAACGAGACCCGGAGCTCGGACATGTGGCTCCCGAAAACACCCAGATCTTCAACCTGTGGACAAAGGGTGGCATCCCCTTCCCAATACATCCCCGGCAAGCCACTTTTGTAGGCAACCCTTCGCCAATTTCCTCTTGGGTTTTGCATGGTTCCCTTGATTACCTGCGATACATGTAAATGGATCCACTGGGCTTGATTGGTGGTTTCAATGAACCCCGTTTTGAGGGCAAATGGGGTTTCCCACAATCCATCAAACCGCCAATCTAAAGCGCCATCAAAAAGTTGAGAAAAAACTCACCCCACAGCCAACCTGAAATGAGGTGAGTCCACTGTGGCTTGGGGTGAGTTCTTTTCGGTTTCCCTTGCTGTTTTGGTCCCTTGGTGTCACAAATTCACCGCTCTTTTGGCTTTTTCTTGGACACCAAACCACTTCTCATGGCAACCCAACGGGCTAGCCATTTCTTTCTGGGCCCCTGAAACGCAACTGAGACAAAGGTGCCAAGGTTTGGGGTTATAGAAACCGGCGCATTCTAGCGATTCTAGAGGAGTTTGGCCACATTTAGAGCTCGGATGTCCCGATCCCCAAATGAACCATAGACAAATCTGGCAGCGAATTCCGCTGCCGGGTGCCCGGTTTTTGCGAGGTTCGGTCACCGTGTCCAGATTTGTGTCTGGTCCAATCTGGGCTCAGGCACCAAGTCCAGTAGCCCACCTCGGTTTTGATGCCGCACCTCGTGTCCTTTTTGAGGGGCAAGTGCCCTTGGTTCAGAAACCAAAACGGGCCCGATTCCTATTGAACGGGAATGACAGGCATAGAGGGATACCCTCAAACATTTGCTTGGGATAAATGCCGGCCATGGCATTGGCCGTGGCCCTGTTGAAACCAGGCTTCAAAGTCAAGCTCCCTTCGATAGGAGCACGCCTCCCTGGTGCATGCTTGCACTTCCTGGAGCAAGTATAACATCGGCTTTGGGCCTTTTGGGCTGCTTGAACCTCGGGACGTTTGCTTTGAATAAATTGGCTTGAACCGGTGGCTTGGAACTCGTGTCTTGGCGGTTTGCTGTTGGGTTCCATTTGGGTGGCTCGTCTTGCTGGGGTGGCCCTTGCTTTGGGGGGTTTCAAAAGGACAGGCACCATTTTGGGGGGTGAAGGGAAGCTACCTGAAGTGCCCCAAATGTGAGAGCCTGACAGTATCTCGACGACTTGAAAAGACGTTTGGCGTGTAGACGGACTTACAGAACATGATACGACGAGTGTTCACTTTTAGCAATGGGCCATCAAACCATTTACTCTGCAGGGTGGCTCTTTTCCACAGGATGAACCCCCTTTTGGCCAAAACCAAAAGGAAGCCAACTAAACCTTGCAACCAAAGGCACACCAGCCAACAAACATGACCACCAAAACAAAAACCAGCCAACAACGATGACAACCAAAAGGACACCAGCCAACAAACATGACCACCAAAACAACAACCAGCCAACAACGATGACAACCAAAAGGACACCAGCCAACAAACATGACCACCAAAACAAAAACCAGCCAACAACAATGACAACCAAAAGGACACCAGCCAACAAACATGACCACCAAAACAAAAACCAGCCAACAACAATGACAACCAAAAGGACACCAGCCAACAAACATGACCACCAAAACAAAAACCAGCCAACAACGATGACAACCAAAAGGACACCAGCCAACAAACATGACCACCAAAACAAAAACCAGCCAACAACAATGACAACCAAAAGGACACCAGCCAACAAACATGACCACCAAAACAAAAACCAGCCAACAACAATGACAACCAAAAGGACACCAGCCAACAAACATGACCACCAAAACAAAAACCAGCCAACAACAATGACAACCAAAAGGACACCAGCCAACAAACATGACCACCAAAACAAAAACCAGCCAACAACAATGACAACCAAAAGGACACCAGCCAACACACATGACCACCAAAACAAAAACCAGCCAACAACGATGACAACCAAAAGGACACCAGCCAACAAACATGACCACCAAAACAAATCCCAGCCAACAACAATGACAACCAAAAGGACACCAGCCAACAAACATGACCACCAAAACAAAAACCAGCCAACAACAATGACAACCAAAAGGACACCAGCCAACAAACATGACCACCAAAACAAAAACCAGCCAACAACGATGACAACCAAAAGGACACCAGCCAACAAACATGACCACCAAAACAAAAACCAGCCAACAACAATGACAACCAAAAGGACACCAGCCAACAAACATGACCACCAAAACAAAAACCAGCCAACAACAATGACAACCAAAAGGACACCAGCCAACAAACATGAGGACACCAGCCAACAAACATGACCACCAAAACAAAAACCAGCCAACAACAATGACAACCAAAAGGACACCAGCCAACAAACATGACCACCCAACAAAAACCAGCCAACAACAATGACAACCAAAAGGACACCAGCCAACAAACATGACCACCAAAACAAAAACCAGCCAACAACAATGACAACCAAAAGGACACCAGCCAACAAACATGACCACCAAAACAAAACCAGCCAACAACAATGACAACCAAAAGGACACCAGCCAACAAACATGACCACCAAAACAAACACCAGCCAACAACAATGACAACCAAAAGGACACCAGCCAACAAACATGACCACCAAAACAAAAACCAGCCAACAACAATGACAACCAAAAGGACACCAGCCAACAAACATGACCACCAAAACAACAACCAGCCAACAACAATGACAACCAAAAGGACACCAGCCAACAAACATGACCGCCAAAACAAAAACCAGCCAACAACAATGACAACCAAAAGGACACCAGCCAACAAACATGACCACCAAAACAAAAACCAGCCAACAACAATGACAACCAAAAGGACACCAGCCAACAAACATGACCACCAAAACAACAACCAGCCAACAACAATGACAACCAAAAGGACACCAGCCAACAAACATGACCGCCAAAACAAAAACCAGCCAACAACGATGACAACCAAAAGGACACCAGCCAACAAGCATGACCACCAAAACAAAAACCAGCCAACAACAATGACAACCAAAAGGACACCAGCCAACAAACATGACCGCCAAAACAAAAACCAGCCAACAACAATGACAACCAAAAGGACACCAGCCAACAAACATGACCACCAAAACAACAACCAGCCAACAACAATGACAACCAAAAGGACACCAGCCAACAAACATGACCACCAAAACAAAAACCAGCCAACAACAATGACAACCAAAAGGACACCAGCCAACAAACATGACCACCAAAACAAAAACCAGCCAACAACAATGACAACCAAAAGGACACCAGCCAACAAACATGACCACCAAAACAAAAACCAGCCAACAACGATGACAACCAAAAGGACACCAGCCAACAAACATGACCACCAAAACAAAAACCAGCCAACAACGATGACAACCAAAAGGACACCAGCCAACAAACATGACCACCAAAACAAAAACCAGCCAACAACAATGACACCCAAAAGGACACCAGCCAGCAAACATGACCACCAAAACAAAAACCAGCCAACAACAATGACAACCAAAAGGACACCAGCCAACAAACATGACCACCAAAACAAACACCAGCCAACAACAATGACACCCAAAAGGATACCAGCCACCCTTTTTTTTTTCCGGCACCACTCGCGGGGTCGCTGGTGACCTCCGTTTGGCTCGGCTCGAGCCGCGCGCCTCGCCCCGCGGCATGTGGGCGCTGGAGTTCGCGGTGCTGGGCAGCGCGTGGGCCTTTCCATCAGCGCCCCGGACAAAGTCTCCCGAGTCGGTGGAGTTGGGGCAAAATTTGTTGGATTTGGATTTGGTGGAGTTGGTGGAGTTGGATTTGGAGCTCTGTTGCTCAGCGGATTCCGCCCCCTTTTTGTCAACTTTGTTTGCACAATTTGTCCTCTAAACTCAAGCAACAAAAAAGGATGCCCCTTCTTTTCCCCATGAGTGGCTCTTCTTGATTTTGAATTGAAGGACCCATTTCTTAAGGGGAACCATAGGGGGAAACTTGTGACCTTCGCTGCTTTCAACATGGTGTTTTTCCTTTTTGAGGGTTTAAAGAGAGACTACCATTTTGAAGGCTCTATTTTGACGCATAGTCTGGTGCGGGGCGGGTCCCGCTGTTGGGTCAACCTTTGGGACCATCAGAGACATCTTTGTCTGTGGCTAAAGACAATCCTGGGTCCTTTGTCCTTTGGCTTGTTTTTTTTGCGAAGGAGTCTTTTCCCCGTACAAGCCTCTGGTAGTGCCCATGGTGAGGTTGGTGGCTCCCAGCCATCCCCTTAGCCCTTTAGCTTTTTAGTGTTTAGTGGCAGTTTCCATTTAACCCACTAAAAGTTCAACCTTTAGCGGGGGACCTGAGGGCAGCCAAGTGATTCTGTATGGTAATTGTCTCAAGGCCTCACTCCCTGAGTTCCGTTTCGGACTTTAGCGACTTTTTAAAATTGGACCACAGCGGTAAACAACAAAAATGGACTTTGTTTGGGCTATGCACTCAGGATGTGAGATGCGAATTTGGGCTGAAAAACAAGTCACCCGGTCCACACGACTTTGGGCTTTTTGGTTTTTGCTGGCTTTGTTTGGTTCCAAGTGGCGCCACAAGAGCATTACCTTCTCCATTCTGAATGTGTAGTACCACTAGGGAAGGTTTGCCGCGTGAGGAGTTCGCCGATTTGGGTGGCCAGCAACAGCTTCAGCGGTGGGTCCGGTTGTTTTCCCTTCAGAACACACATTCAAGCGGTGTTTTTGCACTACCCATTTCAGAACTTTAGGCGTAACTCAGAAAGCCAACCAAGGCGTTTTGTATGCAAGTTCTGTCTGTTTTCTTCGAGAGCCCTTCCCAGTTTCCCAGGTGCACTTGCATTTTTGGGGTACCCCAAGCTGGGTCAAAGCTTGGTAAGAACTTGTCTTTGCCATTTGAACATATGATGGTAGGACACATGTATGTTTCGAACATCAAGATCATCGGGCTGTCCCTTTTCACCATTCAGCCAATGTTTGGTGATTGCTCAAGGGAACTCCTCCATGTCTTCTGTCGAGCTGGTCCTTTTTGGTTCCAGAGGAAAACCACAAGGAAAGCCGAAGCCCATTTTGGAAATTTCCCTTGAAACAGACACACCCGTGTTTTGTGTGTGCCAATGTCCAAGAATTTGGGTACGCTGTTGGATTGTTCGGTTTGAGGCATGGGGAAGGGGCAAAGCTTCGTGTTATCATTTGCAGGAGGTGTCCTTTTTGGTTGGTTTGCTTAAGCAAATAGAGGGCGATTCCTGGTTGAGATGGGGTTTGTTCCATGTACCAGGGAAACCCATCGATTTTTCCAAAAGGCCACCTATGTTTGCAGGTGTTCGCCGTGTCAAATCGGCAACAGCATCCCCTACTGCTCCCCACGGGACTTGAGAAGCTCCTTCAAGAAGACCCCAAACGAAAACACCGGCTCAACCCCTGTAGTGCGGCTAGATTGCAATCCCAGAACAGAATGGCCAAGAGCACATGCGACTGTGGAACGATTGGTGAAGTGAAGGGGATAAGTTCTGGACAGTGCAGTTGACTCAATTCATCATGTCCTCATGGACCATGCTCCGTATGATATGCTGCTCGTCATATGCTCATTGCTGTCGCGTGCAGCTTTGCTCGGGTTCCTGTCGGGGTGAACACGCAGCACAAGACTTTGCCAGCTCGTAACACGTTTCTGCCCTCCACGTACTGCCGGCTTGGCCAGGAGCACTGCTTGCAACACCCAGGAAATAGGGAGTATGAATTCCTTGATGTGAGCTGGACGCTCCTGGCAGACACGCGTAGGTGTTGCTTCGCGCGGGTTTCTCGAGGAGCCGTTGTTGAACGCACCAGCATCGTGTGAGACCATGCGGGGATTGCGCATCTCTTGGAAAATGTTTGAGATGCCCATTGTTTCGGACGCCCCCTCAGATGTTGGCAAAAATGAAAACGGGAGCAACCAGTGCTTAGATGAACACATGCCCGGTGAGCACTGGTCGAATCCTTTTTCTTTGTTCACTGTTCTTGTTTGTTTGAACTTCTGGATGTAGCCAGCCCCAGTGAATCGAACAAGTCTCGCCCACACAACGCTAAAACTCCTCATCTTCTCGGCAACGCAGCCCCTGCCTGGAAGTTAAGCAAGCCAGTTCGACTATGCTGGTTGTGTGGGCCATCCAGACTCGACAAGCCCCAAGAAGTTGCAAGTTGCAAGTTGCAAGCGCGAGTCCATTGCTGATTGTATGAGTGATTACGCAAGGAGCAATTTCTCACACTGGGTATCCTATTTGGATTCCCTGACACACTTCGCCTACTGGCTGGCACATCAGAGGCAACACGAAGGCTGCGTGTTGCGAAGCTACTATTGATTGCTTAAAGCAAGCGAGGTCGATGGAATGATGCCTATCTTTGGCTGCGGCCCGTTCCAAATTAGATCTGGCCTTTGCGAGTCTCCCACGCAGTCTTGCAAGACAGACCCTTTCTATATGGGACGCGACGCCCCGCATGCAGCGAGACAGAGAGGGGCGCAAAGAGCACCAGGCAGGACGGAGGAAGTGCTCGGATGGTTGAATGCCAAGTGACAGTGGCAAGGCAGCCCAGCTCATGGCGTTCAGGGCTTGAGTACGAGCTGTTGGGCTGGGCCGGGCCGGTGAGCGCAGACGAGCGCGCGCCCATGGAGGGCCGTTCAAATTGTTGCCGCCGCACGCTTGGCATGAAAACGCAACATCAAGAGAATGGAGCGCGTTACGTCAACTTCGTGAATGGACATCATTACACAGCGCCTGTTTCATTTTTCGTTTCCGTTTCCCACGTCCACGTGTCTGAGCGTCTTGCACGAGGCGCTGTAGGAACAGGAAAAACCTGCGACGGGCTTCAGGCAGGGTGGCTTTGGCAGCCCACAGATTTTGTGCTGCGATCATCTACTGACGTGCCTAGCTACCCAACTTTACATAGAGTTTCTTCTCGCAGCAAGCTATCGCTTCTGTTTACATAGCCTGCAAAAGGACGAGTGTTGTTTTCGGATGGAGAGGATGATCGTTCGCCGGCAGGAAGTCCCGAACTCCACTCGGACTGCAAAGCGAAAAAGGGTTTGGGAAGACATGCCCCTTTCAAAAGGTAAAGAAGCAGGACCAAAATGTTTGGCCAAGAAGAAGCTATCAATTTGCCGGCAGAGTTGGGGAAGCAGGTGGGTGTTGTTTTCCAGCATCTTTTATGATTACAAATTATGCCTCCGCTGGTTTGTTTTCAACCTGCGGTTGTTCATGGCGCAGGGTCCCTGATTTTGTGGCCCTAAACACGGGTGAATGTGACATGTATGCGCAGTGAAAGACTGTTGCTGTGGTAACTCGGCCGGGTTCAAACTCCATCTTGCTACTGGCTGGACTTACAGCTTGCGCGTTCAAGCTGTGTAGCAATATTGTGTTTTGGAGCTGCGAGCGCAGAGAGAGCTGCTGCTTGAAGAGCCCCCCTCGTCCATCAGCAGTATCTCAAGTGCCTCAGATTACACCGCGGAGGAGGAGGAGAATCCGAGTGAGCTGCGCCGCGCAGGGAGCGAGCCAGAGTCTTTGTGTGAAGCATCCGGCCAAAGCGCCGCTGTGTTGTTCCAAGGAATGTTTGTCAGTAGTGGGAGGGGGTTAGTAATCAAGACTGATGGATAGCAGCAAACATCTGGAGCTTGGGGTGCTATATTATTTTAGGAATGTTTCCCCGCATGGAGTAGGATTCTTTTTTTTCCCAGCCCCCCGGGCAAGCAACCAAGCAAGCCAGCCAGCAAGCAAGCAAGCAAGCAAGCAAGCAAGCGCAAGAAAGCCAGCCAGCAAGCAAGCAAGCAAGCAAGCAAGCGCAAGACCAGCCAGCCAGCCAGCCAGCCAGCCAGCCAGCCAGCCAGCCAGCCAGCCAGCCAGCCAGCCAGCAAGCAAGCGCAACAGAGCCAGCAAGCAAGCAAGATGCAGGGCGGTTTAGGGTGGGCTTAGGGGTGCAGAGTTGCGGGTTTAGGGCGGCGTGCGGGTGTGTAGGTGAGTTTATGGGTTTTCCTAAGTCTGAGGCTGTGTTGTGGTTGATTTAGGCGGGTTGGTTTCGGATTGGTCTAGGGTGGGTTCAGATAAAGCTTGAGTTGGTTGGGCTAGTTGGGTTGAGGATAACGGCGGGTTTAGTGAGCTTTCGGGTTTGGCTTCCCGGAAACCTTAAACATAAAACCACATACCCTACACTTGCCCCCAACTCACCAAACCCTAAACACACCCCAAACCTACCCTTAACCTGCCCTTAACTGCCCTGAACATACCAAGCGTGCCTTGAACCTTAAAAACGCAAACCCTAAACACCTGATCCGAAAGCTTACTAAACCCGCCTTTATCCTCAACCTTAACCAGCCCAACCAACTCAGACTCCATCTGAACCCACCCTAGACCAATCCGAAACCGACCCACCTTCAACCCATAAACTCACAGACGCACTTTCGCGCCGCCCTAAACCCGCAACTCTGAAGCCCTAAGCCAACCCTAAACCGCCCAACACCCACCTCTAACCTAACTTTTCCCAACCCTGAACGGACCCCGAAACCCACCCTACACCAACCCCCCAACGCACCCTGAACCACCCCGAAAACCAAGCCAACACCCGCCCCAAACCAACCCCGAACACCATAAACCACCCTGCAAGAGCCTAGATGCCTGTCACTCAGCTGGCTTTCATTCTCCTGTCCTGTTTCACTAAGACGAGTTTTGTGGTCTGTACTCCAGAAGTGAGTAGCTTAGAGGTGGTGCATACTCCAGAAGAATGACATGCGCATGAAAAACACGCGTTACCTAGCTCTCAGCCCGGTTCTGCCAGAAAACACTGTAAAACGTAGTGTTTTGTAGCTTTTTTCATGTTACAATCACATCCCCACCAACACCCGGTCTCTCTCTCTCTCTCTCTCTATATATATATATATCTATGTGTAAAATGGCGGACCCTCAACTTGGTGGCTCCGAGCCGCCCCCTCGAGTTTTCAGTTGAGTTTTTTGGTTGGCCCGCAAGTTAAACTTTTCGGGGATCAGTTTAGCTAAGATGGTGGTGCTCCTTGTTTCCTTGTAAAACCACCCCAAAAGATGCGGCTTCCTACAACAAAACGTTGGTGCTTTTTGCTTGGACGTTAGGGCTTTAACTTTTGTTAACGAATGGGCTTTCCATTCAACCACTAAAAGTTCAACTTTTAGCAGAGGAGCAGAAAGCAACCGAGAAAAGCAGCCAGCCTTTCGGGTCCTGAGGCGCTGAGGATCATCCAGGGCCCAGGCTCCTTGACAGAAATGTGACGCTCCGACGGTTCGTGCGGTTGCGGGACACTGCCGGGCAGGTGCTCGTTTTTTGGCCAAGGATGCTGGACGCCAAGAATAAGGGGCGTGACCCCATTTGCAAAAAAATGGTCACGGAGGCTACTAGAAACTTTCTCAAATGGATGGGAGGTTCACCTATTGGAGCTGAAAGTTGTTGTCCACCTTTTGACCTTGCAACATGTGCGGGAAATGGCATTGCTTATTTTATTGCTGACCAGTGTGAAGCATGGTGGTGTTTACCCAGGTCCTATGGGGAGAGAGATACGAACACCAGCGGCGAAGGGGCATGCACGAACATGCCTGGAGTGGCACTATTCATCCTGGAACTATACCTGGGACTCCAAAGCACGGCTGATGACGGAAAGCACTTCTTTGAAGCGGTTGAGAGTTGGACCACAGGGGGGGGGTCGGCTGGTCAGCCTGATTGCAGAATTTCGCGCCAAAAAAAGACGGCTAAAATTTGGGTGTCTTTTCCATCTGTCCGGGAATTGCTCGCTCGCTGCATTTTTTGAGCGAAACCTGCGTTTTAGATTGCTTTCGCAAGGTGTTTTCTGCGTTGAGCTGGCTCGTTTTGCGTGCCTGTTTTTTGCCTTTTCTGGGTAAAAAAAAGACGGCTATTTCTCCGCTTCTCCTTGCTTGCTTACTGCTTGCGTTGGACCTGCCTCGGGGTTGCTGGGGATGCTGGGGGTGCTGGCGGCTCAGCCAGTGCGCGGGATGCTGGGGATGCCGGGGATGCTGGGGATGCTGATGCTTGGGCTTCACCTTTTGTTCGAGGAGGACTGATTCGAGCTGTTTCCTGGCGTGTCCACGGATCCTTTTTTCGTGTGAGCACTGGCTTCAAAAAGACGGGTAAATTTTAGGTGTTTTTTTGGATGCTTTTAGCGCTCGGCGCCCAGAGAAAAAAGGGCCGGGCGGTCCGATGGTGGTTCCTCGCGCATGTCTACCAAAATAAACACATATTTTTTAGCCGTTTTTTTCCCTCAATTCAGACTTGCGCCAATGGGGACTCGGCAGGACCGGGACAGAGGGAGTGCGCTTTCCGTTGTTTGCCAACCTGGTTTGCAGGATGCATGCCATCATACTTGGAACGTTGGTGTTTGATATCGTTTTAAGGCTGCTACCGATCGAATTTCATGCATTTGACTCCTCTGGAGTTTTGAGTGCAAGTGATGCATGAGACCGCGATTGGTCCCAAACTGCCCTTAAACCAATTGGCATCCCCTCCTTCTCCCACATTGGACCTATCAGCTCGGCGTTCGAGTTTTCCATCCGAGCGCCGCAAGGCACGGAATGGCAACTTGGCGGAACTTCGCCGGAGCTTCGAGATTTGAAAATCCTATGGCAGAGCGAAGTCGGCGCGCTCTATTTTGGTGCGGGGAATTTGCGAATCCATTTTGAGGAATTGTATTCGGAGAACGTGGCCCTTCAGAGTAAGCTGAAACCCCGCAAAATCAGGGAGCATCCGGGCGCGCTGGCAATCGTGATTTGGATGCAAGTCTACGTGCATCAAGCAAGGGTTATTCATCCTGGTTCCCATGAACCGTCCGTGCTGTCATGTGGTTTTTTCAATCTGACGTCAGGAAAGCCCAGTAGTTCGTCGATGTGTAGTTGTATCCGATTTGATTTCTTCACCTTTTTCCCAAGATTCTGGACTCCTGGAACAGCATTTTCCTTTTAAAGGGACCCTGTCAGGTTTCATGTTAATGTTCGCCCCGGATGAATAAACCCTGGTTGATTAATAGGGGGGTGTCCCCTTTTAGTGGGGATTCATCACTTTTGGAGGGAACACCCCCCATGAATCCTGGGTCAACACAATTGGTGGGAGGGTATATGTTTTGGCAAGCCTGGTAAGAAACTTAAGTTTCTCAAGCGGACTTGCAGTTTCCATTGGAAACTGTGCAGAAGGGTGATGTCTCAGGGCAAGATTTGCTGGAAATGGGTCGAAGGCAACCGTGTCCAGTGCAGCAAATGTTTTTTTTCTTGACACCCTTGTCTAGTTCTTTTCGAAATCCGCCAGAAGACCAGGAGAACGTGGGAAGGGAACAAGGCCCAAAAACCCCTATTGGCGGTTCTTGTGGCTCTTCTCTTTCCTGGTCCCACCGGATTGATTGTGAAGGCTGCGGAGTCCCACTTCCCCCGTTTCTGACATTTAAAGCAAGGAACGTGATTCTAGTCATAAACTTTTGTCTGACCAATCCACTCAGAAAGTGAGAAACTGGTATAGCCCACGTTGGGTTTCCAACCAATGTGGTCTTGGCGGCTCCCATTCTTTTTAGTGTTTAGTGCCAGAATTTTTCACCCACTAAAAGTGATTCACTTTTAGCGGGGGATCAGAAAACCAGCAGCCAAGCGGTCACTGGGCGCCAAAAAAATGCGCCGCAAAACGCCGAGAAGTCAATTGGTGAGGCTGCGGCAGTCGGTGTACCACACACTGCTCCCGCCCATGCTGGGGCTGAGCCTATGGCTTGCTTGGGCGGCCAGGCGAGATGCCGCTTTCATTTGCTGAAACCAATATTTCCAGGTCCCCTTTTTGGGCCCTACTAAAATAGACCACAGAAAAAAAGGGTACCCTTATGCTAATCTCTCTACTGGAGGACCTAGATTTGTTATTTTCCCTCATTGGTTTTGGAGGGGCATTATGACTACTGGAGAAATGTTCTCCTTTTTTGGCTGGGGGCTTAGGCACACGGATCGCCCGGGGCGCGAAGGCCAGGTAACACGTTTGCAAGGTATGGGTCTGACTTGGAAGTCCTTTCTTGGACCCAGTTGGACATCAGAAGGTGGGGATTCATGTCAAAAAAAAAAAAACTTTTCAGGTGGCCCCCAATTAGAGCGCGTCGCTCCGAGAAATCTTGCTTCTCAGGTAGAAGTGGAAGGCATCTGGAGAGCCCTCAAGGGATGGCGTCCCCCTTGAGCAAAACCTTCCGACACCTTGCTCTTGGTCGACCGTCAAAAGGGCATGTTTCTGGGGGGCGCCCCAAATTGTGAAGCTTTCTCTTCAGAAGGGCGAATGCTAGCTCATCGACTCGGTGCCGAACGCAATGGCAAAACGGGTTGCCCATGTGAGCCATGGTTAACCGGCTTGCTTCGGGATGGTGGGGAGGGTCACCAACCACTCCATTGGGAGCTTAGACAAGGGATTCTGATTAAGGAAACCATGACCCATGGCACATGAGCAGTCTTGATCATGGCACGTATGGGTGTGGCATATGTTGTTCTCATTTTGAGGGTACCCCTTCTCGGGATGGTTTGAAGGGAAACGAAAGGAATTGGCCATTTTGGAGGTTCCAACCCATCTTGAGACACCCTTTGAGCTTTGTGTAGTCATCATGCGCGTGAGGGGAGGGACCTGCTCTTTTTCAACTGGTTTCCCTGGATCAATAGGGGTTTAATAACGCCTATACAATGACTAAGTTTTATTCCCGCAAAACCCAAAACAGAATTGTATGGCTCCAGTAAAATGGTAACTGGAACTGGGTATCGGTTTCTGTTTCGCGGAAGATAAAAGACAAAATGCCCGTGGGCGGCAGGTTTCCCGGTATGACCAACCAACTCACCCACCCACCCACCCACCCACCCACCCACCCACCCACCCACCCACCCACCCACCCACCCACCCACCCACCCACCCACCCACCCACCACCCACCACACCTCCCACACCCACCCACCACCACCCACCACCACCCACCACCCACCACCCACCCACCCACCCACACCCTCGCTCCCCCTCGCTCCCTCCCTCGCTCCCTCGCTCACTCACTCACTCACTCACTCACTCACTCACTCACTCACTCACTCACTCACTCACTCACTCACTCACTCACTCACTCACTCACTCACTCACTCACTCACTCACTCAAGTTTGCGCGGTTCTTTTGTGGGCGCAGCTGGTTTATTGCGGGGGGGCGCCAACCAACAAACCCCTTTTCCCTCATGGAAATCCAAGCAGAGTGAAGTATGTCCGGGAGAGGTGGCCAAAGCGATGTACCCAAAAAGGTGTTTGTAAAGGAAAACCAGAAGGAATACCAACATCCATTTGGGCCCCTTAAAAAGAGCATTTATATGGATCCGTAGATTGTGACACCGGCGAGTATCTATATCCACGGTTCTTACCTTGGACAGCACTGTCTCAGCCACGCCCTGGGATTTGCAGCGGGGCGCCCAGGTTGCTGGTCAGTCACCAAAGGAAAGCGCTTACAAATCCAATTGGCAACGCGTGTTGCCTAGTTCTTGGCACCCCAAAAAAAGGGGCGCCCAAATCAACATCCCTCGCCCAGTAGAGTCCACCAACAACTTGTCACCTCTTCGGAAAAGAATGGCTTGTTGGTGTTATGATCCCGTTTTGTCGGTTGTCATCAAGCAATTGCCAAATGTGGGTGTTGGTTTTTTCCGGCACCCCCCCCCCAAAACAAAAAAAACAGAAACAAAGCAAAAATAAAGACTGAAGAAGAAGAAGGTAAGTTTCTCTTTGGTTATCTTTTCACCCAACCCCAAAAAGGGTACCATCAACAAGAAGACTTCTCCAAACTTGTCTGCGCAACGCACCCTGCACGTCAGGCCCCCGGTGGCTGAACAGCCCCCTGGCTTCCAGCAGCATCTGGTCACCTACCTGGCGGCGGGGCCTTCCTTGGAGAGCGCTCGGAAGAAGCGGTCCCGTCGACCTCTTTGGCTTAACTGGGGTCATGATGTCTTTGGTGCGAATTTTGCCAAGGGATGTTAGGACTGAACAACTTGTTGCCAACTCACCGGTTTTCCGTATGAAACCACTAAAAGTTAAACTGGGGTCACGATTTGGGTGTGGCTCAAAGTTAAACAGGAGGGGCAAACCGCAGGGTTTGGTCCAAGTCCACTTACCAGGGTTCCTTTTTGGTACCGGTGTTTTGAGCCACAGCCATTTGGGTGTGTATTTTTAGGTTGGACGCTCAAAATGGAAGTTGCCCTAAAGGGGTTTTCTCTTTAAAACCGACCGAACAAGGGGTACGGGTAAAATAACACACCCAAATGTAGTGATTTCCCCGCTTCCCTTGAGACCCCCAAAAAGCTAAAGCGATTTTCCCTCTGGTGTCCTGTTGATGTTCCTTAGCCAAGCTTCAAAAGGGTACCGCTCCTCAACGCACCCACCCTCACTTCTTGAGATTCCAAGGTGCCGCGTTCATTCGATTTGTTGGGCGCCTGGTTTACCGGCGGGGACACATATGGGTATGGGTCAAAAATTAAGCCACCAGGAATTGGACCGCAGGTTTTGGTCCATGTTTCTGTTTACCAGGGTTCCATTTTGGGTACCTAGTTTTTACACACAGCCATATGATAAGGCAAACACTTAAGAAGGTACTTGCTACAAATGTAGCAGGTGAGACTAGGTCACGCCAGGGTACCATGAAAAATCAAGAGGATTTGAAATGCCGAAGGGTCAGCAACTATAGTGACTTGCAACTGAAAGCATTGGGCATGGCTACTGGAAGCACTGGGTTTAGCTAAACTGGCCCTATTCTTCTAGCAGTATCAAAGTCGCGCAAATTCACCAGATGCCAGTTTCTGACTTTGACTGCCCCTGATAGGCAATAAGTTCTTCTCAAAAATGGCTTCCTCAAGGTGGTTTTCGTTTGGTTTCCCTCTACAATCCTTGGGTGAACTACGCGCAAAATTGGTGTGTCTGCCTTTGGTGCCCTCCAAAACAAAAGAAAAAGAAAATGAGCAAAGCAGTGGTTTTCCTTTTGATTTCCCTTTAAAACCAACCAAAAGGGCCACCCATTTTGGTTGGATCCGACCGCATCTGAAAAAAGAGTTCGCCGCGTTGGCAGGTCTGGATCTGCTGTGTGGCTGCGGACTGGCTGCAGGGCCCTTACGTTTATGCCGCCTGGAAGCATCGCTCGCGCTGGCTTCGGTCGGCGTCTCACTTCCCGAGTTGCACTTTTTGGGGTTGGACCATTTTTCTAGAGGTACCTTCCATGTCCATTCTGAATCCGGGGATCCTTCTTTCCAGAAATCCTCCGGACACCCAGGGAGGGCGGCCGGTTGTTGGAAGAACGATGGATGAAAATAATGGTTGGCATAAACCAATAGAATTTTGGTAAACAAACAGCTTAGACTATTTTGGGCCATCTACTCGTCAGGAAGCGCGTTTTTTTTGTTGCTCGCTGCCCTTTAATTGGTTGGAACCGAATTCCATGGGAAGGCTTCTGGCACATTTGAAAGTTCAAAGTTGGACCAAGCAAGACCCCCCAGAAATGTCGGGCTTCAACCCCGAACTTGGCTTCCTTTGCTTTCCCTTGAAACGAACGGACTGCCAAGATGTTTTGGGCTTTATCCAAACTTGGCTTCCTGTGAATTTTTTAAACTACGCCAAAAACTTGGCCAACGTTGTCTCCCCCCAGCCACCCCGGGCTTCCACGGGGAAGCCCCCGCCCAAGCGAGCCGTACGGTTCGCTTCAGGCCCTCTACGAGGCCTACGGCTATTCAGAGACCTCCATCATGGCGCCTGGGACGTTTTGGAAGGGTGGCTGGGGTTGATGCGGACCCGTCTGAACTTGTTGGACTTGAATTGTTTGGTTGCCTAGGTTTTCGCAGCTAGGTGCCCTTTCTCGCCAACTTTTTTGGGGGAGGGTTCCTATAGTAAAATAGACTACGGGAAAAAAAAGGTGCCCTTATTCTATCCTCTCCACTGGAGGACCTAAAAAGGTGAAAGCTTGTTGCAGGGTGGTCAACAGCAACCAAGTTAGACTCGCAGCCAAAGCCAATCGACCCAGCAAAATGAAAACTGAAATGGTTCCCCGCGTTTGGATTTCCATTTGGGCAACTGAGTTTAGGCTTGCTTGAAAGGGAAGCTTAAAGAACAAGGCCCATTTAAAAGGTTCCGATTCCTCGTTTGAAGCAGCAGTGGTGCAGTTTGCCAAGCTCACTTCCTGAGTTCATGAACTTTAAACTTTTTGGGAAGACCATTTTAGTAGTAAACAAAAAGTTTGGACTTTTTTGGGGCCATCCACTCAGCCGGTGAGCAAGGCGAACAAACTTGATTCTGCATGGCCTCTTGGTAAAATCTGTGAGTCCTTTCACCACTGGCCTTCGGATTTGGAGCAACACCAGCTCTTGAGAGAAGTGGCCATCCGAGCGTCTCAGTTTTTTAGTTTTTTGCGGCAGCATGGGGGCTCCCTCAATTTGTTGGACCTCCAAAACAAGTTGGGTCTGTCATTTTTTCGGGGACCTCCCAAAATGGCGGGTTTTCTTTTGGTTTCCGCTCAAGCCCGAAAAGGGTACCGAGCCTCAACGAAGACCAGTTATTAAGAAATCCAAGGAGGGCATCCGGGAGCCTTGGGTCACTTTGCAGTACGGCGGTTCAGCTTCATGTTTGTCCCCAAAGGGGTCAAAAAGGAACCTAAATTGCAGTCAGGGCCTGTTGGCGCTCTGACTGAGCGTCTTTTAGGTGTTAGGTAGTCGAGATAGGGGTCCACGACGAAAACGCTTGGTTTCTTTTGATTTCCCTTTAAACCAACCCCAAGAAGGGTACCCTCAAAGCGCACACACGCACACACATGGCACCGCTCCACTGAAAGAGTCGTGTTTGTGGCGGCAGTAGATCTCCCAATGAAGCCTTGGTTTTGCGGGGCTTTGGTCGGATTCCTGCTAGGTCCCCCACTAAAATCGACAGAAGAAAGTTGGTACCCGTATTCTAACCTCCCTACTGAAAAACCTCGCCTGGGTTTTTCGTGGGGTTTCTGTGGGTGTTTTATGGGCATGAGGTCCCCGCCCCCATCTCCGCGCGTCGCTAGGTGCTCTTCGTGGCGGGCTACAGCGCCTCCGGAGCAGCTGGGCTCACGAGCACTCGACGTGACGCGCATGGGTGGCATTTTTTAGGCTAGGTTTGGTTAAAAATGGTCGGGTTCCACTGGTATGGGTAATTACCCAGACTCTCCATGACCGTCAAAGAATGGGGTCATTGCCCAAAATTAAGGGGTCATGACCCCTTTTCCTCGGGGTCATAGAGACTACAGGTAGCCGTTTTAGGTTAGCTTGGTTAGAATAATGAATTTCCACTGGTTTAGATGGGGTTCATTCCATTTCCAGGGCCGTTTATTTTCCGAAGGTCACCCTTGGTGACGCGAGCGCGTGACTTCCGGTTCGTTTGGTTTCTTACTTTAAACGTTTAGGGATGTTTAGGGGTTTGGACTCCATTTTTAAATAAAAAAGTCTCACTCCCGGCTCGTTCCAGTTCGGACTTTAGCATCTCTTTTGGAGTTGAACCATCTTGGTGGTGAGCAAATGAGTTTGGACTTGTATTGGCTCATCAACTCAGGACGTGAGATGGGTTTGTCTTTTTGTTTCAGGGTGGCTTTGAAGACTCTGCCGATCTTTGGCATGTCGTGCTCGAAAGGATCCCCTGGTTGAGTTCAAACCAGTGGCAATCGGTTTTGGAGGGTATCCTTTTCTTGGCGCTTCCCAGCCATCCCCTTGGGCCTTCAGGTTTTTAGTGTTGAATTTACCCCACCGAACGTTCGTCACGTTTAACCGCGGGACCCGGGATCTGAGGACAGCCCAGTTCTGAAGCTTGGTCTTTTAGCTTGGGAAGCCAGGAGTAAGTGGGCAATCCGGTTTTGAGGGTCTCCTTTTTCATGGTGGTTGTTGGGAAACATGTTTCGCACTTTTGCGCAAGTTGTGGTTTAGTGGTTGAAATCCAACCACTTAACTGCTAAGATTTAAATTGTTGCTCCCCTTCCAACGTCAACCAAGTTTTGAGGTTGGTTTCTTGAATTCGGAAGCCAAAAGAAACAACTTCCCGATCCAAGCAGCGGTTCTGCGGCGGCTGTCGGAAAGACTTCGCCGTGAATCCGATGGCGCTGAGGTGTGCAGCTGTGGCATCGGCGCGGTGGCGGACCGCTTCGGGCGCAAGAGGCGGGGATGTACCTTCCATTTCCATTCTTTCCAGGGATCCGAGTCATTTTTGGAAACCCTCAAAATCCCAGGGGAAAAAGCTGGTTTTTGAAAAGAACGCTGGTTGAAAAGAACGCTGGTTGAAAAGAATGAAAAAGGAATCAACCCCTAGAATGTTGTGTGAAGAACCAACGGGTAGTTTGAACCAGCCGTATCCGTCCTGGAACCCAAACCGGGCCGACAGTTTCAACCAACCACAGCCAGTTCTCGGACCAACACATGGTATATATTATTTTTGCCAACACATTGCCAGTTGTACAACCGAACACGGATAGTTTTACTCCACAAATGCCTGGAGCCCGTCCTTGACTCACCGACCCCAAAAACGGCCCGACTCGCGACTCGCCCCACCCAAGCGAGCGAGGGGGGTGCGCCACGCGCAACGAGGTGCTGCATGGCCTTCTGCGTGCTGCACGGCCTGGCGGCCATTCTGCGCCTCGCCGAGAAAGGCTTCGATTTGGCTGTGGGTCAAAAAATGGTAGGCTGTGTAAAGGCAAACCGAAAGGCCGTTTTGGGGGGTCCATTTTTCATTTTGAGAAACCATGGGTGAGGCTCAACAGCCGGGTAACCCCAAAATGGGTTGCCCTGTGGGAAACATGGGTACGAAAACCTGCGGTCCAATTCCTGGTGCGACCGCGCCGACTGCAGCGGGGACGACCCATGGCCCGGGTGCCGAAAGACGCTGAAAGCTTGAAGTGGCGTGCATGAGGAGTTTCCGAAAGTTTGTAGTGAAAATATAGAGAGCGTCCCCTCATTGGGGGTGGGGGGGGGGCATTTTATGGGTTTCAAAAACCCACCCCCCATGAGGGGACGCTCTCAATATATATATATATATATATTAGATAACATTTCATCTGAGTAGTTAATCAGACTTTCAGAGAACATATCATTATTATTTAGATTGTTCCATTTCCTTATCTTATTTTTCCTTTGTCTCAATCTGATCATTTGATTGTAATACTGCCTTATGAACTGACACTGGCCAAGCTAAATATTTCAATCCTAAACACTCCTTATTTTTACACACCGTATGTTCAAAATCTGCAGGAATTGCTTTTAATACTCTGTCTGCTATACATATATCCTGTATGAGTTTTGCCACCATCATGTCTCTCGTGTCTTTCAAACTTCTTTGGATCAAATTTCTTAACACCATTCATGGAATTAGATTTGATATTGTCTATGTCATATTTCAATCGTGAATCAGATGAATCAACAAAGGTTCCGTTGTTTGTTACCGTCGTGGCTCTTTAATCTATATTTGTTCCTGCTGCTGGTTCCATCATATTACATAACAATTCATTCGTTCCAGCAACTGCTACATATTTATTAAATGTTGATGAGGCATGATTTGTTGTAACACTTCCAGTATTGACGGTTGTTCCAAAAGTCATCAATGGAAAATAAAAACGAAGGTGTAGTTGAGCTGCCAGCCACTCTACATGGAGTGTTTGAGGTTCTGAATATTACATCAATGGTAGATAAGTCAGTTCCAGCATAATAAGTTGATATTTCACTTGTTCCCCTTCACGTTACTATTCCAGTAGTCATTGAAATATGGTCTAGAACTGATGCCGTCGTTAGAATCAATTGATTGAATAGTATTATTAGCTGCTAAACAAGCGCTTTGCACTGCAAAATTAGTATCAACGAATACTAATGTGCCTCCGTTAGGTGCTATGTGATTACTTCTTAACCACGCATCTAGTCTTAAGGATTACGCGCAGGTGCAGGGATTCTTAGAGAGAGCTAGCTCAGTTAGCTCCAGTACTGCGTAAGTTCCTGCCGTGAAAGGTGGAAGTCCAAATGCATAAAGATATACATAGTCCATGCCGGAATTTTCGGGGCTACCCAGTCGCACATATCTAGTACCCCAGAAACGCTGGCCCGCAAATTCTAGATGCAAACATCTCGGTCCTTGCGCAAGGGCACAATGATCTCATGCGATGGAGGGCAAGAGGGCATATGACTCTTGATTTACTCTAGAGCTGCCAGCAGTCCCAGTTCTAGACACGTGCCAATAGAGGCATTCACGCATTGGTTGGTTGATTCTGACATTCACAGTTGCAGGATTCGCTGCAAGTTCCGACTGGTGGACAGTGGCCGTCATCCTGGAGCTTGACTGCAACTTCGGGCTGCTGTTCAAGGTTGACCGCGAAGTGCCGTTGTTCCTTGTATGTCTTGAAGCCGTCCCAGGAGCGGGTGACACACCGCTGGGCAGCGCCTCTCACTGTCACTGGGATCAGTCCACTGGCTGGGCGAGACAGCCCCACGCACTTGGCGGAAGTCAATGTCTCTCTGCCGATCGTCCAGCGTTCCTTTTCCCAGGGCATAAGACCACAATCAGATAGTCAGACTCTTACGACCAACACATCTTTCCAATCGAGCTGCGTGCCCACCAAAACTGTTGTGGGGGAAATGACTGTGCCATCGCCTGCCCCAAGTTTGTATAGCGCAGTGACCTGTAAACAATTTCAGGCCAGCTTGTGTGGCTTGACTCACTGACGCCTTGGTGCGTGTAGTGCAGGCCTGGCTCAGTCCTGGCTCAGCGGTTTCTATTATTTGAAGGGCTAGGATCACTGGAGGTGCTGGCAGATGAGGCATGCTTGGGCTCTGAGGATGCGCTGGACTTTTTGAGCAAGAGCGAGGAGGCGCTCGTGTTGTGTATGGGTGCCATTTGTTAACAGAACGTGACGGTCGTTGTGGATCCATCAGGGGAGGGTTAGCAAATATATTCATACGACCATGTGTATCCTCACGTGTACATGTTATACATAAGCGTCCGCACACACACACACATGCATGACAATGTGTGTATTTCTGTATGTACATCGTTTGTGTGTGTCTCTATGTGTGGTATGCCACCTATTTGCCTCAGCAAGATTGCACGAGCTTGTTCTTCAGGAGTGCATCTTCGCCATGTCAGAACTTTGATGTGCGCATGCACTTTGCGCAGGTGTTTGCAGACTTGGTACTTAGTGAGTTAGCCTCTTTTCACAAATGTTCAGCGTTTTCACATGTCGCATCCAAGGCCTTTAGCTTCATGATTTCCACAAGGCACTTGCTTGGTAACCGTGTCTCCTTCCACTTTTTGGAGACATAGAGACTTCACATGCTCACCTTCAGTTCTCTGAGCAACCCTCCCTTCTCACCGTTGGAACGCTTCGCCAAACTTCCCGAGAGCCGAGGTTCCCGCAGCGCGGAGGCCGCGGATTCGCGCCCGGCCCAGGCGCGCCGCCCGGCCGAGGCGCGCCGCTCGGCCGACACGCGCCGCCCGGAGGCGCGCCGCCCGAGGCGCGTCTTTCGTTTTGTTTCATTCAACGAGCGTCAAGTTACAGCGCGCGCCTTAGGACCAGCGAGCGCTCCAGCTGGTCATGCTGTCGTTCCAGTTCTTCAGGAGTGCGTCTTCGACATGTCAGACAGCGAGTCAGACAGCGAAGATGAGAAGACACGCCGCTGTGAGATCTCTTCTTCTGAGCGCGCCCCTCCTAGGGTTCCAGTTGCTGAGCGTTTCGAAACCCGCTGTGCAATCGTGGCAAACATGGTTGGAACTGCAGGAGTCAAACGCATGGAGAAAAGGTTCCTTTGCTTGGCTTCAACAACCTTCCCAAGCAATTGCAGCGCCCGCAGCTGGACGAAGCAAGGTTCAACAAATACATGCCTTATTTCAGTCCTTCTCAGCAAGTGGCAGCCAGCGGTCCAACAAAGCTTGATATCCTTGATATCCTGGCCAGTCTTGCAACACATTCCCTCATAGCTCAGATCCCAAGGCGCGAAATAGGTCCAGTAGTGCCCTTTTACTTTTTTGGGGGTTTTTGATTCCCCTGCCAAAATAGACCAAAAGAAAGGTACCCTTATTCCAACCTCTCTACTGGAGGACCTGCAGCAAGTGCGCATCGCGATGGACAAGAAGGCTGTTTCGCTTGCATCGCTAGTGGAGGGTTGAGTGGCTGATATGGCCCACTGCATAGGGCAGGATTCGCAAGCGGGTGTGCGACATATTCCTGAGCGTGGGGGCCTTTGAGGTCCTCTGGACATGGATGGGAATTGGGAGTCTGCAGGGTCCTTTGAATTCCCCCCTACGGCCAATAGCTGGCAAAATGATTGTGTATTTCGGCAGGCTGATTTGTGAAAAAGGCATCTGCGGGCGTGCGCCTGTGTTGAACCCCCCCTAGGTCTTGAGCTTCATGTGTGGAAGCGCGGGCCAGGCCTTCTGCTAGCGCTCCGGCCTGCAGATTGGGCGCGCCGCGCCCTGGAAGAACAGCCGGCGGCGGCAAGCATGCCTCTGGGTGCGGCATGGTGCGGCGCCCTCAGCCAGCTCTACCCAGATACTTTAAAGCTGGAGCTGTTGTGTTTGTTGAGTTGAAAGTTGCTTCTTTTCTGGAGATGCCGGGAATGACTCTTTGCTCAGCACCGGTATTTTGTTTAAGGATGTGTTTCGTTCTTGGCCTCAAGTCTTGGCTTTTTGGCTGCTTGCCCTTTTTGGCTTTGTGGCTCTTGGCTTTCGGCTGCTTGGCTTTGCAGCTGCTTCGGCTGTATGTTTGCATGTGTGTATGTGTGTGTGTGAGTGTGGTTGTATGTATGTATGTATGTATGTATGTATGTATGTATGTATGTATGTATGTATGTATGCATGTAAGGTAGGACCCTTTATGCATGTGAGTATGTATGTTTGTATGTATGTACGTATGCATGTAACGCATGTCTGTATGAATGTATGTATGTACATACGAATCATCGCTTCTTCGGACATCAGGGGGTATGTGTATTTGAGTCCCCCCCCCTCCACACAAAACAAACTGTAAATTCTGTAAGACATATAAATATATATATTGAATTGTCTGGTTTTTGATTTTCTTTCAGCTCGGGTCTTTCCATTTACTCTTAAATTCTCCACGTCTTCCATAGTGTTTTTTCGTCATTTTAAGTTTGAGGAATACCAGTTATATGTTAATGTAGAGATGTAATTAGATTATAGGGGGCGTAGAAAGATGACGGAATTCGTGGTATACTCTCACTATAGTACCCCCCCCCCCCATGTACCTACGAATATCAATAGACACATGTATAAACATTTCGGTCTATAGCCCAGGCAATTTTGACGGAAGTGATCATTACCCAGTGGGTACTGCAGCACGTAACCCTTTGATCCACGTTTACTTTAATTTTTAAAGGGTGGCAGCCTACTATACAGGGAAATGGAATCACTGGGTTTGGTTCCCTCTGATACATTATGTGTATACTTTTATGTGTATATCCTAGGTGTTTTTTGTAACCATGAGGACATCGATGGTTTTGGTTTTTGTTTCCTTCATGAAGATGGTCAAGTACATGGGGAAACCAGATCCGACCAAAGAGTTAAACGGTCACCACGGAATGGCTTGACTTTTTGAAGAAACAGAAATCGCAAGCCAAGTCTGCTCTCAACACTTGTCAAGCACCAAACGACCGACAATTGTGTTTCGGAGAGAGCTCGCGGTTCGATTGGGGAGAGGCAGAAGAATCGTTTTGCAGATTCGAATGCCAGCTTCTTGCCATGGCGCAACCCCAAGTGCTTGTTCCACGAAGCGGTCGTCGGGGGGTGTTTTTTTCTCCCCGTTTTGGTTTGCTTTGAGGATACATTGGAACGTGTATGCCATTCTGATCATTAGCCGCATTCTCGCAGGAGAGCTTGGAAAAGCGCGGGCGAGGGGAGGTTCGCGTTTCCCCAATTTCCATGGGTGTTTGCTTTCTTGAGGGCACCTCTTGGAGGTATGGTAAAGGGGAAGAGGGAATTCACGCTTTTGCAGGGTTTCCCCTTTGAGACTCCGCTGAAGTGCCAATTCTTGGGGTCCGTTTTGAAGGCCAAGGACCACCACTACCCCTCATGTCGCCATGGACCCTGTGGGGGTACACAAAGAAGACACCATTAACCCTGAGGTAGGTGGTGGCTTTGAGGTTTGGGGGGGTATTTTCTGTTTGTTGTTCACGAGGTGAAATCTCCGAGCCGGGCCAATGCACATGATCACTTGGTGGTAGGTTGAGAAAGAACACTGGTGCTGAACTAATCAGAAAGAAAGGGGTGGTGCACTTGAGACCAAATCAAGTCTTGATCATAAGCCCTTCATCTGCCGAAGTTGGACCACTGCTTGGACCCACATTCGCTCTGAGAGGGCTGATTTCGGGTGCTAAGTTGATTCCGTGGATTCCGTGTTTGCTTTAACTTTCTCAAAAAGAACCAACGCCGAATCGGATTTTCGTCGGGTTTCCCATAAAAAACCCACCCGACCCCCATGAGAGACCCATTTGGCCATGGGGCGTAACCTATGGCTCCATTTTGGGGTGCATGAACATCCATTGGCCAAAAAAACAAATCATGTTCACCGGGTTTCGTGGGTTTTGGCCACCAAAGAGCCATGACTGGCCTCACGCAATTCGATTCCGATCGGTGCGCCACTCGGTTTCGGTCCAGTGACCTGGGAGGAGCTGGCACAGCGATCCTGTTCTCCTGCTTTGCGGCTCGGCGTACTTCCCAGGGCGAACTTCCCTTGAGGGTACCCGGTTTTGGAGTGGAGGGAAAAGGAACTATCTAGACTAGGTACCCCAGCAATTGGTGCCCTTTTACCGTTTCCTTTTTGGGGGAGGGTTTTTTTCTACAGAAATAGACTTCAGAAAAAGAAGTTGGTACCCTTATTCTAACCTCTCTGGGTTGACCTAGTTGAGGGTACCCGGTTTTGGGTTGGAGTGAAGGGACAGCAAAAAGAGCTATCTGGAGCCATTTCGGGGGTTTGTCCATTTTGAGACACGCAGAGTGCCCTGAGAAGAGTGCTTAGTTTCCTGCTTGGTTTTACAGGAAACCTGTCACTACTGGACATGTTGTTCTAATTTTGTCTAGGGGACGTATTTGCAAATTGAGGTAAACCTACACTATGTGTACCCAGCGCTCTGAGCTTATAGAAAGTAGCCATGTGTTTTCTTCGAGACACATGATGTTTTTTCTATGCCTACCCCAGTGTTTTTCCTCTAGATTTAATGTCGTGCTTTCCCTGGTTACCTTTTTGTGGCTTGCCTGGCACGAGGTACTCTGGGTTCCACGGAGCTTCCCCAGCTAAGGAGTGCTGGATGGTGTCGGAGCACAATTCCCGGCACCACTTTTCGTCGAGCTCGCTGTCGTATATGTTCAGCCGCTCCGCTGATTTCGAGTCTCTACCCCAAACCACCGAAAGAATCCCGCGAGCACACAATTGGCCATGCAACGAATTTGTAAGGAAGGGTTCAAGGGTTCCTCTAACAATCATAAAGGCCTAATAGCTAAGTGACTGGAATGGGGTTGAGGGGGACTTTAAACCATAGTTGATCATGGTCATAAGACAACGTGCGCAATGGTTTAAGCCTTGTATGAGCAGAATACAAAAGCACCCCACATGTTCCCTGGAGTAGAGGTTTGGTGGTTCAACCGCTTCGCCCTGGTTGCACTACCCCCAGACCACTACGGAGCCATTTTACATATTCAAGAAAGGTCCCAACAGAGTAACCATGGGTTGGGACGAGTCTGTTCTTAGCCTTTTTCAGCACGATCCTTAGGATCCCAAAGGAAGCCCCCTGAGCGGTTTCCGCTGGAGTCAGGGGCTTGGTGGCTTCCCGCCGTCCGGTTCCTTGGCTTTTTAGCCTAGGTAGTTTTCATGTAATCCGCTATAGAATTTATTCACTTCGAGCGGGGGATCAGAAAACGGGCAGCCCAGCGGGAGTTGGTTCAAAAGTTCATAGCGGTATGACTGATCGGATCTGAGAACTCGGATCTGAGGGCTTGCCGACCTGTCAACCTCTCCACGTGGATCCTTTTTCCTGGAGAAACAAGCCCCTCTAAAACTGGGTTGGGTTTCCTGCCTGGTTTCCCTGCCCGCAATCACCCACTGGACATCATTCGGGCCGGGGATCACAGGCAACGAGTTGCACTGGGAAGGTAGAACCCACGCCAAAATGAGTTGCAATGCTTCACACAATCCGATCACCGCCTGAAGGTTCAGGGGCCAGGTTGGGTGATTCTACATCCTGGTAAGGCCCATATGGGTGTGTCTTTTTTCAGGACATCCCCTTTTTGGTGCTTTAAAGGGAAACCAAAAAGACACCCACCATTTTTGGGGTCCCCAAGAAAAGACACACCCATATTGTTCTTCATAACCATCTCAGCAGCATCCTGGAATTGAAACGGGTGCAAAGCCGACTCGAACACCGAAGGGTCGAAGCCATTGCTGGGGATGTTACTTGACTTAGCCTCAGTTCAAGGCTTGGCGGTAGATTGCATGTGCCATGGAAAACGGGTTTCATGGTTGAGGTAGAGGGTGAACCAACACAGGCGGTTTACTGCGTGCCAACTTGCAAGTTGTAGGTTGACCTATGATATCGCTGCACGTCCTGAGATAAGTTGCGCTTTTGTTGTGCCACGGTCGATTCGTTCCAATGCAAGGTCTGAAATTCCGCGCGATGTACTACGTAGCCGCATCTTGGAAGCAGAGGTGATCGCATCCACAAACCGCATAGGGAACCCAGAGCAATCTCATTGACTCTCTTGAGATCCTGAGACGTGGAATTCTTCCGGGTGTGCGAGGAAAACCCTTGGGCAAGAGTTATCTTACGCGTAGAACCAACTGGTTGCTTCCTTAAGTTTTTCTTGACATAGAGGCGCTGTTTTGCACAGTTCAAATGTGTGTGAATATATATATATATAACGGATATGTATATATATATACATATGTATATATGTGTTTCTGAGAGTATCCTTTTTGTGGTTTCAAATGCAAAATCGAACCTCCGCCCATTTGGAGCTTCTTTTCGAGAAATACCATCACTGCTTCGGAAGCCCAAGTCGAGCTGGCCATAGTTCTAGCTTCCATTTCCATTTTCATTATTTCCAGGGATCGGCCCCGAGTCTTTTCAGGAAACCATCAAAAGCCCAAGGGAAACAGCCGGTTTTTGAAAAGAACCAGGGATGGCCTTCCTGAATCCAGGATCCGAGCCTTTCCAGAAGGCCTTCAAAAACCCAGGGAAAGCGGCAGGTTTTTGAAAAGAACGATGGTTGAAAAGAATGGAAAAAGGCATAGTGGAAGTACTTGCTGGATGCGCAGCGAATTTGGAGAGGTCCTCGTGGACTCGACTTAAAATGTTCGCGTCCCATTCTTGCCCCTCCGCCATCTTGGGAACCCAAAGTTTGGGACCCTGAAATGAGATTTCATGTCTCCTTTTGGTTGCTTACTTGCCCTCAGCCGACCTTTTGACCTCTTGGTTTTCCCATGTTGGTCCATTTTGTTGAAAGGGCCCAAAAGGTTCACCTTTTTGTTTGCAGGTCCTTTGGGCAAGTGAGGTTGGGGTACTAACTTAAACAATTTGACACTGACCAGTGCCACTAGTATATCAGTCTGCGCAGATGACGAGCTGGCGTGTATCGAGCTTGTTCATGATGCAGGTAAATGATTCGAAGGTCCTTCACTAAGGATTCTCCGATTTCCAGTCGGTGAATTGCAGTTATGCCGACTGGATCCATTCGATTCCAGATCTTGTCGGCTCGTTTCAGCGAGTCCGTTGGGACCTTAGAACCAAAGCATTTGGCCTGGTGCAGAATTCGTTACCTGGCAAAGGATCAATTGCCCCCAATTTTCAGCCGGCACAGGACCAAGCCAAAAACTCGCAGGTTCTCAGCAGGGATGAGTTGGAATAACCCCGAAATAGACCATCCCCTCTGGTTTCCTTTATTCGGGAATCCCCAAAGCCGGTTCATTCCCAACACCCGGACCCGGCAGCTACTTGGAAGCCGACTTCGTTGATACAACTTGGCCTACAAGTAAGACGCATAGAGTTTGTGGCCACGCAACTTCATTAGGGACCCTTTGCTACCATTTTCTTAAGATTGTTTTTCCCCCTGTTGGTTTTAAAGGGAACCTATCACTACTGGAAATATGTTTTAGAAAAAGCAATGGTTTTTTTCAGGGGTCTTAACCAAATGGAGCATCGGCTACTTTTCAGGTGGTTTGCCCAGGGTACCCTTTGCCCCTGACATAACCATTGATTTAAGCAGGATGATTTTTTGTGAACATCAATGGCACCCAACTGATTCACGTCGACACGCGGAAATTGTTTTTGTCTCAGCAATTGAAACCCGACGCTTAAACAAGCATCAATGTTGGCAAAAAAAAGAACATGACACCTGCCAGCGAACCGAAGAGCCATTTTTCGTCTACCATTCCTATCGCAGCAAGAGAAACCGCCAAAAGCTTGGTGGCTCCCAGCCATCCCCTTAGCTTTTTACTTTTTAGCGTTCAGTGCGGTTTTGCATTTGACCCACTAAAATGTTGAACTTTTAGCGGGGGATCTGAGGACAGCCTAGAAAGCCAAGACCTTGCCGAGGTGGTGGCAGGTCTTGCCGCACAGCTGGCCGTGGACAGCACTCACCTGACAGTGCTGGAAGGTGCCTTTGATGCGAGAAGGAAGAGGGGTCAGAGTCATTGGAGCAGCCCGTTGACCTGAGAAGGGCGTTGACAACTGCAGGTGGCTCTACCTGGTTTAGGGATTTGGGATTCACCCCTCTAGAACTCTTACGGCCATGTTGGTAGAACCAGAAGTCAATGGGTTTTGGGCGCTGCTCGTTTGGGTGTGTCTGAGAATCAGGGACCCTCAAGATGACTGGTTTCTGTAATTCCCTTTGAACACCAAGCAAACACATACACCGCCGTTTGCCTATGGCACGTTTGCCCGGTTGGTCGAAGAGGTCATTGGGCAAATTGCAAAAATGGGAGGCGTGGTCTAGAACGAACTGGAGACACGCTTTGTATGGCGGCGAAAGGCAAGTCACAAAGACACGAACCATATGTGCTTCTCCTGGGGTGGGGTGCGGGTTGGGGGTTATTTGAAACTACCCCACCATATTGTCATATATTGTCTTTCTTCATTCGATGTTGCCAACTACACCTACTCCCCTGCAAATCAAGATGAAACCCGAAAAGGGGGGGCCATTTCTCCAAAAGGAGCTTCCTCTAGAAATGCTGGTGTTTTGGGTTCCATGTTTTATACCTTACTCGATCCTCGTGTCGCAAAGCTGTTTTCTGCCACGGGCATAGATTGGATAGGCTTTTGTTTGCTGAAATAGCGGACAATTACGTGCACATGAGTGCTTTTGATTGAGTTTCCCTCCCACCGCTGCATTAAGCCCGGAGTTGACCGCTTCCTTTTGGTGTTGATAGAAGGACTACAACCCAGTGGAGATGCTTTTGGATGCTTGGGGTTTTGAAGATGAGAAAAGCAGCCGGGTGCCTTCACTTCTCGGACCTGTCCATCCACCGACTGGGCAAACACACACACTCTTAAACTCCAGATGGAGGGTGCTAATCTTTCGAGTACAACTGATGAGTCTCGAGTACAACTGATGAGTCTCGAGTATGATGAGTTTCGGCTCGCAAGACGCTTGGTTTCCGCGCAAAGAGGGGACCTTGTTGGGGTGAGTCCTCTGGCTGCCCACGACGGGGCCCAAGAGCGACTCGATGCAGGTACATAGCTGAGCGTCCCCAGCCACCTCCCTTCCAGTGACCTAGCTTCGTTGGATCAGGTCAGTCACTGGAAGCCTGATCCCCCTGCTACTAATTGTGGTGACAGGGTATTCTGCCACTCCGCACACACACGCCCCTCAGTGAGGGGCGAGAAGTCTCTTTTTCAGCAGGAAGATCACATACTCAACTTCGTATCTCTATCGTTTACCAAAATATCCACAGCGGCGAGGGGAACGCGAAACTGCCCCAAGCCGCTCAGAAGACGGGAGCGAAAGATCACCACGATGCATGACGGGTGTCTTCATAGAAGACCGGAGGAAGTTGCAAAGCAGTCGAGCGATCACCGTCAGAAATAGGGGGGGCATAGGTGAACATCTCCTCGACTCGGATGATGTCCGAATTCTGCACGTCAACAAGTGATTGATCCTGGGCTTGATGAGTGGAGAAGGACTCAAAGCGAGAAAGAATGCGTTGGTAACCTCGATGTTGCCAGTCGCGAATTGTCCACGCCTGACTGTGTTCACCAGTCCCACCAATGGGATCAGTTACCCGCTTCCACTCCCGAAACGAGTTGTCTGGTAGGTCAGGTACGGCTTCTTCTGGTTGCCGCATCTGAGGTTGTCCTGGAGTATAGATCCGCACCCACTCCTGATCCTGCCAGACTGAATATTCGAGCCATGGGTGCTGCTCAGCGGTTCGGCCCGACGTCTGAGTTGCATCCTCGATGTCCATGCCGAAGTGAAAGACAGGGCGTACCGCGGGTTCCGATCCAGCTAGCAATCAAACAGTCACCATGCACAACCATGCACAACCAGCAACTACACAAGAAAGCACGAGCATGAGAAAGTACCCTTTTTGTGCCATGATCAACACGCATCAGTCTATTCATCATTTAGCTCGAAGATAGGCTTCTCCTTGTTGGTGGAGCTGCATGGTTGGGTCGTAGGTAGATATGGATCTGAGACCCCAATAGACTCAGGTGGTTCAACTCCACGAGATGCACGTACTGGTTGGTGCTGATGGGACGCTTGACGCGCGCGATCCGACAGTTGCTGACAGATCCCATCTTGAAGACGAGTGAGATCCTCAGTGGAGAAAGCTGCAGCATCCGATGATCTAAGAATCGCATTCAACATTTGCGGTGACATACACAAAGCCGATGATTGCGTGGCCACGCTATGTTGATCAGGAAAAGACATCGAAGTGAAGCCGTGATCAGCTTGAGGGGCAGCAACTCGACGGTAGCCCTCTGTGGCCCAGTCCCTTTTGTACCAAATGCTGTTGTTGGACTGCCCGCCTTCTTGATCAAGATTTGGGACATAGAACTCCTTCCACTCTCTGTATGTATGGGGCGGAGGCGGATCATCACGTTCGTCCTGTGGAGTCCATGATCCCGGATGAAAAATCTTGACCCATTGAGCATCTGGTTGTTGAGGATCCGGACACCACTCCAGCCACGGCATGACAACTCAAACCCTGGATGAAAAATCGAGAGGTGCACGGCTGCAGACTACAAGCACTACATGTGACACAACAACAAACATGCAAGCAAACACTTTTGCAGCAAGGCGCGGCTCAGGTGTCGAAGTCACTCGCCCCAATCAAATTGAATATCATGGAAAGACGAGGACGAACATCAGCCACCATCCGAGTTCGAGGATGCCGACGAAGAGGACAGCCCAGCGTACATGAGGTCTGGTGATCCCGAAGCGAAAACTGGACGTGCAATGTTGGGGCGCGGATGGCCGAGCCGTTGATATCCTCTGGTGACCCAGTCACGATACTGCCATGTGTAAAAGGATGCATATAGGCTGGGAAACAGAGCCCATAGTGGTGCCTCCCGTGCTGTCACTAGGCCAACACACGTCGAAGTGGTAGAACCTGCGCCATTCCCGATAGATTGTTGTGTCTTCCGGAGCCGGTCCCAAGGTGGATTCGGCGACTGGTTGCCACGGACCGGGTACATAGACTCGAATCCATTCAACGCTTGTGCTCGCAGGGCCATTGGCGATGTCGTACTCAAAATAGCGTGGTAGGGACCATCTTGCAGTGCCACATATTGTGGAATTGAACATACCAACCAGATAAGCCGCTTTGAGGCAAAAGGGGAGCGGCGAAAACATGGAGAAGGAAAGCGCAACACAAGCCAAGACAACCCAAGTTGATGCAGCAATCAAATCAGGCACAATCGCACCGTTTTAGCCGACATGTTGCTCAAGCATCAATCCGATTCGTTCCAATCAAAATTCGGATCATAGTTCGGTGGGGGAGAAGGTTCCCGCCACGCCCCATCCGGAACTGAAGACTCCGACGAGGAAGTAATTTCTTCATTCACGAGCTCCGTTGATCCAATGGTTGGTCGTGGATTGCCAAGGCGTTGATAACCTCGCGTGTTCCAGTCTCGGAATTCCCACACGTGATATGACACGTACGACATGGGCATGACATTGGGGTCCGCAGCTGTCCCCCCAGTGCTGTCTGCGGGCAAGTACACGTCAAAGTGATATGACTTGCGCCACTCCCGACACGTGGAAGCGTAGTCCGGGGCACGTCCCAGGGTAGCTGTGGCCACAGGTTGCCACGGGCCCGGTGTGTAAATTCGAATCCACTCCACGCCTCTCTTGATGTGATACTCAAAATAGTGCGGGTACATGATAGCCAAATGTGTCGTCACAGTGCTGTTGAAAGAAAGCGCAAAGCCAAGGGATCTGCGGCGAAACACTCATGTCATGACAACCCTGACTGCAATGTGAATGTGTTGAGCAACGCAATGCAAGGCAACTTTTCAAACTGAAGGCGGGACGAATCAACAAAGTCTGTAGCATACGACAACTATGATTCACCGCCGCTGATGCCGCACACACCTGCAATGGTAATGTCCTGGTCGGCGACGAGCACAGGGAGAAAGACACTTCCGTCCATGATGTAGAAAAGCATGACAGTAATGCTTGCAACTTGTCGATGCAGACCGTGATGGACGAGTAGCCCGTTTTGAAGGGAACACAGTGAAGGGTCGCCGAGATCTCCGCATGACAGAAGCGGATGTTGTTCGAGAGCGTTTTGGAGAACGCGTGAGACTGCGTAGATCATCATCACGGAACTGGTCAGCGCTGCGAACAGAGCGGCGTGTGCGCTGAGATTTCATGGTGGCCGGGCATGACTGTCCTCGAGGAAAGGGGCTCGAGGAGGCTCGCAATGAGGGCATAAACTGCATGTGGGTGAAGAATCACCGGTGGTGGTGGTGGTGGAGGAGGTGGAGGTGGAAGAAGTATTGGAAACCGTGGCGGGGCTGGAGGTGAAGCAGTCAATCGAACTGGTCTGTCAAGCAATGTACCAGGCCCGTGAAACTGTAACCACGTCGGCTGCGCTCCATGGGTCCAAGTTATGAATGTCTGCGCATCTTGCTCCAACATGATTTGAACACTCAAACCCGCAAGTCGAAGAGATAAACGCGGTAGCAGCTCTGCCATGCATGATATCCAAGTCATCAGCAACTTCCATGACAACCAACAATGCCCTCAATGTCAGAAATGTCATGAATGTCTTTCAAGTCCTCACTGCAAAGTATGCCAGCCATGTCATGCAAGCAAGTGAGAAAGAATCATGCGATCTACCATGGCTGCAATTCAAACCATCTCGTCAACTTGCAACGCTCACGGAATGCACTGCCACCTTCCGGGAGTTTTTCGTTCTCTTGATGCAAAGTGCCCTAAGCGCGAGCCTCAAGCTGCTGGTAGACCTTCCAGGCTTGCTTGACTTCCTCTGTGGGCTTCTGAAGGAGTAGGTGGGCCTGGAATCCTTGTCCTTTTTCCGTCTGACCATCTCATCTAGTTCACCCTGTGTCCATGCCGTGAACGGTTCAAGATGTGCATTGCGAAGGGCAATAGTGAATTCTTGTAGAAGTTCACGAGGTCCATGAACCACC